CAATAAACCCGACGTCGGGTACCAACGTCGGTTCGACCGCCTGACGACCCTTATTTGCACTTAAATGGGGAATACAGATTCTGGTCGCCTCGACGTCGGTACCTGACCTAATAGGGAATGTAATTCTACCAATTACCAACGTCATATTACGTTGGATTTTAGTTACTTAAAATTCGTCGCTAAGCACTTACATTACGTTTGGTTTCATATTCGCTACCAAGAATACATAAAAACCTAACCAAACTACCTAATTACAAATGGATTCATAATCACTCCTCGAATAGAACTATAAGTGCCTACCTAGTTTCATATTATAATAATTCTGAATCATTAATCCAGACATCAGTTTTGTCAACGGAAGTCACTTTTTTGATATATCTGATTAAAATACTCCGGAAAACAACGATAGTCTTCAAAAGTAGGTAGATTTATGAAATAAAAATATCTATAAAAAAGTAAATTGCAAAATATATTTTTTATTTTCTAGCTGGTTTAATCATAAAATTGTACTGTAGTTCCCCCCAAACTCAACCTTATCAATATTATTCTACTAGAAATCGGAATGTGAATATAAATGTTAAAAACAAAAAACGATTTTAAAATGGCTGACAATCGGATACCTGTTAAGAATGGCGGATTTTTGTGTCCGACTTAATATGAACTACCAATATACCAATTCCGACCGGGTCTCCAACATTAGTCGTGTCACACGACCGAAGTCATCAAACCGGACGACCGGCAATCGTATTATGACGTATATAATTCCAACGTACGCCACGTAACCTCACTTTGCGTATCAGTGATTTGTGGATTTGTGCAACTATATTTTAGTTTTTGTTTTCTCTTTGAAACAATGGGCAGCCACTTTTTTAAGATAGTATATACAAAATTTAAAAGAATTGGAACCAGTACCTCACATGTGGGAGGAGGATGGGGTCTGCTGGTTTCCTAAGCAAAAAAATGAAATTAGGATGCACCAGTGTAATGCAGCATCTCTTCCGGATAAAAAGCATTCGTGGGTGGAGGGAAGACATCACTACTACTATTATTATTTTGCAAAAGCCTCGACCTCTTTCTGTAAAATGTAGATGAATGTCTAAATGCCTTTTTAGTGTTTTTTTAGGCATAATAAAAAAAAATAAGTTTGTTTACAAAAACTTTTTATTAGGTTATGTTCATGATGTTTATTAGGCCGCAAATGCTACTTAATGGGTTGTATTTACGGACGTAAATAGAGATACGTAAATTAGGTTAAATATATGAACATAAAATACAATAAAATATAATTGGACGTTACTTTAGGGATTATCAGTGAGACGTATCCTATTCGGCCAACGGGTAGACGTCGGGCTAGTTCAAGTATAGGTACGTCGTGCAAGCCAACGTTGGAACGACGTTGGGAAATTAATAAAAATGGTACGTTGTTATTTTGTACGTCGACAGATCGTTGGATTTACCGACTCGGATCCAACGACGTCGCTTTTAATAGGAAAGCGACGTCACCAGTCGTATCACCAGCACCCGACCTAAATTTGCACAAAGTCTGACGTCGCTTCAGGTCAGATTTAGTTCGAAGTCAGATAGATGCTACTTGGGAGGTAGACTCAATATTTTTTTTTTATTTTACGTTGTGAATAAATGTTGGTAGTTATTAAAATTTTTATAAAAATATAAAATTCTAATAAAAATAGATAAGTTATAATAATTATTTATAACCATAAACATCCGATACGCTACTGAAGCAGGTAAGTCAAATTGACGTATCTAAATTCTTTGACATCTAATCTTTGACAAGTAGGAAATAAAAGCAAAAATGCAAGAAAAAATATATAATTAGTTAATTTAAGTGAATTTCATAAATGATCGGTTTATTACACGTACGTATATTATATAGTCACTTACTAGCGGAAAGTTGTTCCATTATTTCACTCGATTTTTGCCGAGGTCTACTGCACGCTACACAACCAACTATTTTAGAGTCTTTTTCGAAAAATCGCGATAGTGTCACTCTTATTTTAAGTTCTGCCACAATTTCCATCTAGATTTGCAACCTTTATACAACTATCAGTAGTAGAATAAATAATAAATAACATAAAATAAACTCCGTAAAGACTGACAAATCCACAAAATTTCAAATCAAATTCAAATGTGTCAAATGAATCGTCAAACAGAACTGTCAAGGATCCCCACCCTAGAGTCCTTTTTCCGCCCACCATGCGTGAATACATGGATATCATTATGCTCCTTTCTTAGTCTTCTTATTCAAAGATTTGGTATGATCTATACTTGGAAATTAAAATGACAGGCACATCAATCACTGTCAAGGATTTTATCGTTGGACAGACTATCTATATACTCAAGATAAACATTTAAAAAAAAATGTCGTTTTGGGCCATGCACTGAGACGAACTTGGGTATTTGTTAGTCTGAGGATAAAAATCACAGAAAAAAGGGATGTTGATAAAAAAGGGAAACGACACAACAAACAGGCCACGGCGAAGGGCCGTAGAGTCAATGGGATGTTTATTAAAAATTTCTTAGATCCTTTGCCGTGGAAAATTGCTTTTTTTAATGGCGCCTTTTAAACTTTAGAGTGGGGGGTTTCATCAGCACGAAAGTAGCGTCGTATTTTTACCTGTCCGTTAAGTTTGTCGTCATTAAAGCCCGCGCTTCCCCTATTTCACTCAAAATAATAGCAACGACCCATTGAATAATAAGACTGAAGGTGCCAGAGGCGTGCAATGAAATTTTATGTTAGGGAAACAAACTTTAGAAAGTTACCTATTTTTGCTTGGAATAAAAAAATTAAGGAAAGAGTATACCGGGTGCTGCATCGTCGAGTGGGACATAGGAAATCCCATGTTTAATGGGGTCAATTACTGACTTCCCTAATTATTTTAGAGAATAATTCTATTTAGGTTTATTGAAGAGCACTAAAACCCACATTCAAAAGAATAACTTTAGATATTTTTGATTAGCCCGTTTACGAGTTATCGCCGATTTCTTTTTAAATATTTCTCCTTTCTTATGGCCCTGTATTTACTTATGAGCACCAGTCAATGTAAAAGATAACTGTCAAATGAAGTTGTCATTTCAGAAATTTTTCTATTTAGTACTTTATTATTATTATTAAAAACTCATACCTACATCGAAAATATTAGCCATGAATTACACTACCGGAGAAAAAGTATTGATGATTAAATGGTATTATCAAGGAAATATTTATCAAAAGGTGTCGGACATGTTTGCAGCTCTGTATCCGAATAGACCGATACCTGGAAAATCTACAATCGCAAGGAATATCCAGAGATTTGAGACCAAAGGTACCCTAACAAATAACTGCAGATGTGAAGCAAGGCAGGAACAAAGAGAAGATGCAAGAAATGATACCGACTTGGAAGTTTTATTGTGCGTGGAAGAGAACGATGGAAAGATCAGCACAAGGAAACTTGAGGATGAAATAGGAATAGATCACACTACAGCGTTTCGAATTTTGAAACGACATAAATACTATTCCTTCAAATATGAAAAGCACCAAGAGCTACGAAATGGGGACGAAATACGGCGGCAGGCGTTTTGTTTTGATATGATGGAAAGAGCAAACACGGATAGGGAATTTTTAAAAAACATATGTTTTACTGACGAATGCACGTTTACCTTAAATAATGAACCCAATGTTCAAAATTATCGATATTGGAACAAAGAAACCTAACACAGGTTTGTCGAAACAAGGACGCAATATCCACAGAAAATAAATGTTTGGGCAGGGATATTCGGACACAATTTTATCGGACCATTATTTCTTACGCGAAATTTAAATGCAGAATATTATTTGGAACTACTCGAAAATCATATTTTACCTGTTTTACATGATTCCGCTAGGGAAAATCAGGAAGTTTGGTACCAAATGGATGGCTGCCCGGCACATACCCTGGCTGTTCGGGAATATTTAGACAATAGTTTTAACGTAAACGTTATTGGCCTAAATCATACAGTAAATTGGCCAGCAAGGTCTCCTGATATTTAGCGAAATGATTTCTTTCTCTGGGGCCATTTAAAAAACAGGATATACAAGGATAAAAAATACCCAAATCTAGACGAGTTAAAAAATGCTCTTTCTGACGAATGCAATAGAATTTCAGTTTACCAACTAGCAAATGTTAGAAGAGAATTTTATGATCGCCTGGGTTATTGTCTAGCAGTCGATGGAGGAATATTTGAACATCTTCTTAAATCCTAAAGTTCTAACAATTTAATAGTACCTAAATTAATAAGTTATTGAATATTGTAATAATACTATAATTAACCTTGTAATTAATTACTCTATTTTACTTTAATTCATATTAGGTAGGAATGAGTTTTCAATAATAATAAAGCACTAAATAGGTAAATTTCTGAAATGACAACTTCATTTGACAGTTATCTTTTACCTTGACTGGTGCTCATAAGTAAATACAGGGCCATAAGAAAGGAGAAATATTTAAAAAGAAATCGGCGATAACTCGTAAACGAGCTAATCAAAAATATCTAAGGTTATTCTTTTGAATGTGGGTTTTAGTGCTCTTCAATAAACCTAAATAGAATTATTCTCTAAAATAATTAGGGAAGCCGATAATTGACCCCATTAAAATTTACATGGGATTTCCTATGTCCCGTCCGACGATGCAACACCCGGTATGTAAGATAACACACTAGTACCATAAATAACTATTCATTTGATTTTCATACTTTTACACTTAGGCGTAAAAGTGCCAACTTTTATGCCTAGGCGTTAAAATGACTTTTTTTATAGTCAATCACCTCGCAAAAATTAATACTTTTGTGACGTTTGAAAAAAAATAATATCGTATCATTGTATGTATGATACACCTTTATATTGCAAAACTAAATCTACAATTATAAAATAGATCAATATTTCGATGTATCGATAACGTTGTACATCCCTACCTGCGACGCTCCTTCTTCTGTCAGTTTGACGTTGGAAAACAATCGACGCCGCGACGCTACTAAAACACGACGCGCGCCAATATTTAACCAGGAAAAGAACAGCAACAACGCCTTCAGTCACAATTAAGTATAAGACACTGCTAGATTCTTTAAGTAGATGATTAACTAGCTAGGTTTTGCCAGCATGTTCGACCTAGAGTATGATTACTTTTTAGAGGAAGACAAAATGTGAGTAGGGACTATACCGCTTGCCTGATTTTGCCGTCCCGGCCTCCGCTTATCTATCGATTTTTGTCTTGTATCCGCTTGTTAGCTTGTATTGCCTCTTAAGCCTTGCCTACACATTACGTTTTACCTGTTCAGTCAAAACGTATGAAGTAAAACCTTGTGTGTAGACGAAAAAAACGGTCCGTTTTAAGTTTGATTTTCGTATATCCGTTGTCCGAGGATACGATATTAATTTTATTGGTTGAATTTAATGACTTTGATTGGTCAGAAAATTATGTAATTTTTAAATTTATTGCATTTACATGCCTCCCTGATGCCTCCGTTCATCGGATATACGATTTGCTTGTTATTGGTGTCATTTTATATTTTCATTTCCATAACGATTACGCTGTTTTACTTATAGTCTAAGAGCTGGCAATGTTTTCGAGAGAAAATTTCACACCTCTACTTTTCAACCAATAACATGCTTTAATGTTGACTAGTTACCATGGCAACTGAAAAAATTTCCGGAAATTTTTTCGAGGCGCCACGAAACTTTAGTGGAAATTTTTTGACAGTTGAAAAGGTAAACATAAGATCTACAATCATAATGTGAATGAACTACAATGTCTATATATTGAAATATTACCCATTTGAGTTTTAGCATTTGATGTAACTAAGGTTGGTAATATTTTTTATTTAAGGAAATATGTTAGATATACCTACATATGAATTTCTTCGAAATTGCCATGTTCTAAAAAATATAATTCTGCCGCCTTTATTTAACTAAAGCTGGTATTTTTCTATTTAACGAAATATGATGGATATACACTTGATTTTGATTTTCGGGTGTTATCTGGTTTCATATTTTCAATTTCTTCTTTAATGACTTGTTGGTTTACTTTTCCAAATCGCGACATTTCGCTATACACTTCTTACTCTACGTACAAACGTTTTAAAACTAGTAATAGCTTAATGACAGAATCGCAAACAAAAATGACAAAACACATAATATGTCAAAAACATCAATACCTTGGCCAACTTAACAAATTGAAATTATTTTAAAATGTCATGTTGGATTAATATTTTTTTTTCAAATTTAGGTGTGAAATTTTCTTACCGAATACCACGCAAGCTTAAATTATTCCTGGAAATTTTCTTTCGGGCACGAATATTTTAGGAAAATTATCCCTCGTCTTCGACTCGGGATAATTTTCAAAATATTCGTGCCCTCAAAAAAATTTCCGAAAATAATTTAAGCTCTTGTGATATTATAAGTGAGAATTTTAAGAAAGCTGGTTCTTTAATATATCTTTTGCTATGCTCTCCTGAACAGAGTGCGGACCTAGATAATTGGCTGCCGGTAGATGTTGCGTTCACTACTGCGCATCATATTCTGTATTCAACATCTGTTCAGTGCTGCGCATCACAAATTCGCCCTGTATTTCAGGAACTAAGGAGGCTAGGACAAACCGATGTGTAGCATGTTTAGTTTCATAAAAAAGTAGCAAAGTAATATGAAAATCGCATCATTGTGCATCATCAGTGGCGCACATGCTTTTTCCCCTGGTGAATATATCGACACTCTTTTAGCTTTAAAATATGTGGCATTTATAGTAACTTTTACCATCAAAATTTCATTCGAAACGCTAAAAGTACTTGAAAGAAAATTATAATAAATCGAAAAAATAGTAAGACTTTAACACCCTGTAGCTACGAAATAAAGCAGAATCGGACCTATGTTGATATGAAAAATAAATTTCATTTTTACGTGAGGAATCTCCCCACGAGAGATGGCAGATGTTTTTTAAAACATCCTGTATGTAGACGGGATTTAAGATATACAGGGTGGTCCGAACTGTATTCCGGAAACTTCAGCAGCATATTCTACAGATAAAAATAAGTAAAAAAGTTCCTATAAATGTATGTCCTTAAATGCTTAGTTTCGGAGATACAGGGTGTAGAGGTTTCATTTTTACTTCGATTTTTTCTAAATAATTTCTGAAGTAAAGTCAATATTTGGATGAAAATTGGTGTATGGGAGCTTTTCGACATGAGAAATTTGATTTTGACATCAATGTGACACCTATTTGTAGGGGGCGCTACCTACTTGTATTTTAACTGTTTTGAAATATAATAACTTTTCGTCCGTACCTGTATAAAACTACTGAGTGAAAAAATTTACATTCCGGTAATTTTACATAAAAAATATTTCTTCGTAAAAATCGCTACGAGCTTAATACATGTCATTATTGACAAAAAATATATTAAGTAGATAGTTATTTGAATGAAATGATAAATTTGGGAACTTTTTTTTTTAAATTAATTATAAATTTTTCTTCGAAAAAATAATGATAAAACAGTTTCTGTTTCTGTTGAACTTTTGGTACAAAAACATTTCAAATTTATCTCATTTCAGTCTAATAACTATTTAGTGAACACGTTTAATTTATGTCAATGATGACAGGTATAGTCTATAAAATGAATAACTTTGAATTTTGACCGTTATTTTTTACCAACATTGGCAAATATAAAATCCCTCTGTCAAAAAAGTTACTGATATTCTTTAAATTGAGTGCCTGAACGAATCAGATAGGTAACTCTTTTTACTTTCGTGAAATAGAAAAGGAAAATAATAAAACAAGTGACAGTTCTTCCTCTTCTTGCAAAAATCAACACGAAATGTCATAATTGTCAAAAGTAAAATGTTATCAGCTTTTGACATTTCTAAATATCAGACCAATGCTGTCTCTAATAGAACAGCCTATGAGCGAGATTGATGACGTCACACTAGTTAGATACTACGGATTAACAAATATGTTGTAGAATACATAGAAAATATAATTATTCCTCTTATTTTTGGTTTGTATTTTAAAAATGATATAGTTTTACATGAAATATACGTAATATACAGTTAATAAATACAACATATATACCTAATTATAGTAATAAATACTTTGACAAATAAACTATGAACCATACAAATGCAGCAAATGTTTTACAAAATACAAATAATGAATAGGTACATAAGATAATGGGTAAAATGTAAAATATATTTTAAATTTTGGGGTTTGAAAATCGATCTAATTTAACAAAAAACATTCAATATCTACTAATAGTGATGTATTATTATTTGCATTCACAAAATTTATATGTATATTTTGCAAATATCAATGTTCGAAAAATTATATTTGCAAATAATACAATACCATAGAAAAAAAGGCGTCAGCGATGGCTATGAAATAAAGGTCGCTGTCATTTTATATGTAAAATTATTCTAAAATTTTCTGATTAAGTTTCATTATTTTTATTTGGTTTAAAAAAACGTTTCGGCTAACACATTATAGCCTTCTTCAGTGTTGTGTCATATGAATAAAATAGTGTCGAATATAATCTAAAAAATTACATACGTTTATACAATATATTATATTTATTAACTGTATATTACTTATGTACATTTCATGTAAACTATATCATTGTTAAAATACAAACCAAAAATACGTGGAATAATTATGTTTTCCATGTATTCTACAACAAATTTATTAATCCGTAGTATCTAACTAGCGTGACGGCATAAATATCGCTTCGAGGCTGTTCTATTAGAGACGGCATTGCGTTAGCATGGCCGCAAGTTGCTAACCTAATAAAATTAACACTAGAAAAGCCAGCGGGACATGTCAAATTCAAAGTTATTCGTTTCACAGACTATATTGATAATTTCGGTTCCAAATATCCCGAGAACCATTACTCGTAGCCATTTTTATCAAGAGACCTTTTTTACGTAAAAAACGTCGCAAATGTATACTTTTTTACTCAGTAGTTTTATACAGGTACGGACAAAAAGTAATTACTCTTCAAACCAGTTAAAAAATATATAGGTGGCGCCCTCTACAAGTAGGAGTCATATTGACATCAAAGTCAAATTTCTCATATCAAAAAACTCCCAGAAAACAAATTTTCAACCAAATATTGATCTTACTTCAGAAATTATTTGAAAAAAATCGAAATAAAAATGAGACTTCTACACCCTGTATCTCCGAAACTAAGCCCATTTTAGGACATACATTTATAGGAACTTTTTCTCTTATTTTTGTCTACAGAATATGCTGCCGAAGTTTCCGGAATACAGTTCGGACCACCCGCCTGTATTTCCCATATTGCTACTTTATTAAATATACCCTCTATATTTTATAAAATGTCGCTATATCTAGCACTGTTAGAAGTAAACTTTAAATAACACAAACATAAATCAAGATTAGACTGAAGAGACTTGTATAGAAAAGTAATATTTTCTGTACACAATCACTTTTTGTACTTAAGTTTGTCATTTCCGTCAAACCGTTTCTAGAAATAGGCAGATTTTTATTATAGATAAAGAATTTTCGTTTTACTTTGATTGCAATTTTTCACTATTGTGTTTAGTTTTCTCGTGGGTTTCTCTAATAGCATATTTCTTGCAAAAATCTATTCCGCTGAAACCTATAGCTGTTTCAAATAGTTTTTTTTTTCGCCAAAAACAATATTATAAAGAGAGAGAAAACTAAAAGAGGCCCTACACGTATCGATTTCTGAGAGATTTGAACGTCCGTCAAGTAAAACGTCCGTTTTTTGTCTACACACAAGCTTTTACTTGATACGTTTTGACTGAACAGGTAAAACTTTAAGTGTAGAGGGAGCTTTATAGCAAAGAATCGTACATTGTTTTGTTAGAAGTAAAAATGACACTTTTCGTAGCGAGTCTGTACGTTTGACATACAGCCGAGGCGCAAAAAGTCATTTTTACTCCGAATAGAACATGCTATTTTCAAAAAATGTTCCAAATGATATGAAAAGAATTAAAAACCATATCTTGTATGCCTAGCTTGTATGTTATACAGGGTTGTTTTCCACATACGACACGGAGTATTGTAGCTAAATGGTTAGATTTTTACAAATTGTAAGTTTTGGGTTCGTTGAAGGACTATTAGAGCTACAATTTAAAAATATTTTTACAAGATACAGACTGTCCCAAATAAATAAAAAATATCAAAGTTGAATTTTTTTAAATGGAACACGCTGTATATTATTACATTTTTAGTTTCTACGATTAAAATAAAGGTAAATCTGATTAAGGTTTATTACACTTAAACCTTACCGTTTTTGAAATATTTTCAATTTTGTGAAATTGCAGTCAAAATTTTAAGGCTTCATTTCTCCAAGGGTATCAAACTTTTTAATACTAAATATTTACTGAAGTCTATTTATTGATCAGTTATTGTGTTGCAATAATAAAAATAATACTACCTCATACAGAGTGTCTAAAAATTTATTTTAAATTATGTCTAGCTTTAGACGGCTATAATTTGTCTAATTTAAATGGAACGCCCTGTATATTTTGGGAGAATCAGATGCATAATTTAATTGTCTATCAAATTGTATTATACCACTTTTTACCTATCCCTTCAAGTTCTCGTAGAAAATGCATTTTCTTATAATTTAGACCTCATTTATCAATATACCCATAAAATATTGACATTTTAGATTGTTTTTAAAGCAACAAATATACAAAATGTACAGGCTAGTATTATTATCATTTTTACCAAAATGATAATATTACTAGCCCATTTGTATGCAAAAAGAAAACGATTTAAATCTTTATAAAAGAGTATACCATTAATTAAATATACCACCATCATTTCCGCCCAAATACTATTTAATTACATACTTAATTATGTTCGTTAATAAATTATTCTAAATAAATGTGGATTTGAATCAGAAATCAATATAATAATAACTTATGAAAATGAATGTATCTGTTGTTATAAATAAGCATTTGTCAATAAATGAAATATCATTTTTAAGGTGTTACTTTTTACCACACTGTCTAATACACATACAAAATTCAGTTTTTTAGTATTTGGAGCAATTATTATTAATCAAAGCAAACAGTCAATTAATGTAGTTTGTATACTAGAATCATAATAATTGGTCCTCTTTAACAAATATTTATTATTTTTTTATTTTTTAATGAGATAAACAAACTATATCGACAATATTATCGACAATAGTATCTGTACTCTTTAAAAATTTGGTACATTTTTAAAAATAACCTAAAATGTCAGTATTCCATGGGTATATTGATAAATGAATTTAAAATTACAAGAAAATGCATTTTCTACGGAAACTTGAAGAGATATGGAAAAAATGGTATAATACAATTTGATAGATAATTAAATTGTACATCTGATTCCCATAAAATATACAGGGTGTTCCGTTTAAGTTATCCGCTTTCACAAAAAATCTTGTATGAAATTCGTTGCGAAAAGAGTGTTTTAAGTAGTAGTGGGAACTATCGAATGAATTCTTTCCGAGAAACCCGACAGCGGTCGGTGGCAATGCTATGAAAGAAGCCGGCATCTTTGATTTTTTGCGGAGTCAGATATAGATAAGGACACATTATTTTTTCTATTGAGGTGCTAGTATTTACACAGAAAATACATTATGAAAGGCGCTGTTGCCATATTTTGGTATTAGTTGATATTAGCAAAGAATATTATTGTTTGGCTTTAGTTAATTAGGGATAGTATGTCTATATATTCTGCATTTTTTTTATTAATATTCTGTTGTTACACTGCAATAATACTTGTTATTTTAGATGTAGGAAAATTATTTTTAATGTTTTTAAGCAAAGACTGGTTTAATAAATAATAATAACAGTAATAATTTGTTATACCTATTAACAACAAAATTTAAAATCATTTAATATAAATATTTTTTTTAAGTAGTAGCAAAATATAAACAACAAGTTAGATGTCAAAGTTATTTATATTAGATCCTATTTAAAAATAATATAGTCTCTAAATTTTTTGGCAACGTTGGTTTATTAAATAATAATAATTACAGAACTAATTTGTTATATTAACAACAAATTTTAAAATCATGAAATATAAACATTTATTAATTTTCTAAGCATGCAGTGTAATGGAAGGAAAATATAAATAAAAAATTAGAAATCAAAATTATTTATATTAGGTGCTTTATATTACTATTTAAAAGTTATATTTACTTTTACTGGCATTTACTTTAAAAAATAAATGAAATATTTTTTCTTCGCAAAAAACTACATGTAAGAGAATTAGCATAAACAAAATACAAACATGGTTAACTTTTTTTTTTAAATTGGCACGTGTAAAACTTTCATTTTAATTTTCTCACCCCATAGTTTGAGTTCGATAACCATTTACTTAACCACATTACTTAAATATGATTATTAAGTTCAACTAATTCATATTATTAAAACATCTAAAATACAAATATGTATTTTTAAAATTAATTGTAAGTTCATCTCATCTCTCTTAAAAATTGCTACTTCTCAAAATTTCCCATTAAAAATAGACCATATACCATATAAAATTAAATAATTGAAAGATCGGACTACGGAAAACCACACAAATTTTCTGAAAAATTTTGACCACCTGCACATGCACACAATCGTCAATAAATAAAATTAAAAAATAACTACTATTTTAATAAACGCAAAATAGCACAGTATTTATACGGCGAAGTTATAAAAATTTGGAAGAACTAATAATGCACTGACGCATACAAAAATCAAACGAATACTAAATTTCATTTGTCAAAAGCATTCGATAGTCGTGGCTCAACGATAACCATTTAGTCGCACAGCGAGGTTGTCACATATGCTTTAGTATACAAATGAATGAATGATTTTATTCGAATAAAACCATTCGATAGTTGAAATCACTCATTCATTAACCATTCGATAGTCTAATTCATTCGATAGTTCCCATCGCTAGTTTTAAGCACTCGACGCATTGTCCAATTTTGCGTCCCGTGCTTAAAACACATTCATTTCGCAACTTGTTGCATAAAATAGCTATTGCTTAGAATAGCTATTGTCAATCATGTCGCAAAAATTAATACTTTTGTGACGTTTGAAAAAAAAAATAATTAGATACCATATTTTGCCATGCAAAATAAAGTATTTGATATTTTTGATCCGTACTATAAATAAATAAAATATTCATCAATTCGTAGCTTGCCCTGCTTTAGGTTTTAGTCTATATCACTTATCACCAGAATTAATGTATGCGACGCAAAGATAAAAAAGCTTGTATAAACCACCCACACACATAAAGCCGTCGTTTTATTTTTTATTCTTTCAGTTAGTGCGTGCTTGTGTTATTGCTCCCTGTCAGTAGTTTAGACGTAGCTGTCAAAAATATGGCCTACTATTCGCTTCACTATCAGAGATCTGTCGCAGGATACGGCTATCGCTACTATAGACCACACGAAGATAAGATGTAGTGATTTTTTTTGGTATACTATTCTAGAGAAATAAGTAAACGTAGAGCTAACAAAATACAGATTTACAAATTACGCATTTCTCAAAAGAGGCTTACCCCTTATTTTTTCAGATAAAAAAATGAGATTTGGTATGTTAGTATGTGACATAAATTAGGATTGATTGACGTATTCAATTGTTTTCGGTCACTTCCTGTTTGACCGGAAATGACTAGAACTTTTGATTTCTAAATGACACCCTCGGTATTTTTTTTACTTTATTTGATAGAAAATGACATTCTGAACAGAATGACATATCGTTTGTCAACTTTTGACATTTGCAATTAAAAAAATGCCATGGCCGTAAATGTAACGACAATTTGCCTCGAAATACCAAGTGTGTGGTACCAAATTATTCATAAAAAAATGTGTTACATACACGTAGAAAATTAATTTTCTACGCGTCGTTACCCAACCCTGCACCCGGTATTAAGATTTTATTACAAATATTTTTTAACAAATTTTATAACTCATTAACTTACGTGACTAAACGAAATTCAAATTATTGAGTCAACCCTACTCTACCGGGTGTTGCATCGTCGGACGGGACATAGGAAATCTCATGTAAATTTTAATGGGGTCAATTATTGGCTTCCCTAATTATTTTAGAGAATAATTCTATTTAGGTTTATTGAAGAGCACTAAAAGCCACATTCAAAAGAATAACTTTAGATATTTTTGATTAGCTCGTTTGCGAGTTATCGCCGATTTCTTTTTAAATATTTCTCCTTTCTTATGGCTCTGTATTTACTTATGAGCACCAGTCAAGGTAGAAGATAACTGTCAAATGAAGTTGTCATTTCAGAAATTTATCTATTTAGTGCTTTATTATTATTATTATTAAAAACTCATACCTACATCGAAAATATTAGCCATGAATTTAAGTCAACGAATTATTTTTTGTTTGTTGAGTACTACTATTATGGCACTTTAACTATCACCAGTATAAAAATAGTAGTATAATTTTTATCACTTTTAACAATATTAATTTTTTAAACAATTTAAAAATAATAGAGCAAAGTAAGAATAGGTAGTAACAATTATTATATCATGTATATTATATTATATCTGTATCATGTATCATCTCTTTATTTAATGCGATATAAGATATAACGATTTTATACTCTCATTAATGCTTATTGAAGTCGCGCCTGTCCAAGTTACTGCGGGCTTCCATTACCATGATAACTGAAGCATAGTGAAAATAATTTAATAGCATAAAATATTAATTCACAGTGGTCAAACCATCTTATTAATTATTTATTGTTTTATGTTTTGTTACATTGCATCATGATCAATGACCATACACACACAATAAATGCAACGCAATTTTTGTTTGCCGTGTGATTTGATTACAAAATAAAAATTTCAAATTATTGTGTAAGAGACAAGCGTTATAAAATAATTTATCCAAATAATTCGAATGCGTACCTGATTTCCTTTGCCCGCCTTCAAAAGCGTTAGCGACAACATTCACGTGGAGGCGCCACTTTACGGGCAACAAAAATGATCAAAATTGGGTTTGCAGAGGGCCGGGCGTCACAAAATTGCGACCATGTTTTTTAATATATTGAAATAATTTTTGTTTCACTTTATTAAGGAAGGTTCCCGACATGCTCGTAATTAGCGATGGGAACTATCGAATGAATTAGACTATCGAATGGTTAATGAATGAATGATTTCAACTATCGAATGGTTTTATTCGAATAAAATCATTCATTCATTTGTATACTAAAACATATGTGACAACCTCGCCGTGCGACTAAATGGTTATCGTTGAGTCACGACTATCGAATGCTTTTGATAAATGAAATTTAGTATTCTTTTGATTTTCGTATGCGTCAGTGGCATTATTAGTTCTTCCAAATTTTTATAACTTCGCCGTATAAATACTGTGCTATTTTTGCGTTTATTAAAATAGTTAAAATACTAAAATAGTAGTTATTTTTTAATTTTATTTATTGACGATTGTGTGCATGTGCAGGTGGTCAAAATTTTTCCGAAAATTTGTGTGGTTTTCCGTAGTCCGATCTTTCAATTATTTAATTTTATATGGTATATGGTCTATTTTTTAATAGGAAATTTTGAGAAGTAGCAATTTTTAAGAGAGATGAGATGAACTTACAATTAATTTTAAAAATACATATTTGTATTTTAGATGTTTTAATAATATGAATTAGTTGAACTATAATCATATTTAAGTAATGTGGTTAAGTAAATGGTTATCGAACTCAAACTATGGGGTGAGAAAATTAAAATGAAAGTTTTACACATGCCAATTTAAAAAAAAAGTTAACGATGTTTGTATTTTGTTTATGCTAATTCTCTTACATGTAGTTTTTTGCGAAGAAATATTTCATTTATTTTTTAAAGTAAATGCCAGTAAAAGTAAATATAATTTTTAAATAGTAATATAAAGCACCTAATATAAATAATTTTTATTTCTAACTTTTTATTTATATTTTCCTTCCATTACACTGCATGCTTAGAAAATTAATAAATGTTTATATTTCATGATTTTAAAATTTGTTGTTAATATAACAAATTAGTTCTGTAATCATTATTATTTAATAAACCAACGCTGCCAAAAAATTTAGTGACTATATTATTTTTAAATAGGATCTAATATAAATAATTTTGACATCTAATTTGTTGTTTATATTTTGCTACTACTTAAAAGAAAATATTTATATTAAATGATTTTAAATTTTGTTGTTAATAGGTATAACAAATTATTACTGTTATTATTATTTATTAAACCAGTCTTTGCTAAAAAACATTAAAAATAATTTTCCTACATCCAAAATAACAAGTATTATTGCAGTGTAACAACAGAATATTAATAAAAAAAAATGCAGGATATATAAACATACTATCCCTAATTAACTAAAGCCAAACAATAATATTCTTTGCTAATATCAACTAATACCAAAATATGGCAACAGCGCCTTTTATAATGTATTTTCTGTGTAAATACTAGCACCTCAATAATAAAAATAATGTGTCCTTATCTATATCTGACTCCGCAAAAAATCAAAGATGCCGGCTTCTTTCATAGCATTGCCACCGACCGCTGTCGGGTTTCTCGGAAAGAAACCTACGTCGCCGGGCTAAACTAAACACACAAACAAAAAAACTAAAATCCAGTTAATATTTTATTATAATCGATCCTGACGAATGAATGAATTTCATAAATGAATGAATTTTATAAATGAATGGTTTTTGCTGCCGAAGTACTAGAATACAATATTTCAAGGCAGATGACGGATCTATTCGATAATTTTTATTCGAATAGTTTTCAACGAATGTTTTCTTACTAGCTATCGAATTATTCGAATGAATTGCAACTATCGAATGTTTCGATAGTATTCATTCGATAGTTCCCACTACTACTCGTAATTAGTTTTGAAATCGATTTGAATACATTTAATGCTAAAAAAATTACTCATAAAATCATCTTTTTTTAAGGTGTTTTAGGGGTAAATTTGAAACAGTTTGAGTTGAGTTTGGGGAAGGAAATATAATTATAAGCACGTCTTAGATGTATACAAACAAATAAAAAAACCTCATATATTTTATCTAATAATCGACCGTTTCCATACATAAAAGCGACCCTGTATACTGTGGAACCTCTCTAAGTTTACTTATCTCTCTGACGTATAAAAAAACAAAGTATCTCTGTCGATTGCAGGGGCATGACAGTGACGTCAGGCAGCGTGACCATCAAAAAAGACGAAAACAACCTCATAGGGATAAGTATAGGTGGCGGAGCTCCTCATTGTCCCTGCCTGTACATAGTACAGATATTTGACAACACTGCTGCAAGCAGGGAGGGCACACTACAGTCAGGAGATGAACTAGTATCAATCAATGGTCAATCTGTCAAGGGCAAGACAAAAGTGGAGGTCGCAAAGATGATCCAGTCTGCCAAGGTGCGTATTACTGAAAAAAAACATCAAGAGGAAATGGTAATAGGGTGTAGCCTCCCTTATGGTGCGTTTAGACTTGAGCACGCACGAGCTGAGCGTGCAAAAGAAGAAAAATCGAAAACATCGTCGCTGGTAGCAAACCCAATTTTTTAGAAATCGATATAATTTACTGCAACAACTTAGTGTCTGAGGAGGGCTATGATCAGTTCAAAAACTTTACAAGAATGACCACACCCGACTTTGAATATTTACAAAATTTAATAACACCAAGAATTACGAACAAAAGATACAAATTTTAGAATAGCAATTTCATTAATATCGACATATTCAATATTAATTTTTTTTCAAGGTTTTGCCATGCGTTATATTTTTTTTTTGATTTTTTAATAATACCTTTACATCCCATAATATAGGCAACTTTTCATATTTTTCAATTAATAATAACGAAGATTCATTGATCCACTCCATAATTTTAATAAAGAAAACGAAAAAAAAAATACAGACGCACGCACGAACGCAGACAAAACAAATTGCCGGTCCAAATTGAGCGTTCGCGCACACATAAAATCCCTTTGAGCACGGATCAAAAACCGACAAGACGGCTCACGTTCGCGGCTGATCGCGCACAGACAGATTCAGAGTGAGCGTGCGCGCACAGCCGTTTACACTTGAACATTCGCGGAGGATCAGTGCGTGCGTGCTCAGGTCTAAACGCACCATTACATATTTAGTTCAGTCATTGGGGATCAAAAAAGGGGCCTGCTTGGAAAAAAGTCCGGAAGTTTTGAAACTTTGCAGGTTTATAGGTTTTGGGGTCCCTAACTAAAATCCATAAAATGCACATTTCCAGACTTGCCGCCGGCGCCGCCATCTTGCCAAGATGGCGCTCAAAATCGGTATTTTGTGAATATCTCGAAAACTATGCGTTTTTCGCGAAAATTTAAGGAGAGCAAAATTAGAGAGAATAAAATTTCCTATAAAAAATTTTAGGCACGAAATCTTTGGAAATTTTACAATTTTGCGTAAAATATGATATATTATGTATAGTCGATTATCCGAAATCAAATGTCGATTAGGGTTCACTAAAACTAATTTTAGTTTAGTTTCTTCAATTTTGTCATGAAACGGTGGCATATCATTAATTTGCTCATTAATTTATGAATAATTAATTGTCGTGCTGGTTCATTCATTGCTGATAGCATTCATTGCGAACGTACCAGCAGGTTCAGCATTGGTCTGGTTGTACCAAAGATGCCGAAGAATGGGGTTGGAAGAAAACAAAAACAGGGATTACTCCTGTCACAACGTTGAAAGATCCAGCTCCAAAATCCCTGATGGCATTTTTATCCTGTAAATGCAAAATCAACAACTATGGTAAAGCCTGCGGATGCAGAAAAGCAGGATTAAAATGTTCAATGATTTGGGAATGCTGGGAACTGCAAAGGGAAATCCTGTAACGTCACTGAAGTGTTACTCGACGAATCCGATGAAGAGGAGTTGGACTTGCCTGTAGATATCCCTCTGGCGACTGAAGATGAAGAGTTGGACGTATTGAGAGACCACCCTGATGAGCCCAGCACAGCAGACACGATCGACTTTGACATCAATGAGCCAGATCATTCAGCCGTCGGGCTTGTGCAGATAAGTTAAAGTTTTTAATTTTTCTAGTGGAGTAGGCCTCCGGGGAGACCACGTTAAAATAAACGCGCCATATACTTTACCTCTTGGGTGGTGTGGAAACAAGTACACATTTTCAATAATTAAAATTAATTATTCATAAATTAATGAGCGAATTAATGATACGTCACTGTTTTATGACAAAATTGAAGAAACTAAACTAAAACTAGTTTTAGTGAACCCTAATGGACATTTGATTTCGGAAAATCGACTATACATAATATATATCATATGTTACGCAAAATTGTAAAATTTCCAGGGATTTTCTGCCTAAACGGTTGACTTTAGCGAAAATTTTCATAAAACCTTTTTTATAGAAAATTTTATTCTCTTCAATTTTGCTCTTCTCAAGTTTTCGCAAAAAAACGTATAGTTTTCGAGATATTCATAAAATACCGATTTCGGGTGCCATCTTGGCAAGATGGCGGCGTCGGCGGCAAGTCTGGAAATGTGCATTTTATGGATTTTAAGTTATGGACCCCAAAACCTATAAACCTGCAAAGTTGCAAAACTTCCGGACTTTTTTCTGAGCAAAAATCCCCAATGACTGAACTAATTTAGCTACTCTCTTTGTAGTTGGGCCCATTATTATTGTGGGCTATGCGGGCCCAAGTTATCCCTGCCAATTTCCTAATATCATGGTCCCATTTCAGGTTTTTAGTCTTCTTCTAGGTCTCTTAATTCCTCGTGGGTACCATGCTGTAATTTTTGTAGGCCTTTACTGACGTAAAGGCCTACGTCTAAAGGGCTACGTCAGGGTTATTCCATCACCCCTACTCTCTTTAAAATATACGTTGCAGTCGCTTTAAAAAATTGGAAAAGAAAGATCCGTGGTATGGGCATAGAGATTGACAATGAATGTTTCAAATGTTGGTTCACACTTCAATTCGCAGACGATCAAATAATAGTTGCCAACGACAAAGATGACATGCAATATATGCTAAGAAAACTTATTGAAGAATATGGAGAATGGGTCTTGACAGTTAACATAGACAAAACAAAATATCTATGTACTAGCGTGTACCCTCGACTTCGTTCGCGTCGAATTAATCATTTGTAATGGTGATGATAAAGCAAAGCAAAAATTTCCATTATAGTTATTAACGTAATAAGGCCGATAAACAACAAATAACGGCCGGGCTGAAGTTTGTGATCCGAGGCGATAGCCGAGGATCATAAGCAGCCAAGGCCGTTATTTGTTATCGGCCGTGTTGCGTTCTAGATTTTTCGTCATACTGCAGATTTTTTAGAGCAATAAACACTACTATTTAATAACAAATTTTATTGAACAATAACACAAGTAAGGATAAAAAATACATAATGTCTTATACTAAAATTCATTTTTCATGATAATGAACATGGAAATTAAAAGTGCACTTGTTGTTCTTAGAAATCTGTAATCCTTCCCAGGGATTTACAGATTTTATAGAAGAAGATGATGCTACTGAAGAATGGCTAATATTTGTATCCACTAAAGACACATTATTTTTGGAGCTATCATGAAAAAGTTGATTTGTTATTTTCATTCTTTTGGAAACTGATTTTTCTATGTAAGTTTCTGCCACTGTTGAAGACTCCCATCCTCCTAGCTCCTTTAGCGATAGTAAATCACCACCATTTTCGGCGAGCATGGTTGCTGATGATCTACGAAATGAATGCCCTGTATAACGTTCTGGATTCTCCAAGTTCAAAAATTTTGCAATTTTCTGCGGTACGCTCCCGATGGTATGTATACCGACGATTTGCTTAACACACTTGCCTTTCTTGTAACCAATGAAAAATTTTGGATTGTCAAAGTTACGAGGACGCAGGTTGATGTATTTTTGTATAAACCATAGGCATCAAACGGAAGGCCCGTTTTTGGAATAAGAAATTTCCTATCTTTCTTATTTTTAGTATTTCTTAATGAGACAAGAATATTTTTCTCCGAATCTTCGAAATCATCAACTGTGAGTGACCAAAGCTCGCTGCGCCTACAAGCTCCAAGAATACCAAGCACCAATACAATTTTTCGAGTAACCAGGTGTAATCATCGGCATCCAGTAGAAAATTATTTATGTCATTCTCCGACAGAACTTTGGCTTTTTGGTGAATAACCTTCGTTTTGCGCCTCAGAAACATGAACAGTTTACCAAATCTATGAACAAATATAATTTAGATGAGTATGATTAAATATCGAAGAATATAATGGCTTTTACCTTGATATGTCGATGTTTTCATATACTCTCAACGCAAGCTTCAGCATGGATATCTTTGTCCACAGTGATGTAGGAGAATACATTTCAGACATTCTTTTAGCATAAGCCAGCAATACCGCTTCATTTACGCTGTTTATACTTCTATCCTGCCGCCACTTCAAAAAATTGTCATATTCCTGCTGATATCTCTCTCTGGTTATAGTCGGAAGTAAATTTTGAGTAGCCGCAGCCGCTTCCTCCTGTATTTCCAACGGAATTTCTCGCGACATCTCGCTATGGTCTATTTTCCCAATTTTTGAAAAGTCCAACTGACAATAAATAGTCATTGTTGCAGGTGACAGACGTTACGATTACCTTAGAAACTTAACGGCCGCCGGCCGTTATGATAACGTCCGGCGGACGTTATATGCATCTTTTCCATTCTGATTTTGCTTATGTTATAATAATATAACAATATAGTATGACGAAAACATACAAACTGGATAAGGATTGGATTCAGTATATATTAGTGGAAAACTGGATTCATTATATATTAGTATAGATTTGAGGGGCGTTTTCACCCTCTTGAAATTTGAGATTCGAGAAACCCCTCCTTATCGAACCTCTACACCCCACAGTCAATCCGTTTGCCAAAAATCAGCTTTAAACGTCAAGCAGTTTAAGCAGAATCGTGATTACTCAATGGTCATATTTTATGAAACACATTAAGTGTCCAGGTTTTGTGTATTACTCTATTATCTATTCTTCTACTATTTCCAGTGTTGTGTTATTTATTAGAATGTCTTTTCTGTCTACTAGATCGTTGTACATTACTTTAGTTTTTGCTAAATTCACTTTGAGACCTACTTTATTGCTGGCTGTATTTAGTTCGTTAATTTGTGCTTGTAGTTCTTCAAGACTATTGGCAATTAAGACTATGTCATCAGCGAATCTTAAATGGTTAAGATATTCTCCATCTTTTTTAAATTATGGCATAATTAGGGGGACGTCCTGTATAATAAATCCGTTTCCGTTTTGTTGAGTTTAAATTAAAATTCAATTTTCCCCTGTTTGTGATTAGGATGAAGTGGTAATCAATTATAACAAACTACACGCGGATCCCCAGCAAGGCAAAAGTTTAGACATTGTATTGAAAAAAATGAAGCATCGTCTAGTGGAGAACATGAGTTCGTCGACAGCAGACGCTTTAGGACTATCCAGGTATTTTCTGACGAAAAAACAACACTTTTTTAGACCCCTGTATTTACTATATTGTCTTTTTCCAGAGCTATCTTATGTAACGATACGCTGGTGAAGAAAATGCAAGAGCTACAAGATACGGAACTGATGTACAGAGGTCTCGTTGACCATTGCAAACGGGTCTTACATGTAAGAATTTCGTATGTAACATTTGAGCAACAAGAGTTGCTGAATTTGTTTGAAACAAGAGTTTAATTCATTCAGAACATCGAAATTAGTGGAATAAATTAGTGGTTTCAATTAGAGTAAAAGTTTGTTTCTCTAATTTCAATGTAAGTATTCAGAACGTCAAAATTAGTGGTATTAATTTTCAATTAGTAGCTACTACTCAAAAATTACTACCACTAATTTTGACGTTCTAAACTCTTACCTTGAAATTAGAGGAACTATCTTCTACACTAATTAAAATCACTAATTTATTCCACTGATTTTGAGGATCTGATTGAAGCTTTTTTGTGCCAATTAAAAATTACTACCACTAATTTTGACGTTCTGAACGCTTACCTTGAAATTAGAGGAACAATCTTCTACGCTAATTGAAACCACTAATTTACTCCACAAATTTTGAGGTTCTGGTTGAAGCTTTTTTCTACCAATTAAAAATCACTACCACTAATTTTGACGTTACATTGAAATTAAAGAAAACATCTTCTACGCTAATTGAAACTACTAATTTACTCCACAAATTTTGAGGATCTCATTGAAGCTTTTTTTCTACTAATTCAAAATTACTACCGCTAATTTTGACGTTCTAAACTCTTACATTGGAATTAGAGGAACAACCTTCTACGCTAATTAGAACCACTAATTTATTCCACTAATTTTGAGGTTCTGAATGAACCTTTTTTTCTTCTAATTAAAAATTACTACCACTAATTTTGACGTTCTAAACTCTTACCTTGAAATTAGAGGAACAATCTTCTAGGCTAATTGAAACCACTAATTTACTCCACTAATTTTGAGGATCTGATTGATATTTTTTTCTACCAATTAAAAATTACTACCACTAATTTTGACGTTACATTGAAATTGAAGAAAAAATCTTCTACGCTAATTGAAACTACTAATTTACTCCACAAATTTTGAGGATCTGATTGAAGCTTTTTCTACCAATTAAAAATTACTACCACTAATTTTGACGTTACATTGAAATTAAAGAAAAAATCTTCTACGCTAATTGAAACTACCAATTTACTCCACAAATTTTGAGGATCTGATTGAAGCTTTTTTCTACCAATTAAAAATTAGTACCACTAATTTTGATGTTCTGATCTCTTACCTTGAAATTAAAGGAACAATCTTCTAGGCTAATTGAAACCACTAATTTACTCCACTAATTTTGAGGATCTGATTGAAGCTTTTTTCTACCAATTAAATATTACCACCACTAATTTTGACGTTCTAAACTCTTATATTGAAATTAGAGGAACAATCCTCTACGCTAATTGACACCACTAATTTACTCCACAAATTTTGAGGATCTGATTGAAGCTTTTTTCTACCAATTAAAAATTACCACCACTATAATTTGGACGTTCTAAACTCTTACATTGGAATTAGAGGAACGATCTTCTACGTTAATTAAAACCACAAGTTTATTCCACTAATTTTGAAGTACTGAACCTACTAATTAAAAATTACTACCTCTAATTTTGGCTTCCTAATTTCTTACATTGAAATTAGAGGAACTATATCTTCTACACTAATTGAAACCACTAATTTATTCCACTAATTTTGAGGTTCTGAATGAAGCTTTTTTCTACTAATTAAAAATTAGTACCACTAATTTTGACATTCTAAGCTCTTACATTGAAATTAGAGGAACAATCCTCTACGCTAATTGAAACCACTAATTTACTCCACAAATTTTGAGGATCTGGTTGAAGCTTTTTTCTACCAATTAAAAATTACTACCACTAATTTTGACGTTCTAAACTCTTACATAGGAATTAGAGGAACAATCTTCTACGCTAATTGAAACCACTAATTTATTCCACTAATTTTGAAGTTCTGAATGGAGCTTCTTTTTACAAATTAAAAATTATTATCACTAATGTTGACGTTCTAAACTCTTACATCGTAATTAGAGGAACAAACTTCTACGCTAATTGAAACCACTAATTTATTCCTCTAATTTCGAGATTCTGGATGAAGCTTTAGTCTTTTTATTGAATGGTTTAACTTTGAACCAAATTCTACAGGCCCACCTGGAACTACTCCAAACCATGAAGGCTATGGGTGACATTTTCGCCTCTCTAGCGGTACGCGAACCCCAACCCAGAGCTAGCGAAGCCTTCAGGGTTTTCGGTGAGCGCCATAGGGCCATGGAAAGGTCAGGATTGGAGATGATCAGGCAGGTGAAGCCGGTCCTGTCCGATATGGGCACTTACCTACACAAGGCCATACCGGACACTAGGTTAGTCTCAGCTGTTCCTCTACCTAGCCTCACAAGGCTAAAGTTTTCAAAAGCAGCAGAGTTGTCTCTTTGTTAATAAGTCAAAAAAAATGACATTGAAATGAAGACCACTCTGTACAGATTAGTAAAACCAGACTGTGCTTCAGGTTGACGGTCAAGAAGTACGCTGATGCCAAGTTCGAGTACCTGGCCTACTGTTTGAAGGTGAAAGAAATGGACGATGAGGAGTGCAGTTACGCTGCCCTACAAGAGCCCAACTACAGGGTGGAAACAGGAAATTACGAATACAGGTTCGTACTAGTATCTATAGTTCATATCATTTAAACTTTTAGTCACGTGATTAAGCTTGACCGGTACACTGTTGCCCATTTTTACATATTTTCTTTTAATCAAAATATTTTAGGAAACAAAAATATATGAATTATAAATATACAGGGTGGTTCCGGAAACTTTGGCAACATATTCTGCAGGTAAAAATAAGTACCTAAAAAAAATCTTATAAAGGTATGTCCTAAAATGCTTAGTGTCGGAGATACAGGGTGTAGAAGTTTCATTTTTATTTCGATTTTTTCCAAATAATTTCGGCAATATCTAGATGAAAAGTTGGTGTCTGGAAGTTTTTTGATATGAGGAATTTGATTTTGATGTCAATATGACTCGTATTTGTAGGAGGCGCCACCTACATGTGATTTAACTGTTTTGATAAGTAATAACTTTGTGTCCGTACCTGTATAAAACTACTTAGTGACAAAAAAATATACATTTCCGTGATTTTCTACGTAAAAAATGTCTCTTGGTAAAAATTAGTAGTGGGAACTATCGAATGAATACTATCGAAACATTCGATAGTTGCAATTCATTCGAATAATTCGATAGCTAGTAAAAAAACATTCGTTGAAAACTATTCGAATAAAAATTATCGAATAGATGCGTCATCTGCCTTGAAATATTGTATTCTAGTAATTCGGCAGCAAAAACCATTCATTTATAAAATTCATCCATTTATTCGTCAGGATCGATTATAATAAAATATTAACTGAATTTTAGTTGTCGCCCGGCGACGTAGGTTTCTTTCCGAGAAACCCGACAGCGGTCGGTGGCAATGCTAGAAAGAAGCCGGCATCTTTGATTTTTTGCGGAGTCATATAAAGATAAGGACACATTATTTTTTTATTGAGGTGCTAGTATTTACACAGAAAATACATTATGAAGGGCGCTGTTGCCATATATTGGTATTAGTTGATATTAGCAAAGAATATTTTTGTTTGGCTTTAGTTAGTTAGGGTTAGTATGTCTATATATTTTGCATTTTTTTTATTAATATTCTGTTGTTAGGTTAGGTTAGATAATAAAATATTTTGGATGTAGGAAAATGCTTTTTAATGTTTTTAAACAAAGACTGGTTTAATAAAAATAATAATAACAGTAATAATTTGTTATACCTATTAACAACAAAATTTAAAATAATTTAATATAAACATTTTTTTTACATAGTAGCAAAATATAAACAACAAATTAGATGTCAAAATTATTTATATTAGATCCTATTTAAAAATAATATAGTCTTTAATTTTTTTGGCATCATTGGTTTATTAAATAATAATAATTACAGAGCTAATTTGTTATATTAACAACAAACTTTAAAATCATGAAATATAAACATTTATTAATTTTCTAAGCATGCAGTGTAATGGAAGGAAAATATAAATGAAAAATTAGAAATCAAAATTATTTATATTAGGTACTTTATATTATTATTTAAAAATAATATTTACTTTTACTGGCATTTACTTTAAAAAATAAATGAAATATTTCTTCGCAAAAAACTACATGTAAGAGAATTAGCATAACAAAATACAAACATCGTTAACTTTTTTTTTAAATTGGCACGTGTAAAACTTCAAGTTCATCTCATCTCTCTTAAAAATTGCTACTTCTCAAAATTTCCCATTAAAAAATAGACCATATATACCATATAAAATAAAATAATTGAAAGATGGGGCTACGAAAAATCACACAAATTTTCGGAAAATTTTGACACCTGCACACGCACACAATCGTCAATTAAAAAAAACTACTATTTTAGTATTTTAAATATTTTAATAAACGCAAAAATAGCACAGTATTTATAAGGTGAAGTTATAAAAATTTGGAAGAACTAATAATGCACTGACGCACACAAAAATCAAACGAATACTAAATTTCATTTTTCATTTATCAAAAGCATTCGATAGTCGTGGCTCAACGATAACCATTTAGTCGCACGGCGAGGTTGTCACATATGCTTTAGTATACAAATGAATGAATGATTTTATTCGAATAAAGCCATTCGATAGTTGAAATCATTCATTCAGTAACCATTCGATAGTCTAATTCATTCGATAGTTCCCATCGCTAGTAAAAATCGCTACGAGTAACCGTTCATTACTGACAAAAAGTGAACATGTTGAGTAGATAGTTATTTGACTAAAATGATAAATTTGTGAATTTTTAAATTAATCATAAATTTTTCTTCAAAAAAATGATAACCAACAGTTTTCAACGTTTCTGTTGAACTTTTGGCACAAAAACATTTCAAATTTATGATTTCAGTGTAATAACTATTTAGTCAACATTTATCTATGGTCAACATGTTTAATTTATGTCAATGATGACAGGTATTGATAATGTCGATTCCATATATCTCGAGAACCATTACTCGTAGTAAATATATAATTTTTTACTCAGTAGTTTTATACAGGTACGTACGAAAAGTTATTACTCTTCAAACTAGTTAAAAAATATGTAGGTGGTGCCCTCTACAAGTAGAAGTCATATTGACATCAAAATCAAAATTTTCATGTCAAAAATCTCCCAGACACCAATTTTCATCCAAATATTGACGTATTTTAGCACATACATTTATATGAACTTTTGTACGTATTTTTATCAGTAAAATATGCTGCCGAAGTTTCCGGAATACAGTTCGGACTACCCTGTATAGAGTGGTCCAGTGTTTTTTATAGCATTATTTTTATCCACAGATTGATTCTCCGGTGTCGGCAGCTGGCCAGAGCCCGGTTCGCCAAGCTGCGGTCCGACGTGCTGGTCAAGATGGAACTGCTGGACAGCAAACACGTGCAGCAACTGGGCGGTCAGCTGGTCCGCATCGTGCGCGGCTTGAGCGAGATGCACAACCAGCACCTGGAAGAGCTGTCCGGCGACGTGCTGTTCCCCGTCGAAGTGGACCTGTCCAACAGCGCCTTCCAGTATAAGAGTACCATGCCAGTGGTACCTGTAAGTAGACACATGGCCAAAATTATTGCATATAACGACATTTTTATTTTATTTTGAACCTAATATGATTCTTTTTATATTTTTGGACATATTGACTCACTACACGACTAACTAATATAAAATTAAAAATCTAAGTGCAAATAGGCTGTTATTATAAGGCTGTACTTAAACTGCCGTTAAACGGTAGCTTACTAAAATGCCGTTGATAGGTATGACGTCGTTGATGTGACGCACTTGACGGCTTTATGAAATATAGGAATTTTTTAAGGACTAACCAACGCTATCCACCCCACCAAATAACCAACTGAACCAACGCAACTAACCTCGACACTGATAAAAAAAATATAAAAAACAAATATAAATTAGTAAAAACCAACCAACCCCACTAAATAACCAACTAACCAATAAATTAACACCCTCCAAATAATCACGCTAACCAACCCGCCAAATAACTAAACCAATCCAACCAAAAAGAGTGAAACCAATGCAATAAGATCACACTATAAGCAAAAAAAATATAAAAAAGTTTTTTATTATTTATAGGAATTTTATAAGGACTAACCGACGCTATCCACCCCACCAAATAACCAACTGAACCAACCATAGATTTAGGAAGAACAGATATCACATTATGCATTTTAACCCGATCAAACATTCGGAGGTTGACTACGTACTGTAAAAACCAACTGAGATAGAGAAGGCGACATTGCCACATATCAAATTTGCGCCTATCTACTTAGTTTGATTTGCAGAAAAGGTTACTTTAAAACCTTCGCCGGATATCAATAAATCTCAAATTCTTAATTAAATTAATAGTTTATTTTTAAAGTAGCATGCGTAATAATATGTTATTAACCAGAGGATATATGCGTTACTATTAAAGGACATGTTTACTGTTTAATGTGCTGAAACGTCTAGAACTATTGGCAATGTCGCTGCTAGTCTTCCAGAATGAAATGAGCCGTCCGTCCCACCACCCCTCGCGACGGCCCATGGTCCGTTATAGCGTACTACGTTTAGCTTACGGTGTGTTTGAAGTCGGAATCAAGTCCAAAGTGAACTTTTCAGTGTTTTTCAGTAGTTTTTGTTTAATGTACTTTTGAATCTGCGAATTTTCAATCTGGTACGACAGTGTCAAATGTGTGGACGAATAAGCTCAAATTACCCGAATTTGGCTTTCCACAGGTAGGTATTGTTTCCGCCGCGCCGTAATCGTACATAGACGTCCCACAAGGGAGCCTCTCACAATTAGAATAATTTCTAATTATATTTGTTGAATTTTGATCTACTAAAACAAGAACGTAGTAGCCGGTAATTGAATTATAATTTGTCCCAATTACTACCTAACTGTTGTAGATCATAACAAATTTAAATATAAACGTTACATTTGAAACTTTATTATCAGCCAGAAAGTGACATTTTTTTCTTAAAATTGCGTCCTATTTTGGTCATTATATACGTTATTCTAAAGGAATTTTGCTCAATAAATAAACATAGGTGTTTACCCGTCCTTTTTTACATTTTATTGCTTTATTATATCTGCCCCTTCGGCCTTGTTTAGACAATTTTTTACCACCGTACAAATACATCTTCCTAGAGTTATTTGTACGGTGTGTTTTTTTAGAATGGGACGAACTGTAAATAATTCTTAGGCTACTAGTTTTATACATATCTATATAGAGAGTGACCCAGGCATCCAAAAAAGCTTTTTACCTATTACGTTTTTGGTTTGTGATTTTTATTTCAATTTTTTACATAAGATGGGGTCCATTGTAACGCACATTTTCAAAATATTTTTGTCAACATACAGGGTGATTCAAACCGCAATACATATGCTTAATACAGTTCATGAAGATTAGGACATTTAACTAAAATTTGATTATCTGATGAAGCTATCTTTAAAAGTAATGGATTTGTAAATAAACGTAATAGGTATTCATTATTATGCAGAAATCCCATACTGTAGCACACAGATTTTATACTTTTAATGATAAATGCCTTCTATTGCGAGACTAAAAGGCAATTGCCTCGTATCAGAGCCATCATAATACGAGAAGAAGACCGAAAGTCAAATCTTGTCTTATATTTTCAAAAAAAACACAATTTTCTCATTAAATATTGATTTTAGGTATAGGAAGTTTTTAATAATACAAGATTAAACAACTATTACACAGTACTTCACAGGAAGCTATCGATTGCGAACTAACTAAATCGTTACTAATTAGGTACTAATTTTGAAAAGTTCTTTTTAAGATAAAAAAAGGTAAAACTAAAACCTAAACTATCATTTGACATTAAACGGGAAGTTCTAATTAATGTTGCCTATTCTAAACAAGAAAAATTTATTTATAAGTTAAGTTTTATAACATTCCTAATTAAATTTGGGCGAAAAGAATATCTCTGTTTGCTGTAGGTAATTTTCTCAGGGAAAATACGTAAATAAAAATGACTTTTTAAGTCAAAAAAAGTCAAAAGGACAAGTTATTCCAAAAAAGGACTGTCCTTTGCAAAAAAGGACAAGTGGCAACCCTAGGTATTTCTGGAATGGAAATTTAATGGCAAATCTACAACTTTGGTTTGAAAATATGTTCCGGCCACCTATGTTTTCAAAAATGTCTAAAATGTGCCTAGATGCCTCCATATTCTGAAAAAAAATTGAAAGAAAAGTCTACAACTACCAACTACAAACCTAATATAGAACTGTTTCGGAAGCCTGAGTCACCCTGTAAATATTCAAAAGTAACTGAAAGTTTATATAGAAGTAACTGAAAGTTTATATAGAAGTAACTGAAAGTTTAAATTGAAAATCGACGTTGGAGTGATTTTCGAAAACTACTAACGTTTCAACATAAGTATATGTGGGATATTAATTGTATTATTATATTAGACCTTATAACAAAACTCATCTGACGAAAAAGTGTTAATGTAGTATATTAATATGGAGTAAAAATTTTACTAATTACTTTACTTTTACTTTACTAATTAAATTCGTTCCAAAAAACGATACGCCACTGGCCATTAGAACAATCCAAATGCGCCTAGTTGCCGGGGTCGGAAATTTTAGACTTCTCTGTCTCTTCTGTCCTTGTTTGACACATTGGAATGTTTGATACACTACCAACGAGTATTTATGAATGAGATGTTCCGTCTATCTTTATAATGTCTTTGGAACCAACGCAACTAACCTCGACACTGATAAAAAAATATAAAAAACAAATATAAATTAGTAAAAACCAACCAACCCCACTAAATAACCAACTAACCAATGAATTAACACCCTCCAAATAACCACGCTAACCAACCCGCCAAATAACTAAACCAATCCAACCAAAAAGAGTGATATAAGCAAAAAAAAATATAAAAAAGTTTTGGTCGGCGTGAGATTTAAACCACTGATCATTCGCTCACGAAGCGATAGCCTCAGCCAAGCAAATGCTTATAGACAGGCATTACTTTCCGCCGACATGAACGACGTCACAATCACAGTCACAATATCTATTAACGGCATTTTAGTAGGCTACCGTTTAACGGCTGTTTAAGTACATCGAAAATTTTATTTGATTTTGACTATTGACCCCACAAGAATGTATAATTTGGTTAATTTACTTTCATTTGTGCTTCTATAAATATAATTTGTGGTTTTTCAGTTTTTCCGTGCAATTGCTCGATTTTCAAAAAAAAATTGTACGTCACTGCGTTAGGATAATAAACTATTCTTTATTGATTCTGATAGAGTTTTTTATTCTCTTTAATTTTTACCTCTTGAAGTTTTCGCTATAACGCACCGTTTTCGAGTTATTTACATTTTTTCCCAAAAAGTACCAAAATTCAAGATGGCGGCCGATTTTTTTTGATAACGCACACATCGGACAAATGGGGACTTTTAGTATGTTAATAAGGGTTACTAAGGCTAACTATTTTCAATGGTCGCAGCTTTCTACAAATTTTTGCAATTTCAACATGGTGAATGTCATAACTGCACTGGGGTATCTGTCAAAATTGTATATTCTCTCGCTGGACCAACTATAGGTATAATTTTGTCTGCTTTGTAGGCGTTTGCTGAAGACGAAGATCCAGATATTGAAATAGGTGAAGAGCTAGGAGAAAATCTGCTGTCCGAAAATCTGATTGGCGCAAATAACCGACGCAGTTCGACGGAAAACGGCACCAACGAGGAGAACTCTGCCCCATTGTTGCCGGATTTACCTTCGAATGCCGTCAACCGGGAACCAAACTACGAGGATATGGACAACCTGACACTCCTGTCCAGTTTATGTCTGACAGATAGTCCCAACAGGGCACATTCCGCCGAAGAAGGAAGTCTAATCCCAAACTTAGAATAAATAAAAGTGTTATAATTTATTAATAACCAATTTTAACAAATATATTTAGTTTTAATGAAAATAGATTGTTTTGTCCATTGAATATAAGGGCTAACAAAGAAAAGAGACGTCCTGGTAGGTCAAGAGAATATTTAGGATATGGCTATTTTATAAGTTTTGCTCTTGTTTATATACGTTGTACAGGGTGTCCCATTTTTATGTGTTTTGTATGGTTTCTCGTTTATGAATAGAGCTACGATAAGATGTCCCCTCTGACACCTCTTATTTTATTTGCCTTATTATGAACTTATTTTCATAAATCTATACTAATATATAAAATCCTTAAGTGACTGACTCACTGATTAATCACAATCCTGCTCAAACCACTCAACGTAAGAAGCTCAATTTTGACATACAGGTTGATTCTAGGGTGTAGAGGTTCGATAAGAAGAGGGTGAAACCACCCCTCAAATATTACAATATTTTTTATTTAAAAAACGGTCAAGTTTCCGAAAAAACGCTTAAACAGCTATATTTTATTTAGTTTTTTTACATATTTTAAGATTTTTCTAAAAATGTATACAGGGTGTTTCGAATAATCTGGTCATTGATTAATCACGATCCTGCTTAAAGCGCTTGACGTAAAAAGCTGATTTTCGGAAAACGGATTGACTTTAGGGTGTACAGTTGTACAGGCTCGATAAGAAGAGATTTTTCGAAACTCAAATTCTAAGGGGGTGAAACCAACCCTCAAATATTAAAATATTTTTTATTTAAAAACCGGTGAGTTTTTCGGAAAAACACTTAAACACGTATATTTTATTTTGTTGTTTTACATATTTTAAGATTTTTTAAAAATGTATACAGGGTGTTTCATAAAATATGACCATTGAGTAATCACGATTCTGCTTAAAGTGCTTGACATTTAAAGATTTTTGGCAAACGGATTGACTGTGAGGTGTAGAGGTTCGATAAGGAGGGGTTTCTCGAATCTCAAATTCTAAGAGGGTGAAAACGCCCCTCAAATATTACAATATTTGTTATTTAAAAAACGGTTAGTCTTTCGGGAAAACGCTTGAACAAGCATAATTTATTTGGTTTTTTTACATATTTTGAAATTTTTTAAAAAATCATACGGGGTATTCCAAAAAGTTGGGTAATTTCTTAACCACGATTCTGCTTAAACTGCTTGACGTAAAAAGCTTATTTTTGACAAACGGATTTTTCGAAAGTCAAAATCCAACGAGATGAAACTACCCAATGACTAAAGAATATAAGGACATGTAACGCCCCTGTACGGGCTGTAGTAGAATTTGTGACGTTAGACGCCATTCGTTTGATGCCAAACAGTGAGTCATCATCCAGTCACCAGCGACAATTTTAGCGATTTTTAATAGTTTGTTGTGTGTAGTGAACTTTGTATAAACTTTGTTACAATGGTGAATTGTGTAGCTTTCAAGTGTAAAAGCCACAGCGACAAGAAAGAGCCAGGAGTTACGTTCATAGGTAAATAAACAGTCCACTCCAACTTTTTAGCGTTTTCTTATTGAATTCGATAATTATTCTTCAATTTCAATTAACATCTATATGTACTTGATATGTGCTATACGTCGATACTAGTTTTGTACCTTTTGTTAACATTTTAATACGTTTTTTTCGTAATTAATTAGGATGATACACCATAGGCGTAGTCAAAACAATTATCAAAAAATATAAATATTGCTTCAAACAGCTAGGTTAAGAAAAATATGTGCCACGGCACTGTTTGATGCCAGCGTCACAATTTGCTGTCGGGTGTTATTTGTCCTTGGATTCTTTAGTCATTGAAACTACCCCTCCAATATTACCAAGTTATATAATAATATCGCCATATTGTTTTTTCTCATGCTGATATAACATAAATGTGAGAAAATTTTATATGTTGTTGGTTTTTGTGGTTTATTTATTAAAGAAACAAATAACAATATGGTCAGCGTTGTTACAAGGGCAAAAAATTTTGTACTTTAAATGGTGTCGAAATTGTACTTTTTTAAGTGGGATTGTACATTTTTGGCGGAAAAATGTGGGGTCATAAAAACAAAGAACACCAACAAAGAAATAATAAACTCAAAAATATACTGGTATAATATAAAACATAAACAAAAAATAAAATGTAAAGTGTTGACTTTCAACTTAATTTACGTCATTGACGTCAGTTGTCAACCGAACCGTTCCACAGCGAATTCGAAAATGCCGCCGCGCCGGCACGTTGGCATTATTTGAAAGGCAGGTCGCTAGGAGTATGATCTGAATTAAACCCTCTGCTTCTAGCAACCTGCATTTCAAATCCACTCATCGCGTATCACCATTCGTCTAAAAAAATATGTACGTGGGTTTAAGTTTCGGTTAGTTTGGGTTTGAGAACTAAGAATTGTACATTTTTTCTTGCAATTGTACATATGTACTCCTTGACTATCAAATGTACCCAAAATAGTACAATTGTACCTATTGTAACAACACTGAATATGGTAAAGGTGTGGATCCGGTGGCTGACCTTGAAGCCCATATTTGCTGTATTTGATCATCGATACTACGCAAGCGCACATCGTCGATGTTGCCAAATTGCAGTTTATTTTCGAATTATTTGCAGTTGAAAATTTTTTTTGAGTGTTAATCTGGTGTTAATCAAAAATAATACAAATTCTATAATTAATTTTATAATTTCAGATTTATTTTGATATCCAAAATTAAGGTAAAAGGATAATGAAGATTGTGAAATGAAAGTATTATGAATATATAATTGTAATAATAAATAATAACATTTATTTATATATTTACATTAGAATTAAAAATTATCATGTACGGATTTTTTCTTATGGTTTTAAACTTATTAGAATTATTTTATTTCTTTCAAGTTATTTAATTTCTAGTTATTTACAGGCAACAATAGTTTAGTATTTCAAAACATCAGTACATATGTACTGCTGTATGAATGAAATACTGTTTTGAAATACTACCATGACGAGTCTTATGGAACAATACACGTCAATGGGAGATAGAGGTAACATCTTACCTATAATGTTACTAATATAATATACTTTGATTGTAATGTTTGTATCGTAATTTCTTAAAAATATCAAGTTAGTGGATTAATAGCAATTTTAGACATATATTTTATCGAAGAGTGTGTTGATAAGACTAAAATAAGCTTTATGTTTTATCTTTTTCTCTTTAGAAAGGAGATGGTTTGTGTCGTAGAATACATTACAGTATTTAATATCGTGTACTTTGATATTCTTTTCTTAATTTACCGTAATTTCTTGTTTCCTATAATGCCAAATCTTGACAATATGGTGAAGGTTGAGTTTTGATCTTATTAGTTTTATACCTGTGTTTATACAAGACCAAACTAAGACCTAGTTAGTTTGTGATTTATATTAAGATCTTTCTTATAATATTTGTTATGCCTTAATCTTAATACTATATTATGCTTTGTCTGGAAAATAAATGTTAAAATATTTTAATTTTGCATATCCTATTTCATCCTTCCATTAGGAAAAATATGGTTTATAAATCATATTATGCTAAGAAAATCACATAAATTAGGTGTAAGAATAGAGAAATCTTAAGGTAGCAGAAAAATTAATGCAATATATGTATAAGCAGAATTAAACAAGATAACTGTAAATGTTGCTGAAGCTGATTCAACAATTTTAATTACGGAGGCTATAAAAGGCCTTTTAAGGCCTCCGTAGTTTTGATGGAATGTTAAAAAAACCTATGAACATGACATGGAGCTACAGCATTTAAAAATTAAAAAAAAAAGAAAAAACTTGGACACATCCCTTTTAATTTCCCGATTTTTTAATAAAGCACTTTTTAAACGTAGCATAATAATCTAGAGCAATTAAATTAATTATAGGAATCTAGAATTTTATTTCTATTTAATTTTATTGACTATGAAAATACATAATAAGCCTTCACGTTTCACGTGTTGTGCGAAATATTAAAATAATAATATCGTTGATTGAAGGAAATAACATTCACAGTTCTTTCAATCAACGATAATATAAAAAATAATATACCGCGCGTATTATGATTGAAAAAAATAGCGTCAGCGATGGCTATGAAATGAAGATCGCTGTCATTTTATATGGGAGATGTCCTCAATCGTCATTTCCCAGCCAACTGGACGCCGTTTTTTCGATAATACTGATATTGACTAAAAAAAAACACTGAAAAGCACATATTTGTTTTCTACTGAAAATAATTCCAAAATAACTTGGAATCTGGCAACATCGAAGATGTGCGCATGCGTAGTGTATGTGACTATATGCAGTAAAAACTCGTTTCAAGGTCAGCCACCGGATCCACACCATTACCCTGTTAATTTAGATAGTCAAGCATTGAAGTTTGTAACATCAAAAATAAAATTATTAAGAATATAATAGGGTATTATCGGAATATTTTAATTTTAATCGATACTGTTGTACATTCCTAATCGCCGGGACAATAAATGTCATGCCCGAAGGTCATAGTCGTCAAATTCTCTAAGTAATTCTCAGTACCTCTATCTCTAGTATTTAATAAGCGTTTTGAAAACGTTTCTAAATTGACAGATGACAATTGACAGTTTAAATACGACAGTTTTCGAGGGAGAGAGAAGTTACGAGTGGGTATTTAAAAACCATTCAATTCTCAATAAACATCTTTAAAAGCGACAAATTATATTTTGATAAACGTTTCTTATAAGTGTATAATTGTGTTGTTACTACTTCTACCATGTGAATTATTGTACGTGTGCCAAACCGTCGTATTGATTTCTTGGAGTTCTATAATTTCTGGACGATCCGCCATGTTTGTTATTCTCCTTTACTATTTTTAGGCGTATGCATAAATGCATATGACATATGCCCCCTTTGTTACTGTTTTATTTGGACTTCTGATTTAGTAATAATTAGTTTAGTTCGGTGGTGAATTAAGTTAAATTCGGTAAGTCTAGATAACCATTTACCTAATTTGAAAGTCTGTTGATATTTCAACTTGAAACCGACAATGGCTTTTTTGATGTTATTCATGTGTTATTCCACTCGGTACACAAATAGATGTACTGATATGTTTTAAAGACTATAATTTACTTATTTTTAAACCCTTTAATATGTATGTGGTGTATACTGTGCAGTGCATCGGAACACGGGACAGAAATCCCCATGTAAATTTTGAAAAGGTCAGATATCTCCCTAAATGGTTTTATGCAAAAGCTGTATTAACTTTTTTGAAGAGACGTTAAAGTTGTACTTTCGCCTAGAATTTTGTTTTATTCGTAATCGGTATTAAAAAATTATTTGCAAAAATCTACCTTAATATTAGTAAAATTTATAATACGGCCCAGAAAAAGCTACAGTTAAAATACCAGCAAAAACGTGATTTTCTCTGATTTTAACTTATGAAAAATATATAAAAACAAGTTTTAAATTACGAAAAATGTATTTTGGGGACACTAACCATAGGTACTATAACATAGAAGTGTAGAGGGTACAAACCAAGCACAAACCAAACAAATTACATTTGACAATGATAAAATCATAGGTTGACTTAAGACTTACTTAAGGTATGTTGACATTTGCCTGGTTTTGCATTGTTACCCTGTTCAGTTTATTTAAAAATAGATGCAGTGTTTTTTGAATTATTTAAAATCGGCTTGTCCAAAATTGTTCAAATTTGGCATGTGTATTCAACCTTTAAAAAATCTATTTACAACTTTGCTGTAAAATCAACAGGAGAGCCAATATTTTCACAGTTCAAAATTTGCATGGGATTTCCTGTTTTCAATGACAATGCACCACCAAGTATATAAATTATTATGAAAATACCATAATAGTGGTAGAGCAAACTGGAAAGAACTACACGTATATTAGAAGATAGGTTAAAAGAGGAAATAAGTTTTTAATATTACAGTAAATAAGAAGATGGATTTAATAGTGAAATCGTATAGTAAGGATAACAGAGACATACCTGTATCATTACATGAAAAACATAGTCGACCACCTGAAGACACATCAGGACATTTAGGTAAATATGTATTAGAATCTGTTCAACCATGCTTCAGCGTTACTTTATGCATTGTCATCACAAAACATATGCATAACATCCCCCTTTAGAACTTTTTCTTTATGGCCATAAACGGGAATCATAGACAAACAAATAAAAAGAGACTGACAAATCCCATGGTAAAGAGTGGGACCGCGTTCCCGTAGCGCAACTCAGAATAACAATTTTGAAACCAATTAGCAGGACTATGGCAGGACGTACGTCTTTATTGCTATCTTTCTTTATTATGTGTTTTTTATATGAAAAAGAAAGAGATAGGTATAAAACGTATTGTAAGACATTATCGCACATTCTGGCTGGCGGAAAATTTAAACTAGCCATTATTAGTAGTATTCTTTCATTCTGAAACTGAAAGTTTTCACTTAAACTGATTTATTCCCTATACCACGTAAAGGGAACGTGGTGTAGGGAATAAATCAGTTTAAGTAAAAATTTGCAGTTTCTTTCAGAACGAAATAATACTACTATTATAAGGGAAATTATAAAAAAAAACTTGTACTGTTTTTATAAAATATATATTTAATTATACATAAAAAGAAATAAACTTTTTATAATATAATAACAAAAAAATAACACTGTTTATTCCACCCACCTACCAATTTTAAATGCAGAAGAACTGACTGTTGCAGGAAACAATTGGCCAATTTTTTTAAAGGGCATTAAAAATCTCATTATCGAAAAAACAGCCTAATTGCAATAACAAAGTGAATATCCAAGCAAAGAAGACTTTACGAGAATCATGATCCTGAACCATTTTCAAGTCCAGTTTTAATCCTAAAACAAAAGTAAAATAGGTAATACTATAAACCAGCTATAAACTACCTACCCAAAAAATGAAAAAAATTAATTGTATTAATTTGTTATGTTAAGAGAGGTTCGAAATATTTTTGACACTACTACTTCTACTTTTTTCTTAATAAGATGATAAATATAACTACTTACTTTTATTTTACCAGGTGTCTTTAACATATCTCTCAGAGAAAGGGGGCACCAATACATATAAAAAATAGATGATACTGGCTCCTGCAGCAAATAAAATATAAAATAGTATAACCTAAAATTATAAGTAACAAAATATAAATACCTATATGAAACAAAGGAATTTGTTCCCTATCCATATTCATAAGTCAATAAAATGGAGAGTTTAGAAAAAAAGGTAAATCACCAAAAGAAAAATTAACATTGTCATGATGACGAAAACGAAAGGCGATTGTTCTAATTTCTATTTAGAAATTACGTTTTATATGGCTGCTTCTTTCTCTCTTGTTATATTAGAATGAGATAGTGGGCCCAATAGACGCAATGCGCAGGTCAACATAAATAGAACGAAATTTTGCGTTCTGAGTTGCGCTACGGGAACGTTGTCCCTCTCTTCGCCATTTAATTTGCCAGTCTCTTTTTATTTGTTTGTCTATGACGGGAGTAAAAGACTCACCGCCCGAACAAACACTAGAGGCGCCACCGGTCATCAAATGGTGTAAAAATTGCGAAAATTTAATCATCTAATTTTGACACAAGGGGTCGCGCTTAACTTTTTCAATATTAATTCAATTTTCATTGTTTTCAAACTATATTATTAGACTTTGTTGTATTTTGTGAATTTATAAATGTTTTCTTAGTATAAAATTGCATTATATTAATTTAAATTATATTACATACATATTTAAAATTAAAATATTATGACATATATGTCAGTTGCCGTCTAAAATGTCATCTTGATAACAAAAAGTCAGTTACTGTCAGAAATAGTTAAAATCATGTTAAAACATTAAAATTCACAAGTTATAATTAGATATTTTATATTATTTCAAAAACAAAAACGTAATGGTACAGCGTAATGTTGAAATGCAGGTCCAAAACAAAAAGTGCTGTTATATTTTAGTGTTGTCGGATATTTTTATTTGTGAAATAAAAATACTACGTTTGGATTGCAAAACTAAAAGTGGAAGTTTTATTGAAATATAAGTAAACGTTTGTGCATTTTATATTTTCCTTTTTTCATAGCTACGACAAATATACATATAATATATTGAAATTTTAGAATTCGTTTTACTTAAAAAATGTTAGAAAACAAGCCTGTAATCCTGTAATTGACATAATTGTTATGTAATGTATTCCATTTAAATGTAATATATTACTTTACAATTTAAAAAATTTAAATTTAAAAAATATATTTAAAATATATACAGGCATTAATTGAAATTTTTAGTACGCGAACAAACACTAGAGGCGCTTTATTATTTACTTTCATTTCTTAACATGACAGATGAAGTTTTAAAGGGGTATGTTTTGTGATTGTCATACTCTTTCTTTCACATGTAACTGGGATAAATAACATTGTAAAAATGTCATTTAGGCATTTTGTAAAGGATATAAGAGGACCAATAACACCAGAGATCGACTTGTTACCAGTTTACACCACATCTTAGACAGAGGGCTAATACACAGATGCAGAATTAAATAAAAATTGCAGTTTAATTTTTATTTAATTTTGTATTTTTTATATTAACCCTCTGGCACGGCATTGGCCTAATAGCTTTGGTGTCGACTGGTAACAACTTGGTCTCGGATGCTATTGGTCCTTGTATTCTATAATCATTGAGAAAAATAATGATGACTTAACGTTGAACGCTTGTTGTACAGACTGTATCTATATTCTTGTAGGAGCATACATTATTTTAGATATTGTATTTGTGCCTTAGATCAAACAACTTCTAATTCGTGTCGATGTGAAGATATCAAAACAGAGGAAGATCCCGATGTTGTGATAATTGGTAAGTAAATATTTAATTAAACCTTCAATGTTATTGGCCAAAAAAAGATGGGGCTTTTGAGGGCCCGAGTTACAACGCTTCGTCGTAACCTCCGATCGTTACCACCTTACCTGACGCTAGTTCGTGTGTCACGGTTAGAGATTTAACGCTTCAGTAAAAAAAACGGGAAAAATTGGAAAAAAACACGGTGTTTTACTGTTTTTTCCACATACCTTGGAAAAATTGGAAAAAAACGGAAAAACTGAAAAACCACAAATTATATTTATAGAAGCACAAATGAAAGTAAATTAACCAAATTATACATTCTTGTGGGGTCAATAGTCAAAATCAAATAAAGTAGCCTACTAAAATGCCGTTAATAGATATTGTGACGTCGTTCATGTCGGCGGAAAGTAATGCCTGGCTATAAACATTTTGCAAGAGCACCTGTGGCTCCGTGGCTGAGGCTATCGCTTCGTGAGCGAATGGTCCGTGGTTCAAATCTCACGCCGACCAAGACTTTTTTATATTTTTTTTTTGCTTATAGCATGATCTTATTGCATTGGTTTCACTCTTTTTAATTGAATTTGTTTAGTTTTTTTGGCGGGTTGATTAGCTTGGTTATTTGGAAAGTGTTAATTCATTGGTTAGTTGGTTATTTGGTGGGGTTGGTTGGTTTTTACTAATTTATATTTGTTTTTTATATTTTTTTATCAGTGTCGAGGTTAGTTGCGTTGGTTATTTGGTGGGGTGGATAGCGTTGGTTAGTCCTTATAAAATTCCTATACTTCATAAAGCTGTCAAGTGCGTCACATCAAATACGTCATACCTATTAACGGCATTTTAGTAAGCTACCGTTTAACGGCAGTTTAAGTACAGCCTAAATTTTTTCTTATAATATAAAAATAATAGAGGTCTAAACATCGATGGGGTACACCTTAGCCATCTTAGGTACGCAGACGATATTGTCTTGCTGAGCATCGACATTCAAAAACTGAACACCATGCTAAAGGAGCTAAATGAGCAATCCCAGAAAATTGGCCTTAAAATGAACTTGAAGAAGACCAAGATAATGAGCAACAATATCCATAACATTACCGTTGAACGTTATTATTGAAAACGTAGACCATTATACAGTGCTTTTATTTTAACTGTGAACATAGGGCTTATAGCGCCATGCTATTCTACTATGTTCATTTTTAAAATAAAACAGTCAACGCATTGAATTTTGATAGTAGGTATGCAACCAACAATTCATAATTTTAAACCGCCATTTTAAAAAGCTTTTGTTTAAAAAATTTGTTTTAAAATACGCCATTTTTTATAATTTATTTTTAAATTTTCATTGTAAATTGATTGTAAAATTAATAATATAAAATAACATGTTTACAGAAAAGGAAAAAATTGAAATGGTGTCTTTATACCTAAGCGGTAACAGTATAAGATCAGTCCGCGATATATTTGCGGCTAAATATACTGACAAACAAATTCCGTCGATGGGACTAATTCAAAAGTTAGTACAAAAATTTAATCATGAAGGCTGTATTAATAATCTGCATAAAAAGAGGGTACGACAATGTCCGGTACTAACGGAAAATTTAAAATTAGAAATTTTTTGTTACGTTGAAGGAAATGAAAGGATAACGCTAAATACACTTTCACAGCGTTTTGGTGTTTTCAAGTCGTCAGTTCACAATTTATTGAAATAATTCAAATTTAAATCGTATAGATATGGAAATCACCAAGTTTTATTTGAAGAAGACAAAGAAAGACGCACTGTATTTTGTGAAAATTTATTTAATTTAATTAATAATAACAATGACCTCTTGCACAACATAATATTCACAGATGAGGCTACTTTTACATTACATAGATCAGTCAACTCCCAAAAGTTTCGGTTAGTATCATAAAATCAAGTTTATAAACATTCTTTGTTTCTAAAATAGGTATATCTACGTATATTTAAGATATTGGTCACGAACAAATAACCACCGAAAAAATTTAACATACAGTCAGTATAATAACAAAATTAACGTATGGATAGGGATAGTTGGACAATTCCTCATTGGTCCATATTTTATTGACGGCAATTTAACGTCTATAAAGTTTCTCGATATACTGAAAAATATTTTACCACAAATTCAAAATTTGAATTTAAATTCTCCTTGGTTTCAAATGGATGGAACACCAGCCCATTCTACCAATTTGATAAGGAATTTTCTGAATCCAAACTTTCCTGAACGATGGATTGGACGTAATGGCCATCTAGCATGGCCAGCACGATCACCAAATCTGTCACCAAATGACTTTTTTCTTTGGGGCTATCTAAAATCCAAAATAGAAATAGAAAACATAGAGGAATTAAAAACTAGGGTACTTACAGCATGTAATTCAATAAATCGTCAATTCCTCAGAAATGCTGTAGAGGAATTTAAAAACCGTCTTGGCATATTGCTTGGAATGTGGGGGAGGGCATTTTGAACATCTCTTGTAATTCTAATTTTAATATGTTAATAAATAAGTACACTATTTCAGTACATATTCATTATTTGCACCTAAAATCAAAGTTACTTTTAGTATTATATTACCATTATAACGAATTTGACTTTCAAGTGTGCTACAGTTTTGTGCTTTAAGTAAATAAAAATATGATGAATGAATAGTTAAAACTAAAAACAAAGTGATATTACCTTTCTTAGCGGATTCGCCCTTGAGGTTAGACGCCAATGAGACGCTTTGTATCTATTACAAAATGTTGAAACTAGCATATCTTCATAAGTGATCCTTATTACACTAAATCATGAATAATAGATATCAACATAAGCTTGTAAACATGGAGAATATTTTTTACGCTCCACGTTCACGTTGAATTCTCGTTCACGTTATGTTCACGTTTTCTATTCCATACATAACCAATAACCAACCTTGTTTCATCTTTTCATCCATTGATTAAATAAATATTGACTAGCGATTCGTTACCAAAAAATTAATAGTCATTAAATAAAATTCAAGATATTATTTGTCATCCAAAACAGATTATTCCAAAATTGTTTTTTTTTGAGAAAGAATACCCTAAAATTTTGGTTAAACAAAATAAATTATTTTAAAACAAATATTATTATTTTTGTACGGAGTATTGTTGGTTGCATACTGTTCAGTTCAAATCCAATGCATTGACTCTTCCACATTAAAAATGAACATAGCAGAATAGCATGCGGCTATAAGCCCTATGTTCACAGTTAAAATAAAAGCACTGTATATATTTAGGTCATAAAATCAAGCTGGTCAAGGAAAACCAAAATACGGAGATCAAACGCAGGATCCATTTGGCATGGGTAGCATTTGGAAATATGAGCGATATTTTCAAGGATAAAAAGGTGCCCATGAACCTAAAGAAAAAGGCTTACGACAGCTGCATTCTACCTGTGCTTACGTATGGCTTAGAGACTATGGCAATTACCCGAAAAACAGCAGAATAACTACGAGTAGCACAAAGAGCCATGGAAAGAATCATGTTGGGAGTCACCATTGGGGAAAGAATACGGAATACCCACATACGTCGAAAAATAAAATTAATAGATGTCGTTAAAAGAGTGGCAATGGATAGGACATGTCGCAAGACAGGATCCAGACCGATGGCCCCAAAAAGCAATCCTATGGAGACCTAGGGGAACAACAAGAAGTGTGGGCCGACCAAAAAAGAGATGGGTCGATGACGTCAGGGCAGTGGCGGGAAGACAATGGATAAGATTGGCTAGAGATCGCGAAGCATGGAAAATCCTAGAAGAGGCCTATATCCAACACTGGATGGAACCAGGCTGAGAAAGAAGAAGAAAGAATATAAAAATAACTTTGGTTTCAAGTTTTTAAACAAAATAAATGTAAAAAAAAATATTAAAAATCAAACTTAAATTATCATTTCTAAAAACAGAAACATTATTGAGAAAAATACCAAGAGGAAGATCTTCCTCCGAGTCCGAGATCCTGAGTCTTCGGCTTCTGAGTAAGCATCGGCATCTGATCTGCCTCCACATTACCCTCTTCTTCATCTTGAATTAAATCCACAACGTTTTCAGACTGTTCTAAAAGCGGAAATGGTCTGGGATTATATATATATTTTTGCCATTTTCATATAGATTTAAACACACTAAACGATTAAACTAGACTGAATAGCAACCAGCTTTTGAACTTTATCCTGTGCCAATCTATTTCTTTTGTTAGTATGTATAAACCCATGTGTAAGGACCAATTTCTTTCTGACGAGGCAGAGGATGGAGACATTGGTTCATTGGTTCATGGTCATTTTTTTACCACAGTAGTTTTTAATTAGTGTATTGGAAATACAACTCAGTAAAATATGAAGAATGGTTTTTACAGAGTGAGTATGGCAACCAAAGCAAGTAAAATTGAACAAAAAATCATAATGCTGGTAGAATATCTGTAGCGTTCTTTTGCTAATGTTCACAATTTTAGTTGATCAGAAATAAATTCAATTCCTTCTGACAAATTTTCATCCTCTATTTTTAGGTTTTTAAGTAAATTGGATATAAAGTCCAAAACCTGGTAAATCTGTTTTATTTTCTTGATACTTATTAAGATTGTCACAGTCGGTATTGGAATTGTCATGTTTAGTATCCTCGTTGGTGTCTAACGAAAAAGTCATCATCGAACTATCAATACAATATCAAGTAAATTTCCTATTTCGTCCAAATTACTGGTGAAAAAAGGAGTCTTTATATTATTTACTTCTGAAGTTATTAACTGACCATATAAATATGTATTTACTTTTAAGTTATCGGCAATTACAACAGCCCAAGTAATTGTAGGCTCCGGAGTGTATTCTAATTTGAATATGGATAAGCCATTCTCGTTAATAATGAAAAACCAACCAAGTTAAATTAAAAGACTGAAATAATTGTTTAAGTTCCTCAAAAGTTGTAAAACTCGTAAGTTTCTTATGTGCTAAATATTCTGGTTTGCTTTGTTCAATTGCTTGCTGAAAACGAATTTGATCTAATTCGTTAAGTTTTTCATCTTTGCTTTTCCGATATGATATCTTTTCTGATAAATATTTGGGACAATTCGGAAATTTACTTGGTACGCTAGTTTCTTTTAATCGGGGCAAAGTTAAATTAACTGAAACGATCTCACCGGTTTTTGTATCCTGTTGAGAAATTTCATAAATAAAATCCTGCTTTTCAAAATGGCACTCGCCATCTTACACACCCGATTGTTGTTATTTGGCACATTTTCGCGAGAAATTGCAGTTAACCATTTTTTGCGAAGTTTTTTGTCTCTGGGAAACCGAAACACCCGCGCTTTTGTACCGCTGGCATAAAATTACAACCTGGGACACAATTATGGAACAACATATAAAACACTACAAACACTACACTATCTAAATTTGTTAAAAGTACAAAAAACACATAAAATAGTCCGTTCAATAATACCTAATCGATAAAATCGAGCGAATTCATTGACCCAACAAAAACAAACGCGGTGTCTATCTAGACAAGGAAAGAGAGTCTCTCTTTCCTTCTTTAAGGACAAAATATTCGGAAGCTGAACCGCGCAACCGCGGTTTACGTCAAACTCAGCTGAACTTTACCACTGATGGACTTTTATAAATATCAGAGTAAATTATGGCCCTATTTAAAAACAAAGTTAAAAACTCATCAGCATTTCTGTATTTTTAAATCATACAAAAAATACTCATTAAGTTCAAAGAATTATTCATAATGTTCAAAATTCCCGCAAAGCGCTTCTCGCCGAACAAAACCGAACTCTCCGTGTAGGATCCGAATGTTTCCGAGGTTTTCGTGATTGCGGTTGCGCGTTTCAACTTTCGAGTATTTCGTACTTAGACAAGGACTTCTTTCTTTGTTTTGCCGAATTCGTGTTAGAATCGCTAGGCCCACAGACCGTGACGTCAGCATCATTTTTAATTTAAGCACTTTGTCTTTTTTGTAGGAGTTAATGATGGAGGCCCATTTAAAATCCGTGAGGCAATTTTCATAAGCGGCTGTGATGTACAGGATGGGTCAAATTCGACGCTTTTAAATGGAAACACCCTTTTCTATAGGAGATAGACGAAAACTAATATCGGTGTCTGGAGCTCAATTTTTGTCAAAAACATGATGGTGTAATATCTGTTACCGTTTTGGATTTACGGGGTGTTTTTCAAAAATATGCATTTTTAACAAATCGCTGTAACTTTTTTGCTATGGAAAATTTTGTATTTTTATAAAAACATTTCCAAAGCACCTTTTTACGTAGAATTTAATGATTTAAGTATAATTTTTTTAAAATTAATAATTTAAGAATTATCAACAGAAAATTTGATTTTTTATATAGGACACCCTGTATATTTTTAATCTATTGAAAAGAATTTAAAAATACCTTTCCAAAAATATAACACACTTGATATTTTGCTCGATTTCTCTTCGAGATATAGAGTATATAAAAATTCGCCCGCTTTAAATAAGTAGGCTTTGAACGGCACCGGCTGTAATGCAAAAAAATTCTAGCTGTGAGCATCAATTAAAACGAAAATAATATTTGCTATGAGAGATGCAGAATTTTATAACAATTTAAAATATATTTAACCAACATCAACACATTTAAACTATATCTAATAACAATAAAAATAAATAGAAAACTAAAACATGAGATTTTGCTACAGGTATCGACCGTATACTACATATCGACCGTCTTCTGTTATGGACATACAGGGCAGTTTTTGAACATTTCTTGCGGAATTCATTAACTCAGTGGGGGTGAAAGAATGAGTGAAGTGGGGGTGAATAACTGCTAAGTATTGCTAATTCTTGTCTAGATTATACGGAAGAATAAAGAACCTTTTTGCAAATATATATATATATATATATATATATATATATATATATATATATATATATATATATATATATATATATATAGGATTAGATCCATGGGCACTAAGTCAGGCGGCCTCGACGGCCAACGGCTGGGATCTTGGTTAGTTATTCAATTATTTTTGAAATTGGCTGCAAAAATTTGCTGATAACTTCAGCGTGCGTCATCTTGCTGGAAAAATATGTTTTCGAGTTCCATTAAGGGCATATCATCAATAAGGGGTCCAAGGCCTACTAGTTAAGTGGCGAACTTTTAAAAATTCTGTATTTCGAAGGGGATTATAACAAAATATCAAGTGTGCTATATTTTTGGAAAGGTAATTTTAAATTCTTTTCGGTTAATTACAAATATAGAGAGAGGGTGTCCCAAATAAGAAATCAAATTTTCTGTTAATAACTCTTAAATTATTAATTTTAAAAAAATTATACTTAAACCATTAAATTCTACGTAAAAAAGTTCTTTGGAAATGTTTTCATAGAAATACAAAATTTTCCATAGCAAAAAAGTTACAGCTATTTGTTAAAAATGTGCATTTTTGAAAAACACCCCGTAACTCCGAAACGGTAACAGATATCAATATGCGGTTTTCACCATCATGTTTTTGACAAAAATTGAGCTCCAGCCTCCGATATTAGTTTTCGTCTATCTCCTATAGAAAAGGGTGTTGCCCTTTAAAAGCGTCGAATTTGACCCACACTGTACACAAACCTTTCCACCATAAAAGCGTAAATGAAGTTTCACTTCAAAAAAACTAAAAACTTTAAAATGGCCACTACACTGTGCGTGAAATAGCTCGAAGTAGGTTATTCCGTGTTTCCTCGTCTAAATTTGTCTCATCTCAGCTTATTTTCATTTCTTAAAACGCCCCTAAACTACTCGTGAAATTGCTGTTTTTTGTGAACTTTCTGTTGTCTCGTTCAATTTTGTTTTGTTTCGAACTGCTTTCACGTCGCGCGTCTTGTCGGGACATTTTTATCATAAATCTCAGTGAAATAAGCAAACTTAAACGTTTCTTATTTTTTTCAAATTAGAGACTCGCGAAGGACCTTAATTTTTTTGTTTTAATTTTTTTAGAACAGACCCCCGAAGAAATTGCTGTAGAAAATTTTACAACAATGACCCGGCCCACTCTACAACAAATGCTGGGTATGGAATCGGAAAACGAGTTTGAATTTGTAGAGGCGTTAAAAAAATACAATGAGTAAGTACTGTTTTGTAAATTTACTTAAATATCGTGAATATCAAAATTTTTTTTAACAATACGGAGGTTAAAAATGTCTATACCTATGTGGCAGATTCATCCAACGAAATGTTAAGATATATGGAATGGGTCTGCCCCGTATCGATCGATGTTAGAATGAGACAGACAAGAAGGATAGCGATAGGCAGGGCAAAAAATGGCTTCTTGTCATTAAAACTGTGTGTTTTTGTCAGGTTTTGGTGCACGTTTTTAGTAGTAGTGGGAACTATCGAATGAATACTATCGAAACATTCGATAGTTGCAATTCATTCGAATAATTCGATAGTTAGTAAGAAAACATTCGTTGAAAACTATTCGAATAAAAATTATCGAATAGATCCGTCATCTGCCTTGAAATATTGTATTCTAGTAATTCGGCAGCAAAAACCATTCATTTATAAAATTCATTCATTTATGAAATTCATTTATTCGTCAGGATCGATTATAATAAAATATTAACTGAATTTTAGTTGTCGCCCGGCGACGTAGGTTTCTTTCCGAGGAACCCGACAGCGGTCGGTAGCAATGCTATGAAAGAAGCCGGCATCTTTGATTTTTTGCGGAGTCAGATATAGATAAGGACACATTATTTTTTTTATTGAGGTGCTAGTATTTACACAGAAAATACATTATGAAGGGCGCTGTTGCCATATTTTGGTATTAGTTGATATTAGCAAAGAATATTATTGTGTGGCTTTAGTTAGTTAGGGATAGTATGTCTATATATTCTGCATTTTTTTATTAATATTCTGTTGTTACACTGCAATAATACTTGTTATTTTGGATGTAGGAAAATTATTTTTAATGTTTTTAAGCAAAGACTGGTTTAATAAATAATAATAACAGTAATAATTTGTTATACCTATTAACAACAAAATTTAAAATCATTTAATATAAATATTTTTTTTAAGTAGTAGCAAAATATAAACAACAAATTAGATGTCAAAATTATTTATATTAGATCCTATTTAAAAATAATATAGTCTCTAAATTTTTTGTGTGTTGCAACGTTGGTTTATTAAATAATAATAATTACAGAACTAATTTGTTACCTATATTAACAACAAATTTTAAAATCATGAAACATAAACATTTATTAATTTTCTAAGCATGCAGTGTAATGGAAGGAAAATATAAATAAAAAATTAGAAATCAAAATTATTTATATTAGGTGCTTTATATTACTATTTAAAAATTATATTTACTTTTACTGGCATTTACTTTAAAAAACAAATGAAATATTTCTTCGCTAAAAACTACATGTAAGAGAATTAGCATAAACAAAATACAAACATCGTTAACTTTTTTTTTAAATTGGTACGTGTAAAACTTTCATTTTAATTTTCTCACCCCATAGTTTGAATTCGATAACCGCATTTACTTAACCACATTACTCAATATGATTATTAAGTTCAACTAATTCATATTATTAAAACATCTAAAATACAAATATGTATTTTTAAAATTAATTGTAAGTTCATCTCATCTCTCTTAAAAATTGCTACTTCTCAAAATTTCCCATTAAAAAATAGACCATATACCATATAAAATTAAATAATTGAAAGATCGGACTACGGAAAACCACACAAATTTTTTTCATTTATTTTAACTATTTTAATAAACGCAAAAAATAGCACAGTATTTATACGGCGAAGTTATAAAATTTGGAAGAACTAATAATGCACTGACGCATACAAAAAATCAAACGAATACTAAATTTCATTTATCAAAAGCATTCGATAGTCGTGGCTCAACGATAACCATTTAGTCGCACGGCGAGGTTGTCACATATGCTTTAGTATACAAATGAATGAATGATTTTATTCGAATAAAACCATTCGATAGTTGAAATCATTCATTCATTAACCATTCGATAGTCTAATTCATTCGATAGTTCCCATCGCTAGTTTTTAGAGATTTTTGAGTGTATTTTTGTTTCTGGTGGAGTTTTAAACTGTTATTTATACTTTTTGGTGATTATTACAAACATTTTTGGACCGCATAGACGATTTTTTAGTTGTATTTTTCTTGAAATGGTTGAATCTTCCAGTGCAGTGAATTGTAGCAATAGGCGAACAAAGTAGGTTAAAATGAAGTTTCACAGGTAAGTTTTTCCCTTTGATTAGTAATGGATTGCTAAAATATTATCTATTTTTAATAAATAATAGAATTCCCAAGGGCCCCAACTTAAGAAAGTTATGGTTACTGGTTATGGTTACTAATTCAAAACAATATTTAAATCGGATTTCCAAATGACTAGGACTTATTTCCAATTAAAGTCTATCCTAAATGGCTAAATCTTTATAACTCTGCCCGATATCGATAACATTAATAATTCTAGGGTGCGTTTATCATTTTTCCACATAGGTCACCAATATATTCGCAGAAAGTCGCTCGCTTCAGATCAAAAGGATTTTTTTTTCAAACGTCTCAAGAGTAATAACTTTTGTAATTTTAACGCCTATGCATAAAAGTAAAGCACTGTTACGCTTAAGCACAAAAGTACAAAAATATATTATTAAACAAAAAAAATTAAGTGTCAAATTCAACGAGTGTAAAAATTGTTGCTCGATTACTATTTATATTATTAGCAATGTTTCAAATTGATTAAAAAATTATTTGTAATGTTTTAAGAAAAGAATATGTCCTGTTCGGAGTAAAAATGTACTTTTTGTGCCTCCCTGTAACGTCGGAATAGCTTTACGATAGTCCCTTCAATTCGTCAAAAAAAGGATAATTTTTACTCCTAATAAAACAATACACTATTGTTCGGAAATAGTCTTAATTCTAGAATTAAATTAATATTATCTAATGTCAAAGTATAAGGAACTTACAGCTGATCAAAATGTCGGTAGGAATTTGGAAACATTTTCAAAAAAAATACACCGTTTGGAAAAAAAATATATAAAACAACATATTTTCTGACGATTATTTCGGGGCGAAAGACCGAAAACATCGAACAGCTTAGAAACCCTAACGAACTGCAGAAATTTAAGAACAAACTCAAACAACAAAGGGAGAATACTAACGTAGCTTCGTGGAACGAGGCAGCAGACTTGTTTGAAACCGTTGCTGAAGCGACATTAGGCACAAAACGCATAAAACGCAAAGAATGGCTTAGCGACGATACTTGGAACTTAATAGAACAAAGAGCTCAGATAAAACAAAGAATAAATGCAACTTCAACTCACGAGACCAAAACTACTTTACAACAACAATATCAAGTATCGAATAGAGCAGTTAAGAGATCAGCCAGAAAGGACAAACGAGCTTGGCATGAAAAACTAGCAAACGAGGCACAAAAAGCCGCAGAACAACGCAATATGAGGGAACTGTACAAAATAACAAAATACCTGAGTGGACAACGTAGTAACTTCAATACAGTTATTAAAAGCAAAGACGGCAGAGCACTAACATCCTCTGAAGAACAGCTTAACAGATGGAAAGAACGCTTCAGCAACCTGCTTGGACCAATAAGTGAACAAAATTTCGACAACGAGGAACCGGAGCCAACAATCGAAATGCCTATCAACTGCGACACGCCAACGAAAACAGAAATACAAAAGGCTATTAAAACACTTAAGAACAATAAAGCAGCCCGCACCGATAGCGTCCCTGCAGACCTCCTCAAAGCAGATCCTAGCACATCAGCAGATATACTGCATCCTCTAATTACAAGAGCTTGGGTATCTAACATCATCCCAGATGAATGGAAACAGGGTCTCATTATTAAACTCCCTAAAAAAGGAGATACCACTAACTGTGACAACTGGAGAGGTATTGTTTTGTTAAACACCATTCACAAGATAATATCCTCTATAGTTCATTTAAGGTTAAACTCCTATATAGAGCCTACTCTGAGAGAGAACCAAGCTGGTTTCCGACCGAATCACTCGTGCATTGGCCATATTAACACATTGCGCATTATCATAGAGCAGTCAATAGAATTTAGGTCACCTTTATTCTTATTATTCATAGATTTCGTCAAAGCTTTTGACAGTATCCCCCATGCGATGGTATGGAAAACTCTAAAAGAAAAAGGTGTTCCGGAAAAACTAATTAATATAATCAAGGAACTCTACAGAAACACAGAATGCAATGTGCTGCACAACGGTAGAACCAGCGACAGTTTAACTTAGGGACAGGAGTAAAGCCGGGTTGCACATTATCGCCGCTTCTATTTAATATCGTGCTCGACAGCGTTTTGACTAAAGCCACAGCAAATATTAGGGGAGTACAATGGACTCTGACATCGCATCTGACGGATCTTGATTATGCTGATGATATCTGTCTCACAACGCAATCCTCCAAAGACATGGAAGTGATGCTCAGACGTCTAAAAACAGAAGCAGACAAAGTAGGATTAAGCATGAACATCGACAAAACAAAGTCAATGCGCATTAACACAAACAACAACACTCCATTCAATGTAGGAATCAAACATGTCGAGAATGTAACAGAGTTTACTTACCTGGGAAGTATTGTAACAGTAAACGGTGGCGCAGACGCGGATATTGTCAGCAGGATCAGGAAGGCGCAGCGAGCCTTTGGCCAACTAAAATCAGTTTGGACCTCCCGTCAACTCTCCATACAAACAAAATTAAGAATGTTCAATTCCAACGTCATACCAGTTTTATTATATGGCTGCGAGACATGGAGAGTGACAAAAATATCCATCAACCGTCCACAGGTGTTTATCAATCGCTGCTTGCGGAAAATACTTAAAATCTTTTGGCTAGACACTATACGTAACACCGACCTGCTTCATCTTACAAACCAACAAGAAGTAGGCATTGAAATCCGCAAAAGAAAATGGGGTTGGATAGGTCACACTTTGCGGAAACCTGATAGTAATATAGCAACATCAGCAGTGGAATCCCCAAGGAAAAAGAAAGCAAGGACGACCTGCTCAAACATGGAGACGTTCCATACTGGATGAGCTTCAACAAGTAGGGTCAACATGGAAGGAAGCAAAAACAACTGCCAAAAACAGAACCCGATGGAGAGCTTTCACTGAAGCCCTTTGCTCCGCGTAGGAGATATAGGATCCTATATACTATTTATATATATAATTTCTCGGGAAAGAAGATATAGTCTCTATATCAGAAGAACCTAGTTCCTAGTTCTGCACTACACTGCGAATGTTTTCTTTTGTCACTTATACATAAATTTTAAAATTTTAGTTTAGCGGTCTAATGGATTCACACGAAATTACTTCAAAAATCGGTCCAACATTTAAATTGATGAACAGATATTTTTATATAGTTCTATAACATTTACAATTATTTTTCGATTTATTATCTGTTATATGTTATAGAAATATTTTTTTATAGTTTTCTAAGACACATTTTTATAACTTTTACAGTTATTTTTTTTATTTATTACGTATAAAGTTTCAATAAAATTATTTTTTTTGATTTAAATCACATGATTAAAATAAAAAAAATCACTTGATTTAAATCAAGCCAACCCTGGGTATAAGTATGTAGGTAAGAAGTTTGCTTAAATTATAGCCTTGGATTTTTTACTAACCTATATAAAAAATAAATTTATAGCTACTATTTAGTGTTTTTATTTGTGTTTAGTTGGGTTAATCTCGAGTAATATATTTCTATTTTTCAAAATCAGTACTTTTATTACCTTACAATTACCTCCAAATTACCTAAAATTAATTTAAAGTGGTTTTATTACTATAAATCTGAAAATATTCCTCATATTTCCTATACCGGCCATTTAAATCTGCGCGTCTTTTGCCCTGACTATCGCCGTCTCTCTCTCGGACCTCTCTTTCTTATGTTGGCTGCATATTCCGCTCATTGCTTAGATAGCCCGGGGCCATTCCATGTATCTTAACATTTCCTTATTTATCTCTCCAAAATCCTGGATTTATCTCTCCAAGAAAAACCTATATGGGTTTTTGGCCACTGCAAGAAAATCTACGAAATAAAATAGTTATTTTATGTAAACACTTCTGGGGCGTTAATCCCAAACGGAAACTACTTTTCAGAAGTTAGGTTTAAAGATATACAAATTTGCCTAACGAACAAAAAAATGCTTAACGTTTCGGAAAGTTTCTCTTTCCGTCGTCGGAAGCAAAAAAATACAAAGAATAAAGAAAAAAACTATATAAAATATTTAAATTCAACTATTCGAGAACACTAACTTGATATAATGTCATTTTAACAGAACGTCAACGGTTTCTTGTAGACGTTTTCAAAAAGTAAAGTGTTCTCGAATAGTTGAATTTAAATATTTTAAATAGTTTTTTCTTTGTATTTTTTTTTGCTTCCGACGACGGAAAGAGGTAAACTTTCCGAAACGTTAAGCATTTTTTTTCTTTGTTAGGCAAATTTGTATAATTGTAAACATAACTTGTGACAAGCAGTGTCCGTTTAGGTTTAACGCAGAAGTGTTTACATAAATTAACTATTTTATTTCGTAGATTTTCTTGCAGTGCAGTGGCGAAATACACATAAAGGATTTTTTTTGGAAAGATGAATCCGCCATATAGGTATAGACATTTTTTACAATTCCTGTATATATCTGATTAAAACTGAATGTTGCAGCGTTTTGTCCAGCCTTGCGGAAGGACTATCCGGCCAATTAATGGGGAGTGTTATTAGCAGAGACATTCTTTTTATCACGGCGAACTACAAGAGAATAGCTATCGGATATAAAGACAAATTCTTAGATATAATGGAGCAGATTCTCAATACTACCTGCGAATTGAATAGGAATTATTTTGAGACTGCTATACCGAGAACCATTATACCGGTAAGAACACTCTCCCGCCAATGATATACTGAGTAACAAAAAAGGAGAACACATTTTATACAGGCTGTCCCAGAAATAAATGCAAGTATTTTAAGGGGTGGTAGATCTGGTCAAAAGAAACATTTTCTCTTTGCAATTTTTAAAATAAATTGAAAATAACCGAGTTATTTAACTTTGAAAATTAAAAAAAATAGCAACATTTTGAGAACCGCCGCACAGTGCTTCGTCCCATGGACAAAAATCAAAAAATAAGTTAAAATTTACTAATATCTGAATATATAATTTTATACTTATAGCAATGTTCAACCATCCTGTATATTATTTTTCATAAACAGCGTTTTTGTTAGCAAATATTTTCACTAAAAATAAATTTTGCGATCATTATTTCATCAGTGAAAGGAATCACATTCATAGTAGTTCTGTATATTATGGAGTTAAACGGGTACGTACTTAATTGAAAGCCACTATGGATATTGTTAAACAAGGTATGTACTTTAAATTTATTTCTAAACAAGTTCGTGATTGTTTAGTTTTTATTTATTTTTTAAGATGATTCTTAAATGGGTATAAAAATTTTACGTTTTCAAACTTCAAAAAGGCATTTAAAAAAAACATATCAAAACATATCGTATTTATTGAATATTTTTGTTGCCATATTAATACACTTTTAATTTTTGTATAGTTCACCTGCGTCTGCTTGCGACGAACTTTATTTTATAATACTTTTCAGATGGAGTAAAATTGATAAGCAATGCCGATCTGGCTAATACTTGGCTTGATCATAAGGAAAAGAACTCAAAATTATTTGTATTTCAAAAAATATGTTCTTATTAGATATTGGTGAACCTTCCAGTCAAACGAGACACCACTTGTGCCTGAAAAAGTCCACTATGTTGGAGCGAAACGTCGCATAAAAAAAGTGTCCATCTTTCAATTTATTATAAAATCTCATACCCAAGAAAAGGAAAAAATAATATATGGATATGGTCTATTAAAGATGTAACTATTAACATCCGAACCCCTCATACCGACAAAATGAACAGTAACAGCGCGAAAAAGTAACATATTAGAAAATGAAGTACAGAAATATCTTATATGTGAGGATACTTCATCTACCTGTGATTTGGATACTATAAATTTGGAAGATTCTGTCAGCAGTTATTCTCCTGAATCAGAGTAGTTACGATCTATGCATTTTGTTGTCCTAAAGTAAATTTATAGTATCTTAAGTTTTTTTTTAATTAAATATAACATTAATGTTTCTTTTTCATTAAAGAAAAACATTTTTATCTTATATTAGGTTTATATTGTAGGAGTCATGTTCTAATGTTATTCCAATTCTTTTTTATCACAGGAATTTATTTAATACTTACACCGTTTTCATACTATAACTTATTATTTGCTTAGATGGAACACAGCTCCACCATTATTATTATTTATAAGCTTTTTTTTTCATAAACGTGGGACTAAGAACATCATCATTTAGTACAATGAGAGTACTCATCATTTGTGTCAAATAAACCTAGTTTGAATAAATTGCTTACAACAAAAGAGAAGTTTTGGATTTTTATCCTCTAGAGCCATATGTTCGAAGCACTGTGCGCCGGCAGATATCGCCAACTACATCCAATTACCCTGTGTTGCCATATGGACGAGAATAGTATATGCTTAAAAATAAGTCAGAAAATCACACCACCTGGGGAGTTTGGCAGAGATTGCAGCGATGCATTACATTTTTAAGATTATGATATTATTACACATAATAAGTTTCAAAAAAAACTTACCCAGCATTAAAAAAAGATACTTATGACAGATCGATGTAACTGTGATAGTTCTCTTTTTCGAGACACACTTAACTAAAATACACTTCACTGTGCTGCTTTACTTTTTTTTTACCCCCCACTTCACTTTGCTATTATAATAACTGCTAAAATAACAGTCATTTTATTTATAAAACACCTTGAAAAGCGCACATTGCTTTGAATACCTTTCTGAATGAATAAATGTTGAGAATTATTGTCTCTTATCGCCACTTTACGAACTACTTTTAATCTAAGGGAATACATGTTTCACTCGGCAATTTTAAATATGCATTTTTTTTGCTTCGATATTTCGACAATGCTACCGACAGCCCAACCGTCCGCCAAGAGTGCCGCGTGTCAATTGGTTGACTGGTTACTGCATAGAACGCGCTCGCCGAACTAAGAACGCGCTCGCAGAACTAAAGGTTCGCGCCATATTTTTAAACGGACCTTTACTGCCAGTTCATAAGTTTTTTACTTATATTTGGTAATTTCAATCTTGATTATTAATTTATTTGTAACAAAACATTTACAAAATAAAAATAATGTATTTTGATACGAATAAATTAATAATCCAGATTGAAATTATCCCTGAAATTAGAATAAAACACGAAAAATTTGTAACTTGATTGTTTTATTATAACATTTGTTAATAAAAATACATATAACACATTCAGTACTGTACAAGTATATATAAAAGTTATCAGAATTTATACGATCAGTTATAAATAATCATAAAAAAGGTTATAAATTATAAATAAATAAATCATTATATAAAAGGCATATTAGTTAACGTGTATCTGATTTGGTATAACTTTAATCTCAACTTTAATGACCTATTCAAATAGAAACATCTTACAACTCGCGTTGTATAATACAGAAAGTAAAGGGACAAATTTGTTAGTAAATCTATTCTCGATGACCCGAAACATTTTTTTACAAACAAAACAGGACATATAAAGCTTATCAATAATACAAGTGTATAGAAAATGTATAAATAAGTAAATAAAAATATATTTTCAAACTAAATGATTAATGATTATACTCGTTTAAATAAATAAATAATCTTTTAAAATTACTTGTTTGTCTTTGCAAATTTGTATATTTCATATTTATCTAAAACCGTACCCTTCCCTTAAAATTACTGCACAACCTTAAAAATTAAGCTTTTAATATGAAATGTTATACAAGTTCTTAATTCGATCCTCATTTAAATAAAACTTTAAATTGATATTCTAACTTTCTGAGACAGCCATTTTGTTGAAAGAATTTGTTTTGATTATGAGAAATTTCATAAAAATTATCACAGGGATTAATTAATCTTATATATTGAACTACTTGGCTTTTAAATTTCACAATCCTATCGTCCAAAATACTCTAAATTCGCGAAAATCCGTAAAATATTCCCATAAAAACAAATCACAATTCGCTTTCACTTTAGAAACCGACAGACTGGCCAAATATGGAATGACGTTTACTTTTCAATTTATTTTATTAATCTAACTGATCCGGGTCATTTAGAAATTAAATTTTTATTAAATTATTTAATTATAATTGTTTCTGGCGAAAGCAACTTCATACCAATATTTGTTGATAAGGTAACAAAGCACATCACTGTTAAATTATCAACATTTTATATAAATATTTCTATTTTTCAATTACTCCAACTACTCCAATTACTCCACAAAGAATCAAACGAATTCGTTAATTAAACTATACTCTGTGGATGACTTGATAAAATCGTGATGAAATTAAAGTCCCTAGATATATATCTAGGGACTTTAGATGAAATTTCTACGCAGCGCCATCTATCCCTCTACTGGCAGAAACTCCGCCGTGTTTTCAAAATTCAAATGCCAGTTTCATCTGCCTGGGTTACTGGTTCTTTGAGGCGCCGCGCCGCCGTGGCGAGCTTGCGTCATGCGACGATATTAAGCGACGCTGCCGTAGTTACAGCAATTTCAAATTCAAGACATTCGAAGCAATCAAATTCGTATTAAATTTTAAAAATAAAACAGAGAAACATGTAAACATATAGAACTATGTTGAATGTGGATAACATAGGAGGTTGCAACACTGCAAGGTTTAGAGACACCGTAGAGAAATCTCAGGTGAATAAACAAGTGGCACTAAAAAGTTTTTTAAAATTTCCCGGAAAATGTCAAGAAAAATTTTAAATTTTCAACAATTTTTTTTTTCGCGAAAAAACCTCGTAGATCTGTTTCTAGTGCCAAAATATACTACCAGTTAAAGTACTTGCACTTATTTCGGAGATAACCTGTATATGCAATTCCGGGGATATGACCGAAAAAAATTACTGCGAAAGTTCCAGCTCTTAATAAAATAGGATATTTTTTTTGTAGAGATATAGAGTTGAAAGTTGCATCAAAAAAATTGAAAAAAATTTAAAAATTATCATCATTGTGTTAATCAAATTGAAAATGGAAATTTTCAATGCAGCACCTCTTGATATTAAGAACTGAACTCTTTCAGAGTATTTTTTCCGTCATTTCCAACATTTTCGATATACACACACCCAAGCTTATATGGAATAACTCTTTATTTCTCACTAAACTTTTTGTATGGAAAAGAATTAGTATACAACTAAAAAGAACAAGGAATGTTCTAGAGACGTAGCAGAAATAGTAGGCGTTACCCAGGGTGTTGTATTGAAAACATATTATGCAAGGTGCTTGGAACGAGGGACTCTCCAGGACAGGCCCAGACAAAGTCGTCAAAGAGTCACAACTGAACAACAAGGCCGCTTTGTGTGCCAAATTGCTAGAAGAAACCCCAATGTTTCTCATCCAGAGCTACAAAGACAACTTCTGACAGCTACAGGTGTGAACGTTTCAGTTGAAACCATAAGAAATAGGCTTCATGCCCTAGTGTTGTACAGTAGGAGAGAGTTACGGGTACCACAATTTTCTCAGCAAAATAAAATTGCCTTCAACATCAAAACTGAATTTTTCGGATGAAACCAGAATTGGCCTGGGATCAGATGACCATCGATTCGGGTTCTCAGAGCTCCAGAGAGACGAGCGAGACTCCACGCTGCTGAATCTGTACCAAGATATAAAGGAGGAACTGTAATGTTCTGGGGAGGTAATAAGCTTTAACGGGTCGGAGGTATGTTGATTTAGTGGAGGCTTTGGAGAGCTGCATTTGGGGATAGTTAGCAAAGTGGCTAGAGAATGTCTTGAAACGGAAAGTGTCGTAGTTTTAGACTGGCCCGCATGTTCACCAGATCTAAACCCTATCGAACACTCGTAGGACCGGCTTAAAAGAAGGGTTAGAGCTCGTCGAAACAATCCAGGAAATCTCGTACAGCTTATTGATGCAGCATTGGCAGAATGGGAAAACATACCCCAAGACAACGTGGATAATTTAATAAGAAGCATGCCAGCGCGGATAGAAGCTTGCATAAAGGCTAGAGGTGGCAACACGGAAGCTACACGGAAGGAGATGAAGAGAGAGCTAACCTCCTACTTCATACACACTTTCCAGGTAGCATATCTATTGATACGCAAGTAGCTCCGACCGAACCCCACAATCCTCGCAGGGAAGACTGGGAGACGGCCAAGCTAGTAATAACAGAACAAAAACTGAAATGGGCTATTGACAACTTTCAGCCTTATAAAACAGCAGGAATAGATGGGATTTTTCCTGCCCTTCTAAAGAAGGGTCAGGAAATAGCTACACTCCATCTATTAAACATTACAAAAAGCAGCTTCGCGATGGGATATATACCAACCATCTGGAGAAGAGCTAAAGTCATCTTCATACCCAAAATAGGCAAAACTGACTGGGCTAACCCCAAATCATTTAGGCCTATTAGTCTCACGTTGTTCATATTAAAAACGATGGAGAAAGTAGTGGACAACCATATTAGAGTAAATCATCTACAGGTTAAACCACTGCACGATAGTCAGCATGCATATAGAGCGGGCAGATCCACAGAAACTACTCTGTACCAGTTAACTGAGCTAATACAGGCAAGCCTGGATAGCAAAGAAACAGCACTTTGTGCCTTCTTGGACATTGCAGGGGCGTTTGACAATATACCTCACAAGGTGGTCAAGCGATCTCTTGAAACAAGAGGGGTGAACAGTACTACAATATTCGCTGGTTTTGGGAAATGCTCTCAACACGAACAGCAGAGGCTGAGATAGGTACCAAAACTGTAGTTGTTAAAACAACGCAAGGAACTCCACAAGGTGGAGTGACCTCCCCCCTACTGTGGAGCTTGGTAGTGGATGAACTACTGGAAGAATTAACTCTAGCGGGAATACACTGCATAGGGTACGCAGATGACATAGTCATCATTGCACAGGGGAAACATGAAGGCACCCTGTGTGATATTATCCAAAGAGGATTCCGCATCGCTGAGAGATGGTGCAGGACTGTCGGGCTGAGTATTAACTCAGATAAAACCGCAGTAGTGCCATTCACCAGAAAGCGAAGTTTGAAAAACTTGAAAAGAATCCATCTAGATGGAAAGGAAATACTGCCATCACAGGAAGTGAAATATCTGGGAATAACCCTGGATAGTAAACTTCTCTGGAACAGGCATATTAAGAACATTACCAGCAAAGCCACAAAGGCTCTCATGATATGCAGAAGACTGGCGGGAAATAGGTGGGGCTGCGCCCCTAACATTTTGCGCTGGATGTATACCATGATAGTAAGACCCATGATTACTTATGGAGCAGTTGCTTGGTATACAAAACTAGAGCAACGTACAGCAAGGCAAACCCTGTGCAAAGTACAGAGACTGGCATGTATCTGCATCACAGGTGCCATGAGAACATGTCCAACAGCAGCAATGGAGGTCATTCTAGACCTAACACCACTGCATATTGTCGTCGGTAGTTATGCCAATGCGACAATGATTAGAATGGTCATTGACGGAAACAGTACTGGGAGAATTTTCAGGTCAGGGGCTTGGAACACCCTCAAAAAGAAAATTCCACTTCTCCAACTCCCAGTGGATGACATACCAAGAATTTACAACTTTGAGAAACACCTCACTGTAGTATTGAGTAATAAAAAGGATTGGAAGAAAGAAACGCTTACTCAGCATATAAAAGACCATACCATCACGTGGTATACTGATGCTTCCAAAACCAAAGCAGGGACAGGGATAGGAGTATTTGGGCCGAAAACTGAATACTCCGAACCAATGGGCACCTACCCCAGTATCCTTCAGGCAGAAATTTGCGCTATCGAAAGATGCGTACAATTTATCTTGGATAGGAACTATCGAAAACAGGAAATTGCCATCCTATCCGATAGTCAAGCAGCACTTAACGCGATCAACTCAGTAACCATCAATTCGAAGTTGGTCAAAGAATGCCTGGAGAAGCTCAACAAATTAGGCAAAGAAAATAAAGTCCTCCTACTCTGGGTACCTGCTCACCAAGGGACAGAAGGCAATGAATAAGCAAATGATCCAGAGAGGAAAGAAGCGAACACTCCACTAACTGGACCAGAACCGTTCTGTTTTCCAAACGGGAACCAACTGAAAGCGGAACTGAAGAATCTGGAAGACTCCATCCGTAACTTGGAATGGGTGTCCTCCAACGGTCTAAGACACTCGAAAAAGTTCCTTAGAACTTATGACCGAGAAAAATCAAAGGTTTTCCTTGATTTAAGTAAAAACAATCTTCGGATTGTCACGGGGTTTCTAACAGGACACTGTCTCCTCAACGAACACCTCAGTAGGCTGAAACTGAGAAACAACGGCGAATGCAGATTTTGTGGGGAAAATGGGGAAACACCAGAACACCTTATCACTGAGTGCGCCGAGACGACGACCATTCGTGCCATGAACCTTGGTACGTCTGATGTCGAGGATGGAGAGCTGGCCTCTGTGGAGCCGTCTCAGATACTGGCTTTTCTTAAAGCCCTGAGACTGTATGATGAGTTATAACTCGTTATAACTCAAGAAAGGGGAACACACAATAGGTCTATAAGGTCGCGGTGATTAACTGAGTCTAAACATTCTACATTCTAGAGGTGGCAACACGGATGCTTTTTGACCATTAAAAATTTAAATATCATTTCCTTTCAGAAACCAAAAAAATACCATTGTGTTTATTTTGGGAACTGATTAATCTTTTTATTGCCATACGGATTATTTTTCATTAGAAGTCTTTGGTAAGGACTGGTTCGGTTTTATTCATAAACACCAAATGTTCATACGTCTCAAAAATTATGAAAAATTAAAGGTGATTCCATATAAGTTTGGCTGTGTATAAGAAAAAAAAGGGGGGGGCGGGGGTTAAATAACCAATTTTTTGAATCTCTAATATTGCATTTTATTCTTTTTTTCGACAGAAAATAACAATAACGGAATCTAGAAGAATTAAACTGTTGTTGCAAGCTGGCCTGTTGAACAGGTGTGATAGGATAATGAATGTTCTGATTAATATACGAATATGTGTGGATAAAAGTGAACACAAAGTTCTGTGGGCTAATATTTTTATGTAAGTACAATATCGTCGAAAAGTTTTATGATCAAGCGTACTTTGTAAGATGATAGGTAAACAATAATCTTAGTGAAAATTATTTCGATTATTTTATCTGTCAAAACCCGGTCGATCATATCCCGGATTATCTTTACAAGAGAAAAAACATTTTTATTATTCACATTTTGAGAAAAATGCATTCTCCATAAAAAAAATTTGTTTGGTCTAAAATGGTTAATCCTGTTTATACTTTTTTGTGAAAGTGTGTCGAAATTGACAGTTTTTGATATTTATTTGAGATTCGAAATGACACTTGTTTAGGCACTAGTGCCTGAAAGTAAAAAATGAAACGTTAGAAAAAATTAAAATATTTAATTATAAATCTTAAAGGTACAATTATTTAAATTATTAAAGTGAATGCAAGAGGCATCCAACTTTTCTTCTCTAAGAGAAATGCAAGTTGTAGGAGTCGGAATAAGCAAATTTCTTGTACTGGCAACTGAACTGAACTGCTTTTAATTTCTTATTTTGCGTATTTTTCTGCCCCATGATTCTTTTTGCTATTTCGGTTTTCTGTTCAATTGAATTTTCAATGTAACCTTCAGCAAACGAGCTTGATCACCAACCTCCATGTCGCTTTAAAACTGTTATGTCCGCTCCTGAATCTGCCAGCATTGTTGCACAGCTGCACCGGAAACAATGACCAGTGTATTCAATGGCGTTGGAGAGTCCAAGAAATTCCGGTACCTTTTTTGGCATACCCCCAATTGTATTGATTCCAACTGGCAGGTTACAGCATTGATTTTTTCGATACGTCAAGAAAAATCGCTGATGTGTCACATTGAGTGGTCGAAGTTTTGCGTACTTACGAAATACATGTAAGAAATTGATACCATCTATTGGTCCCTCAGTAATCGTAAACACTCTTGGAAAATGAGTTTTTGTATTCGGAATCTTCACACTAATAAATGACTGACAACCTTTAATGGCATCTACGGTTAAAAACGCGTTTCTTCCCTCCTACATGCTCCAAATACTCCAACGTTTAAGACAGCTTTAGCTAACAGGAATTCTTTGTCATCGGTTTCTTTCATAAAGCATTCTATTTCCAGTTTTGTAAATACTTTTGATTTCTTTGCCTGATATCTGGAAGCTTTTCTTTTAAAAAATGCAGTAAGGTTTGTGAATTTGCTAATATCTACATTTCTGTTCTAAATCATGGTCATCGAATATTTACTCCACAGAGTTGACGGCTTTAAGGTAGTGGATAACTTCAGGAAATAGGCTAGCAATACCTGTTCTGTGAAATTCTCAACATGTTTTGACCCAGGTTTCAAAGTTGTTGTAGGTGATCTTGTATAAGTTTTTCAAGTTCTCGGGCACTAACGTGGATAGCGCAGTTTCAGCAGCGTTTTTGTTTATTTATATAAGCCCTACCAAGCCTCAGCTCCATCTGCGGTAACGCAGATGAAGTAATTTTATTTTAAAAAATGTTTAAAAATAAATAATAATAATAATAGCACGAAAATCTCAAATTATCAGCTTTCACAAAAAATCTTGTATGAAATTCGTTGCGAAAAGAGTGTTTTAAGCACTAGACGCATTGTCCAATTTTGCGTCCGGTGCTTAAAACACATTTATTTCGCAACTTGTTACATAAATAGCTATTTCAAATTTCTATACCGTTTTGGAGGAAATTAAAGTTTAGAGAAAACCAATTATGGCTGACGTCGCTAACCGTATAATAAATTTAATTTACAGATATTTCTTGGCTAGAGTTTTTTCTTATCGGAATTACGATGACATAGCTGCGGGGTTCATTATTTTCCAAAAATTAATGAAAATCAAGACGACGCAAGAAGAACGTAACATAATCGAAGGGGTATGTATGTTAAAAACTCGTTATTATTTGTCAACCCGGGTACCAACAAATTCTTACGGAAGCCCGGATATATTAGTCCGACTCGCACTTGTCCTTTTTTTAAATTAATATTTGATTTTTTTTTAGCACATGTACAGAATGCTTGGGAGAAACAACTTGTTAAAAATTCCAGTCGTAAAGGCTATGATGGAGAAAATGGAGAAGGACAGACTGTATTCTATCCGCGATTTGTGCCTCATTTATAACAAGTAAGTTTCTAATAAAGTACCTAAAACACATTATTTTTGCTGAAAAAATTTCTACACAAACTTCTACACCCTGTATCTCCGAAACGAAGCATTTTAGGACATACATTTATACAAACATTTTCACTTATGTTTCATCTGCAGAATATGGATCTCTATTTCGGACCACACTGTATTTTTATATCATTGCTATTACCACAGAATATCTAGCTACGCAACAGAAAAATACTCGAAATGAAAGAGCTAAAATTGCACAAATAAAATACTAGATGGCGCGACAATATCATAATCAGAATATAATTGGAAATTTTCAATTTTCGGTTTTAGATCGACGGCACGTCGACAGCCTTGAAGCTCGGCTAAAGATGAACAGTTGCCAGATTCAAAAAGACTTTAATTGGCATCCCATTCTTTTTCTGGTGGATAATAATTTCTTTCTATTCTTCGTTTCTTGTCAGATACCCTTACATTAATTATTCGTTTGGCTTTTAAAATAGTTTTAAGTTTAAATATATTATTAGAAAACATATGCTCACAAAATACATTTTTAATATATGTAATACACTACTTTATTATGTTAACTAAGAAAATAACTTTAATTACCTTTAAAATTAATAATATACAGGGCGATTGATAGTGATATTTATTAATGCTGAAACGTTAGTAATGAAATATACGTTTAATAATAATGGAAATAATTTATTAAAATGCAGTATAAAAAATGTTAATTGACTAAAAAAATACTATAAGAACAAATTTCTTCTGTTGCCACGTTATTTATATAGACCTAGGTAGATTTTAAAAAGTGACACAGGTACAATTAATAATATATTAGTTCGGCATAAAAGTTGCTGTCACGACATCGTACAATAAATTAAAATTCGTAAAATAAATTTAAATTATTAATTAAACAAATCTTTATAACGAAACGCAAGTTACCAAATTTTGGCCCAATCGAACTCCAGGGAATGATATCATAATATTGTACTATATTATGGTACCACTCGATATGCTTCATAATATTGCAATGTCACCGAAGATCCATAGTATACCAAATTTAGGCAAAATCGAACGCCAAGAAATTGTATCGTCATATGATACTATAGGTAGGTACCACTTTATATGCATCATAGTACCATCATATTACAATGTCATCGAAGATACGTAGTATATCAAGTTTAAGCCCAATCGAACCCCAGAAAATGGTATCGTAATATGGTACTACATTATGGTACCTCTTGATATGCTTCATGTACCATAATATTGCAATGTCATCAAAAATACGCAGGTATAATCAAATATGAGCCCAATCGAACGTCAGGAAGTGGTATCATAATATGGTACTATAGAAGGTACCACTTTGTATGCATCATAGTACCATCATATTACAATGTCACCGAAGATACTTACTATACCAAGTATAAAGCCCCGTTCTCAGAACTGCGACTGTCGCCAGCGACACGACAAAAGAACCAATCAGATTTGTACAAAATTCAAACAGCTGTCAATTTTAAATTTAGTACAGCTCCCATTGGTCGTTTGAAGTGTCAATCAGTGTCGCTGTCGACACGACGCAGTTCTGAGAACGGGGCTTAAGTCCAATCGAGGAAATTTAATTACAATCAAACGTCACAAAGTGATTATAATTCAGCTCTAAGATTTAACTCCTACTAACATGTCAATTTAAATACCTAAACGTATGAAAAAAGAGCTCTGATCTATTTTAATATGTTTAAATGGTGTAGCAAATTTGAAGGTAGGCTTTATAAGGAAGTATTACAATATGAATTGCACAATGGCAACACTGCATAAAATTCGTTTAAATTTCGTTTGTAGAAAACTGTTTTTCTGTAAATTTATCGCCCTCTATTATGTAGTAGCGAAACTATCGCATCAAAATATCTGATTGGGAGACAGGCTTTTAAAACCTGTCTCCTTTTGATACCTACGATTTTATACGTGTAACGAGGCTTCTGTTGCGTAGCTAGATATTCTGTGCTATTACCTACGGTAATCGTAAAACATTTTCCGATGCACGTCATCAATCATATCGAAATTGACAAAGCCTATTATAAATCTGACTAAATGAAATTTTGGCAAAGATGTTTAAATTTGTTGTTTAATTTAAGATACCGAGCAGCTCTTCATTTTATCTTCACAATGTCAGTCATTATTTTGTATAATATCGTGTTGTTTGGTTTCTTTGTAAGTAATTCTCGTTTTTTTTTTGCCTATTCTCATAGTTAAACCATAACTTACTTGTACTATAAAATCAGACTTTTTTCTGCGGTCTTCAGATTAAATAGAATAAAACAATCTAATAGTCTTCAGATCGATTATTGTCTCTTATCTTCAGTAGTTAGTACCACCCAACCCTGGTCACAGGTAGAGGTGGGCAAAGACTGAACGAGTATTAAAAATGAATCGTGAGATTCGATTCACTGCTTTGAATACGCTTCGTTCAATTGAATCGTGGCCAGCACGGATCCATAAAATTTGAACGAACGAGTTTTAAAAAAGGGTCATGAGAATTGAATCGGGTCATACAGCGATCGTTCGTTTCTACGACTCGTTCATTCGAAGAGTCGTGAGAATTGATTCATTGCTTACAATACGCTTCGTTCAATTGAATCGTGGCCAGCACGGATCCATAAAATTTGAACGAACGAGTTTTAAAAAAGAGTCATGAGAATTGAATCGGATCACAATGCGATCGTTCGTTTCTACGTCTCGTTCATCCAAAGAGTCATGAGAATTGATTCATTGCTTACAATACGCTTCGTTCAATTGAATCGTGGCCAGCACGGATCCATAAAATTTGAACGAACAAGTTTTAAAAAAGGGTCATGAGAATTGAATCGGATCACAATGCGATCGTTCGTTTCTACGTCTCGTTCATTCAAAGAGTCGTCAGAATTGATTCATTGCTTACAATACGCTTCGTTCAATTGAATCGTGGCCAGCACGGATCCATAAAATTTGAACGAACAAGTTTTAAAAAAGGGTCATGAGAATTGAATCGGATCACAATGCGATCGTTCGTTTCTACGACTCGTTCATTCAAAGAGTCGTGAGAATTGATTTATTGCTTACAATACGCTTCGTTCAGTTGAATCGTGGCCAGCACGGATCCATAAAATTTGAACGAACGAGTTTTAAAAATGAGTCGTGAGAATTGAATCGGGTCACACAGCAATCGTTCGTTTCTACGACCCGTTCATTCAAAGAGTCGTGAGAATTGATTCATTGCTTACAATACGCTTTGTTCAATTGAATCGTGGCCAGCACGGATCCATAAAATTTGAACGAACGAGTTTTAAAAAAGGGTCGTGAGAATTGAATCGGGTCACACAGCGATCGTTCGTTTCTACGACTCGTTCATTCGAAGAGTCGTGAGAATTGATTCATTGCTTACAATACGCTTCGTTCAATTAAATCGTGGCCAGCACGGATCCATAAAATTTGAACGAACGAATTTTAAAAATGAGTCGTGAGAATTGAATCGGGTCACACAGCGACCGTTCGTTTCTACGACTCGTTCATTCAAAGAGTCGTGAGAATTGATTCATTGCTTACAATACGCTTCGTTCAATTGAATCGTGGCCAGCACGGATCCATAAAATTTAAAGGATGTGCCGATTCATTAAAAAGAATCGGAATGCTGTTGACTAGTCACAGGCGTACCTGTGAATGTGAATTCTCAACAATTAAGGGTTGGACGTTTTTCAGTTACAAAAAGGAACAAAACCAAAGAAAAAGGGAGGACTATGGAGATATCTCTTCGTCGAGTCGAAGGAGTGTATTCAGGAAATTTAACATGTTCAGTAGCGACATTGATAACAGAGGGCGTCGGCGTTCGCTGTTCCAATCTCAGTTCTATTCTAGCTCGCCTTTGGCTCAAATTCTAGCAGACTGGAAGATGAGCGGCGTATCAAGTGAGCACAAACATGTAAGTCGTTTTTTATTGACCTAGATCATATTTACAGTTAATACTCAATAAACTTTTAGTCGCGTAATTAAGCTTGACCGGTACAGCGTTGCCCACTTTTATATATTTTCTTTTAATCAAAATATTTTAGGAAACATAAATTAATTATAAATATATAAACAGTTATTATTTACACCAACAAAACTCATCTTTTTTAAGGTAACTTGGGTATCTTTTTTAACAGTTTTTAAGGGACACAAAGAGCCATTACTACCGCTTCCCCGGTCAAAATATTCTAATAATGTTGCGATGATTTTTTTACGGCTATTAAGCTATCTTGTACACTTGGCACTAAAAGAGGTTCTAAAAAGAACAGTGTTCGACTGCAAGCTTTGCTAATAAGCTTAAAGTATCACAACACTATTTATTTAAACCAAAACTCGTAATACAGGATCATAGATAAATGAAACAAGTTTAGATTGGAAAGTGTCCATAATAGACTAGTAACAAAATTTAAAAAAGGTGTCTCTAAAACAGTTTGAGAAGCATTTCATATTACTTTTTGGAAACTACCCTTTTCCACCTAATTCGACCTTGCTGAATCCGAATCTGCCTGTTGCCAGAGCGAAATCTCAACCGGCAGTGAGATATTCAAGATGGCGGATTTTTTTGAAATTCGTTATTTTTAGAGTTCCCATTGACATAGAAAAGTGACTAAATAGCAGGGTTGGAAAAAATCATGATTTTCTTAAAAAATCAAAAAAATCAGATTTTTTTGATTTAAATCGGATTTTTTTGATTTACGTCAGATTTTTTTGATTTTAATTCAAAACAATATATAAATCGGATTTCCAAATGACTAGGACTTATTTCCAATTAAAGTCCTATCCTAAATGGCTAAATCTTAATAACTCTGAGCGATACCGATAACATTAGGCATGATGTATACTTCATAATAATGGGGGGGAGGAAATAATTTATAAAATATACCATAAAATAATATAAACTGAAATGCTTCTCTTATTGATGTATTACTTTAAACAGACAAGGCTAAGAATTAACCAATCGATCGACTGAAGGCATTTTAAAACGTACTGTTACTCAATTTAGGTGAAATATTTATTGGCTATAAAACACGTTTAAAGAATCACTAAAATTTTATTACTCATGTAGGATTTTATACAAACTCTACTTGAATATAAATTAAACGGGATATGAATAAAATTGTATTTTTTCCATGGCAACTGTTAAAACTGCTTTATATCTATCAAAAATAGTAGATAAAATAGTACTTTAACCGCCAAGCGTAGAATAAATGATACTTTAAGAGCGAGAACAGGTTAAAAACTTTATTTCTTCTCGCACGTTTTTTAATTGCTTCCATTTTTGAAAAATTTTGTATTCCTGTTCATAGTTATTCGGGATTTAAATGGAAGTAGTTTGGATATGGCGTTTGTCGCCTCAGCCTGAATATATGTTGGTAATTTACTTATTTCGTTTTGAGCCATTTCTGGCTCCAACTGAATCAGCAATCGACATGAAAGAGAATTAAAAAATATTGACTCAAAATTGACAACTAAAGAGACAGCTTCATTTGTCAAATTACATAGAAACCAACGCCAACCCAGCACAATATTTTTTCTACTCGTAATAAATTCCGTTTTATCGTCTTATACATTGAGAGAAAAAACGTTGTAAAATCAAAAATAATGCTAATGAATCAAATAAAATCAAACATGTTTTGGCCTCATTAATGGTCATAATTGAATTAATAAGATATCTATTGATTTTATGCATATACTCGTACATATAAAACATACATTGCCACAATGGCAATGATCATGCCTGATACCGATGACAAGACAATTCTGCGGGGCGTGTCATTTTTCCACATCGGTCACCAATATATTCCGCAAAAAAGTCGCTCGCTTCATATCAAAAGGATTTTTTTTCAAACGTCTCAAAAGTATTAATTTTTGTCATTTTGACGGCTATAGGCATAAAAGTAAAGCACTGTTACGCCTAAGCACAAAAGTACAAAAATATATTATTGAACTGATATTAGGTGTCAAATTCAACGAGTGTACAAATCGTTTCTCGATTACTGGTTCTATTATTTGCAATGTTTGAAATTGATTAAAAAAATATTTGTAATGTTTTAAAAAAATAGTGTTTTATTCAGAGTAAAAATGTACTTTTTGTGCCTCCTTCTAACGTCGGAACAGGTTTACGATGGTCATTCAAATGTTCAGCATCGTCAAAAAAAGTATAATTTCTACTCTTAATAAAACAATACACTATTGTTCGGAAATAGTCTTAAGTCGAGAACGAAATTAGTATTATCTAATGTTAAAGTGTAAAGTACTTACTGCAAATAAAAAGATCGGTAAGAATTTGGAAACATACCAATGTTTCGAAAAAAAATATATATAAAATAACATATTTTCTGACAACGATTATAGATTTTCGGGAATGAAGATATAGTCTCTATATCAGAGGAACCTAGTTCTGCACTATTCTGCAAATGATATGTATTCGAACAGCGAATTTTTGTCACTTATACATAAATTTTAAAATAAATCCCTGCGTTTAGTGGTCTTATGCATTCACACGAAATTACTTCAAAAATCAGTTCAACATTTAAATTGATGAGGAGATATTTTTATATAGTTTTATAAAATTTACAATTATTTTTCGATTTATTATCTGTTATAGAAATATTTTTTATAGTTTTCTAGGACAGATTTTTATAATTTTTACAGTTATTTTTTGATTTATTATAAAGTTTCGATAAAATTATTTTTTTGATTTAAAGCTCATGGTTAAAATTAAAAAAATCACTTGATTTAAATCATTTAATTTAAATCATGCCAACCCTGATTTAAAATGATGAATAGATATTTTTATATAGTTTTATAAAATTTACAATTATTTTTCGATTTATTATTGTTATAGAAATATTCTTTATAGTTTTCTAGGATAGATTTTTATAACTTTTACAGTTATTTTTTGATTTATTATAAAGTTTCAATAAAATTTTTTGGTTTAAATCACATGATTAAAATTTAAAAAATCACTTGATTTAAATCACGATTTAAATCATGATTTAAATCATGCCAACCCTGCTAAATAGATATTTTCAAACATGAATAATTCAAAAATTTACACTAAAATTTATTTAGAATACTTTTTATGTCGAAATTTAAAAAAAAACATGAATTTTATACAATGAGCTACTATTTTTAATACATTCATTGGTTATTATATTATTACTTATTGTATTTCGCCAGAAGCACACTGTAAATAAAGAAAAACAAATAGAAACTGACACTTGGCAGCAGCGCGCTCGTAGGGTTGCCACCTTTTTGACAAAAGAAAACCGGCCTTCCAAAAAAAAACTAAAAATTTCGGTCAACCATGTCAACCTTCTTAACCATGTCAACATAGCATTCATATCCGAAAAATTTTTGGGTGCCACGCCCCTTTTTTGGGTCTTTTTAGTCTTTTGTTTAACAGTATTCGATTTTTATTTTTCGTCTGGTTGTTGATATGAATGATATGCTAAGAAAACCGGCTTTTTTGGATGCTAACCGGCACCCGGCCTTGTTAATGGAAAACCGGCCAGGTGGCAACCCTACGCGCTCGTGTCATCCCGCGCTGTTTATTTTCCGGGTAGGTTTGTATATGGTATATATGGTTTGTATACCATATACAAACCTACCCGGAAAATAAAGGACTGCTTAAGACCAGCCAAAGACAAAAGGGAACCATTATCCTCTGCAGGGATCTACCGTATACCTTGTTCCTGCGGTAGCGTATATATTGGAACTACCAAACGCTCAGTAGGAACGAGACTTACATAACACAAGAGAAGCTGCAGGTTAGGGCAAACAGAGAAGTCGGCCGTAGCAGAACATGCTCGAAGAGATGGTGACCACAATATGCAATTCGAACCGACACCCAAGTCATTGCCACAACATCTGGATATCATCCTCGTCTTGTCAGGGAAGCAGTTGAAATTCACAAACATCCAAATAATTTCAACAGGAAGGAAGGAACTCGCTACCTTAACAGAATTTGGCATCCAGCTATATCTAGGACCAAAGTAGCAGCACAGAGAAGTAGACCAGTTCCGGAAGAACTACCACCGGAACAAGCCACGCCCCCTCCGCCGGCGAATAAATACGCGCTACGCCGACTCGGAGGCATCAGTCTAGTGTGAGCAGTCGGAGCAAACACACCTCTGAAGATGCTAGCCACTCGTTCTAGCGAAACGTCAGGAACCAGTTCCAAACGACGACGGCCTAATAACCCGAAAAACAACATTTCTTCAAACGATGGCCGCGAAAGCCTAAACAACTACCTAATATAATATATTGTAAATTGTGTTATTATTGAATTTAACTTTTATTCCATGCTGAAAACTCTAGAAGTAACCGTTCTAAACTAAATCTCAAATGAAAAAAACATGTTTTTCTTCCGTTCAGGTGGAATATTAAAATGGCGGACAACGGCTTTGACGTGAATTCAATTAAGTGCAGCTTATGCTTAATATGTCAAAAAAATATTCCCAAGCAGCGATTGTCAAAGATATGTGTAACAGGCCAAGCACAATTATTGGCATGTGCTCAACAACGCCTAGATGCATGTGACACTCAGTTTAGCGAGTCCATTCAGCGGATTCTAAATGTATTTAAACGAGATAATGATTTAACATGGGCCTACCACCGAACCTGCTATTCTACATTTACCTCTGCAGAAAAAATCAAGAGATTAGAAGATAGAAAAGATCAATGCAGCACTAATGCACCAGATAACATTTTTTTTAACACGATCGAAGGCAGGCAAAACGGATAGGGATAGATGTTTGTTTTGTCAGAAGGAAAAAGGAAAAGAAAAATTGAAGCTTATAATGTCAAAAAATATGAACGAAAAAATTCTAGAACTATCTAATTTTGACTATAAGCTACATATAAGAGTAAGTGCAGTAGGTGATTTGATAGCAGCAGAAGGAAAATACCACAGCTTTTGTTTGTTGAGCACACACTTCCTGCGATTGAAGATTGTGGCTGGATTATTGACCGGAATCACACAGCCCCACTTCTAATGACTCTTGACCCTATACCTACGATTTGACCGGAATTTGTAATTTGCCATTGCAAAACTTCTTGCAATACCAAGAACTGCAGTTGTAGGAAGGGAAATGTAAAATGCATAAAGCTGTGTACTCCATGTAAAAGTGTCTGCCTAAATTTGGCCTGAATATATTTTTTTTGTAATTAACAATAAAGATTAGCTCAAAAGTTTTTTTGTTAACATATATATTTTGATTTCCTCATGTTTAAAAACATATTTTTGTAGGCATGTCGGTTAAAATTCATGTTTTTTTTAATTTCGACACAAAATGTTTTCCAAATAAATTTTACTGTACATTTTTGAATTAGTCATGTTCGAAAATATGTATTTAGACACCTCAGTCACTTTTCTATGTCAATGGGAACTCTAAAAATATCGAATTTCAAAAAAAATCCGCCATCTTGAATATCTCACTTCTGGTTCAGATTTCGCTCTGGCAACAGGCAGAATCGGATTCAGCGGGGTCGAATTAGGGGAAAAGGGTAGTTTCCAAATATAAAATGCTTCTCAAACTTAAAATTTCCGAAAAAGGGACTGGACTATAAGGACAATGTAAATACTATTTGGCGCTATTCTTGCAACGGTCGCGACCCAAAGCTTTTGATAATTTCGGAGCGGTTCGGCTTTTCCGGAATTATGTCGCCAAATATTGTTTATTCAAATGTATTATTATTTTCTTTTAATTTTATAAATAAAATACAGTGTGTTGCATACAAGAAACTTGATTTCATATGAGGACATATATGAAATACCTATGAAACATTGGAAACCGACGTTATGCCACGGTCCACGATGGTTTTTGCACTTTCCAGTTCACAGCACAGCTTTTTAAGTTTTTAATGCCACTTTTTCACAATTATCACGGGTTTGAGTAAATAAAACTTAAACTCAAAAGATAGCAGTAATTACTTTGAAAATGGACGCTTTAAACACTTGTCGGTATTTTTTCAATGAGGGCGATTTAAATGTTGAAAGATTTTATAATTTTTCAAGATTCTGACTTTGGCAAGAGAACGTTATTTCTGTTATTGTTTGGCGGTTGTTCTTAGCAACCGCTATAGCAGCGCCAGATCGAGTACAACGGTCGCGTGTCGGGACCCAAAACAATTATATATTTTGACGGGCATTCCAATCCAAATTTATTTCCTTTATCTATGTACACTTTGAATAATTAATTAAGGAAGGGGCATATCAAAAATCTTAGGTCCACCGCGATGGGACTCAAATATGGCCGACTTAAATTCCGGTTTCTCAGTGCCGTTTTAATTTTATTTAAAAAGTGTAAAACTATGATGTAGGGTAGACGTGGGGTAGACTCAATAATTTGTTGTTTTATTTTACGTTGTGAATAAATGTTGGTAGTTATTAAAATTGTTATAAAAATATAAAATTCTAATAAAAATAGATAAGTCATAATAATTATTTATTAACACAAACATCCGATACGCTACTGAAGCAGGTAAGTCAAATTGACGTATCTAAATTCTTTGACATCTAATCTTTGACAAGTAGTAGATAAAAGCAAAAATGCAAGAAAAAATATATAATTAGCTAATTTAAGTGAATTTCATAAATTATCGGTTTACTACACGTATGTATATTATATAGTTACTTACTAGCGAAAAATTGTTCCATTATTTCACTCGATTTTTGACTGAGATCTACCGCACGCTACACAACCAACTATTTTAAAGTCTTTTTCGATAAATCGCAATAGTGTCACTGTTAATTTAAGTTCTGCCACAATTTCCATCTAGATTTACTACCTTTATACAACCATCAGTAGTAGAATAAATAATAAATAACATAAAATAAGCTCCGTAAAGACTGACAAATGCACAAAATTTCAAATCAAATTCAAATGTGTCAAATGAATCGTCAAACAGAACTGTCGAGGATTCCCACCCTAGAGTCCTTTTTCCGCTCACCATGCATGAATACATGGATAGCATTATGCTCCTTCCTTAGGCTGTATTCCGTTGCAAAACCAGGCGAACCAGACCGGTAAACTACGGTAAAGAGCGGTTCCTGAAAAACACCGGTTTGATACGGAACGGTTTGGTAAAATATTGGAAACGTCAAATGTTGACATTTTCTAAATTTCAATACCTCTATTATAAAATTTATCTTTTATGCATTTTTAATGTACCTATTCTCTGCTTTTACGTTTGCGTCTTCTTTTCAATGGAGTTTAATATTGAAAAGTACTTTATTAATAAACTGTTAAACTCGTTAGACAGCTCAAGTGAAGATTTCCAGGTTAGATATTAAAACAGATCAATAATAAATAAATCTAATCAATATTTATATTTTTATAGCTTACAAAACATTCACGATTACTTGTCTTGTTTTTCATGTTTTCTTTAAATGTTCCTGACTTTAAGAGACAATGGCTGCATGATAAGTTTAAATGGTCCTAAAAAGTAATTCTATTTAGTTAATGAAATTTATTTACCTTTACTGCCTACCTCTATTGCTTTTGGATGTAAATACGAAATATTATTACAAATTAAATTAGAATTTCACTTGAACTTCCAATATTTGCTTAATTTCTGTCACATAAATGACATTGATTGACAAACGAAACCAGAAAACCCAACCTTCTCGCACTGGTTAGTTTGATGACAGTTATAATCGAATTTTTCAGGAACCGCGTTCCGTAATAAGAAAACTTTCAGAAAACCGATAGAAACGGAACATAAAACCATAACCAAAGTAAACAACGGAATACTTAATCTTCTTATTCAAAGTATGTACAAAACTGAAGTGTCAAAACGAATGACAATGTCAGGAAATAAATAAATGCGGCAACTTGACGTTTTTTACAGCAGAGCTATTACCTGAATCCCCAGGCATAGGGTTATCAGTTAATAAAAAAAATTGACGTTTATTATCGTTAACCTAATTGAATTACAGAGTGATCGGTGGAGTAAAAGTTATATAGAGCAACGACAAGAGAGTAAGAGCAACAACAACGGCGGTACGGAACTGAAGTGGGGCCCTCTCGAAAATGAAACTGTGATAGAAAAATGTACCGAGACAGCACCAGTTATTAAAATAGACGACGACGACTCCGACGATGATGATGTACAGGTATAAAATTCTTAATTTTAGAGAATTTTTTTTAACTAGCAACTTCAGCAATACAAGGGTAGGGTGAAAAGATTCCGATCTAACACGATAGAAAATCTACACACTCTTAAACTATGATTTCGGTGCCCAAATTAGGATTTATTTGGACTACAATGATTAATCGGCGCTTCGTCTCAACTCACTCGAACTACTGCCAAATATCAACTAAGCATGAACAATTTCTGAAATTTTGGTGCGTATTTTTAAGAGATGCGCATATTTTTTACACGAATGTTGCTGTATACGTGATGAGGTTGGAAACTTTTCACTCTTCGCTCTCGCTTTTGCATGTTGAAACGAATTCGCTCTAACAACCTTTGTTGCAGTTTTGCACCGACCTAAATGAAGATTCCAAAGTAAAAACATCATCGGAACCAAATGAAGAAGCGGACACTAAATTTGTACCATACAAAACTGAACTCATTTTACATAGTTCTAAGTACACGTCCAATAACCAACGTATAGAGGAGGCTTTGCCAGTAAAAGCAACAAGGCTTAATGGAATTGGGAAAACTATTACAGAACTTAGCAAAAAGAACAATTTAAAAGAAAATGCCACAGATTATCCTGCAAGCAAAACGAAAACAGACTGCCCTTCAGCACCTGTTAAATCAGAAAATCAAGTACCGTCTATCGACAAAACAGGAGACACGGCCAAAAACAGTGAACAAAATTGGACGGAAAATATAGGTAAACCTCTTAGTAAAAAGGACAAATTAAAAGAGAATGCCACAGATAATCCTGGAAGCCAAACAAACACAGACTGTCCTTCAGCACCGGTCAATTCAGGAAATAAAACACCGTCTGTCAACAAAATAGGAGACACGGCCAATGACGTGGACATTGTATTTGTACCAGAAGAAAATGAACCCACTTTAAACGGTTCAAAGTGCGGTGAAACGTCTATGGAAATTGACGGAAATCTTTCGAACGTTGATGCAGTTCAAGAATCTCCTTTTACTGACGCATCCCATAACCAACGTATAGAAGAAACTTTGCCAGTAAAAGATAATGCTGGAACAATAACAAGGCCTAATGAAATTGTGAGACCTATTACAGAACCTCTTAGTAAAAAGGACAAATTAAAAGAGAATGGCACAGATAATCCTGGAAGCAAAACAAATACAGACTGTCCTTCAGCACCGGTTAATTCAGGAAATAAAACACCGTCTGTCAACAAAACAGGAGACACGGTCAATGACACGGACAGTATATTTGTACCAGACGAAATTGAACCCATTTTAAACGGTTCAAAGTGCGGTGAAACGTCTATGGAAATTGATGCAGTTCAAGAATCTCCTTTTACTGACACCACATCCAATAATCAACGTATAAAAAAGACTTTGCCAATAAAAGATAATGCTGGAACAACAACAAGGCTTAATGGAAATATGAAAACTATTACAGAACCAAATAAAGAGGTGGATATTATATTTGTATCAGACAAAAATAAACCCAATTTAAACGGTTCAAAGTATGGTGAAACGCCTATGGAAACTGACACATCTAATAACCAACGTATAGAAGAGTATTTGCCAGTAAAAGCAACAAGGCTTAATGGAATTATGAAAACTATTACAGAACCTCTTAGTGATGAGAACAAATTAAAAGAGAATGTCATAGATAATTCTGCAAGCAAAATAAATACACACCGCTCTTCAGTATCTGTTGAATCGAAAAATAAATCACCTTCTGTCAACAAAACAGGAGACATGGCCAATGAGACGGACAGTATATTTGTACCAGAAGAAAATGAACCCACTTTAAACGGTTCAAAGTGCGGTGAAACGTCTATGGAAATTGACGGAAATCTTTCGAACGTTGATGCAGTTCAAGAATCTCCTTTTACTGACGCATCCCATAACCAACGTATACAAGAAACTTTGCCAGTAAAAGATAATGCTGGAACAATAACAAGGCCTAATGAAATTGTGAGACCTATTACAGAACCTCTTAGTAAAAAGGACAAATTAAAAGAGAATGGCACAGATAATCCTGGAAGCAAGACAAATACAGACTGTCCTTCAGCATCGGTTAATTCAGGAAATAAAACACCGTCTGTCAACAAAACAGGAGACACGGCCAATGACACGGACAGTATATTTGTACCGGACGAAATTGAACCCATTTTAAACGGTTCAAAGTGCGGTGAAACGTCTATGGAAATTGACGGAAATCTTCTGACCGTCGATGCAGTTCAAGAATCTCCTTTTACTGACACCACATCCAATAATCAACGTATAAAAAAGACTTTGCCAGTAAAAGATAATGCTGGAACAACAACAAGGCTTAATGGAAATATGAAAACTATTACCAACCAACGATACCAGTGCGGTAAAACGTCTATGGAAATTGACGAAAATCTTCCGAATGTTGGTGCAGTTCAATCTCCTTTTACTGATGCATCCAATAACCAACGTATAGAAGAGACTTTGCCAGTAAAAGATAATGCTGAAACAATAAGGCCTAATGAAATTGTGAAAACTATTACAGAAACTCTTAGTAATACGAACATATTAAAAGAAAATGACACAGATAATCCTGCAAGCAAAACAAATACAGAACCTGTTAAATCAGAAAATCGATCACCGTTTATCGACAAAACAGGAGACACGGCCAAAAACAATGGACAGAATGGCAGGCGGAACGGCCAAAACCACTTAATTTTTATTGAAACTTGTATATTACCAGCGATGTTAAATCGGACGGAAAATATAGGTAAACAGGAGATTTCGAAAACTAGAGATAGTAATGAAGAAATCTTACCCTCGGTTTTGGACAAACGATCTAAACCTGCTGGTACAGACATGGAGGAACCATTTTCCGAAAAAGACCCTAAAACGTACATTAATGGAGAAATCAGTAATTCAGATAAGGTAGATATATGGTAGATAATAATGAGAATGGTATTAAATTAAATTTGTTTTATTTTAGGAAAATACAAGCGACGCTGGTTCAAAATTACTGGAAATGGAATCTTCGCAAGAAAAGGTAATGTTTCTAGATAGATTTAATTTTACAGGTTGTACCAAAACGTTCGTAACGGGATTTTTTTTTCATGTGAAGGGTAAGGGGGAAACATTTGATGTCACAAAATCGACTTACTTATTTATTAAAAATAAGCCTAAAGTGACCAGATTTTAAGTCAATCAACGGACGCAGACGAGGCGACAAAAAATACAGGGTGGTCCGAACTGTATTCCGGAAACTTCAGCAGCATATTTTGCAGATAAAAATAAGTAAAAAAGTCTGTATAAATGTATGTCTTAAAAATGCTTAGTTTCGGAGATACAGGGTGTAGAAGTTTCATTTTTATTTCCATTTTTTCTAAATAATTTCTGAAGTAACGTCAATATCTGGATGAAAATTGGTATCTGGGAGTTTTGTGATACGAGAAATTTGATTTTGATGTCAAAATGACTCCTATTTGTAGGGGGCGCCACCTACATGCGTTTTGACTATTTTGAAGAGTAATAACTTTTCGACGGTACCTGTACAAAACTACTGACTAAAAAAATATACATTTCCATGACTTTTTACGTAAAAAATGCTTCTTGGTAAAAATCGCTACGAGCAACCGTTCTCAAGATATTTAAAATGGAAATAGTCAATACATGTCATTATTGACAAAAAAATAAGCACACATTGAATAGGGTTATTTGACTGAAATAATAAATGTTTATTTTTTTAAATTAATCATAATTTTTTCTGCGGAAAAATGATGATTAAACAGTTTCTGTTGAACTTTTTGCACAAAAAGATTTCAGTCTAATAACTATTTGGTCAACATGTTTAATTTGTCAATGATGACAGGTATTGATAATTTCAATTTCAAATATCTCGAGAACCATTACTCGTAGCGATTTTTACCAAGAGACCTTCTTATGTAAAAAAAATTGTAAATATATATTTTTTTACTCAGTAGTTTTATACAGGTATGGATGAAAAGTTATTACTCTTCAAACCAGTTAAAGCACATGCACGTGGCGCCCTCTACAAGTAGGAGTCGTATTAATATGAAAATCAAATTTCTCATGTTCAAAAACTGCCAGACACCAATTTCCATCCAAATATTGACGTTGCTTCTTAAATTATTTGGAAAAAATCGAAATAAAAATAAAATTTCTACACCCTGTATCTCCGAACTAAGCATTTTAGGACATACATTTATACGAACTTTTTACTTATTTTAATCTGCAGAATATGCTGCCGAAGTTTCCGGAATACAATTCGGACCACCCTGTATATTGGCGTGAACATTATATTATTATAAGAATACATTTTAATTACTTACAGGGTACTATCCCACTTCTAATGGTAGAAATCAGATTACAATTTTAATAAACACTATTGTTTATACATTAGGGTGGGTCAAAAAAATCCTCTATTTTTTTGCACGTTATACTCTGAGAAAAAGGTTGTTAAACACCTTAAAAATTGTAGTGGTTTAGCCTTTCGCGGCCATCGTTTGAAGAAATTTGGTTTTTAGGCCGTCGTCGGTTAGAATTGCTTCCTAACGTTTCGCCAGCACGAGTGGCTAGCATCCTCAGAGGTGTGTTTGCTCCGATTGCTCACACTAGACTGATGCCTCCGCGTCGGCGTACCGCGTATTTATGCGTCGGCGGAAGGGGCGTGGCTTGTTCCGGTGGTGGTTCTTCCGGAACTGGTCTACTTCTCTGTACCGCTACCTTGGTCCTAGATATAGCTGGATGCCAAATTCTGTTTAGGTAGAGAGTTTCTTCCTTCCTGTTGAAATTATTTGGATGTTTGTGAATTTCAACAGCTTCCCTGACCAGACGAGGATGATATCCAGATGTTGTGGCAATGACTTGGGTGTCTTCGAACTGGATTTTGTGGTCACCATCTCTTAGAGCATGTTCTGCTACGGCCGACTTGTCTGTTTGCCCTAACCTGCAGCTTCTCTTGTGTTCCGTAAGTCTCGTTCCTACTGAGCGTTTGGTAGTTCCAATGTATACGCTACCGCAGGAACAAGGTATACGGTAGATCCCTACAGAGGATAATGGTACCCTTTTATCTTTGGCTGGTCTCAAGCAGCCCTTTATTTTCCAGGTAGGTTTGTATATTGTTTTGATGTTGTGTTTCCTGAGAACTTTTCCAATCCTATCGGTAACCTGGGAGACATATGGAAGGAAGGCCTTATTAACGGTGTTATTCTGTTCATTGACGTCAAGTCTCCTCTGCCTAGGTGCTAGCGCCGCCTTTATTTCTTTCTCATTATACCCATTAGCAAGAAAGGCTTTATTTAAGTGACTTAGTTCCTCTTGTATGTGATCCTTAGCACAAATGCGTTTGCTCTATTTGCTAGTGTTCCGATAATCCCGTGTTTTTGGCTTGGATGGTGATTTGACAGTTTGTGCAAGTACCGGTCTGTATGAGTGGGTTTTCGATACACCGTGTGATCCAAATGGTCTCCATTTCTCTTGACAAGCACATCGAGAAAGGCCAGTTGGTTGTTTTCTTCGGTTTCCATGGTAAATTTTATGCTCGGGCTCTGTGTATTAAGGTGATGAAGGAAGTCATCTAAGCTGTCTCGTCCATATTTCCAAACAACAAATGTATCGTCCACATAACGAAACCATACTGCGGGCTTCAGAACTGATGACTCTAGCGCTTTTTCTTCTAATCTTTCCATAAAGAAATTAGCAATTATTGGGCTGATTGGGCTGCCCATTGCGACACCCTCTGTTTGTTCGTAATAATTGCCGTTCCATAAGAAATAGCTACCAGTCAGGCACACTCGGAAAAGCTCTGCGATGTCAGGTGGAAATGATTCCTTAATTAGATCCGTTAACTCGCCTAGGGGTACTCTCGTGAATAGGGATACCACATCGAAGCTTACCATGATGTCAGATGGTTCCAGTTCTGGATCTTTTAACTTTTGAACGAAATGTGTTGACTCCTTCACATAAGAGTTTGTGTTGCCGACTTTTGGTTGTAGAATCGTAGTCAATCAATTTTCATTATTTGTCAATAACTCGATTTCTATCAACATTAGTGCAAAATATGTAGAGACAAAAATTAAAGAAGAGGAAAAACTCTATAAAAAACGTTATATGGGTTTTTTCGTGCGACTACCCAAAGTATCGATTTTTACGAAAACAATATTAAAGTTTTATATAATGTACGTGTTCAATATATCGGGGGTTAACTGTACTTGTTTCCACACCACCTTGAACGGCACCCCCGAGACATAAAGCCTAAAAACTTGTTTGCTACTGGTTGGTAGTAGCCTGCTGTCGCGGTCATAATGGAAGAACGCAATTTGCATTATGACCGCAATAACGGACTAAATTTTTATTGTTGCGCGACTGGTGGAAAATTAAGTTTAACTGCCTTATCTCTCAGGGAGGTAAAGGTTATCCTTGAGGTAAAGTACCCGGCGCGTTTTTTTTTGAGTGGTCTCCCCATTTCCAATAGGCCTAATCCACATGTCGTCAACTTAAATTTGTTTTGAGGTGGAAGGTTCATCAGAGTTCCTTCGTTTTTTTAATGTTACTGGCTGTTCAATATAATCTTCCTGAACGTCTTCCGCATCTGTGCCATATTCCGGATCTGGTTCATAAGGTGCAGAATATTCTTTTCGTTGATCTTTATCTATCTAGCTCTTATGATGTCGACACCGAATTTTCTATTTTCGTAAAAACATTAACCAGTCTAGCGTTCAAATACTTTCCTCTTAGGCCTATAAAAAATAAGCATAATAAACCTTGGACCACTAAAGGTCTACGCATATCTTCTAAAAACATGCGTTCATTATCTCACTTAAAAAAATTCTCAGACAGTCTCTTCTTCCACAATTACGTAAAACTATACAGAAAAATTTATCATAAGACTATAAGAGCCGCTAAGGACCTTTATTATAATAGGAGAATAGTCAATTCTGGTAATGTTGCTAAGGAAACATGGTCTATTGTGAATGAGTTAACAAACAAAGCTTCTTCGTCTAGCAATATCTCTACCTCGCCTGAGAACCTTAACGATTACTTTGTAAATGTAGCGAAAAACTTAACTAATACCATATGTCCTCCTCATGATCCACTTTCTTATCTCTCTAATGATAATGTAAACTTTTCTGGGACCGACGGGCTAACTTTAAAAATGTTTTCGATTCTGCCAGAAAGCACTCTGAATCACCTAACAACTTTAATAAACATGTCGTTCCAAAATGGTATTTTTCCAAAATGTCTTAAGACGGCAATAATCATTCCACTGCACAAAGGAGGAGACAAAGATGAAGCTTCTAACTATCGCCCAATTGCACTCCTTCCAACGCTATCTAAAATCATAGAAAGGTTGGTTAAAAGCAGGCTGGTATCTTTTCTGTTTAAGTACAAAATACTTACTGAATATCAATTTGGATTTCTAAGCAACAAGTCCACAAATGACGCTATGTTTTCCCTCCTTAATAAAGTTTACTCCAGCCTAAATAGCCATCATTCTACAGCAACAATTTTCTGTGATTTTTCTAAGGCGTTCAATTGTGTAAATCATAAATCTAATTAATAAACTGCAGCACTATGGGTTCAGGGAACATCTCTCGAATGGTTTAAGTCGTATCTGAGCAACAGAAGTCAGCTTGTGAGGGTGGATACCACGTTGTCTTCTAGCAAGCCAATAGAATGTGGAGTACCACAAGGCTCAGTACTAGGCCCTATTTTGTTTCTTCTTTTTATTAACGACATTGCTAACATAAACATCAGTGGCAAAATATGTCTTTTTGCGGACGACACTAGCTTCACTTGGAGCAACAAGGACATCGCGGCACTTCATAGGATTATATCAAATGACTTAATCACCATTAAATCTTGGTGCGATTCGAACCTCCTGAGTCTCAACATTTCTAAAACTAAGGCTTTGTCGTATAAAAACTCGTTGCAGCCTTTTGTACTTGACAACACCACCATTGACGTCGTAAAATCCGTAAAATTCTTAGGGCTTGTTGTGGACAATTCTCTGAAATGGGACATACATATCGAAGCTTTGTCGAAAAAATTGAGCTCTGCCTGTTTTGCATTAAGGTCTGTTTCTAAGGAGCTTAACTTGTCAGTGGCTAGAACTGTTTATTATGCACTTTTTGAGTCGCACCTCAGGTATGCCCTTCCATTCTGGGGTACGTGTTGTGCGGCTCAATTTGACCGCATTTTCAAGCTCCAGAAGAGAGCTGTTCGATATTCACTGGGACTAAACAGCAGAACTCATTGCCGGGGCTTTTTTAGAGAATTAAAAATATTGACTCTTCCTTCCTTATTTATATTTGAATCCGTTTGCCTAATACGTAAACATGTATCAGCTTCTCAAGAAAGGCCATCTCACACTTATCCACTCAGGAACGCGGAGCAAGATCTTTATCTACCTACCCCACGCTCAGAGTTAGTTAAAAGTTCAATATTATACAACTCGAAAAAAATGCACAATCACCTGCCATTTGAAATCAAATCCATAACATCATTTTTTTCATTTCGCAAAGCATTGAACTCTTATTTACTAGACAAGGCTTTCTACGCCGTAATGAATTATATTTGAATTGAAAATCGAATTTGATCTTGAAAACACTGGTCTAATGTTTGCTATTGCTATATTTACTAATGATATCGAAATTAATTTATTTAGAGGTCATTGATATTTTGCTATAAACTGGCTAAATATTTTTGAATATTATTTTAATTTTTTTTGTTCTTTGACATTGTAAACATTTATATATGTTTATTTTAACAATAAGACTGACAATATTATTTGTATAATGCTTTGTATTGTCTTTTGTTTGTCTGTTTGTGTACCTTGTTTTTTTTTCTACTTTGTTTGTTAGTTTACCTTTGTCCACAAATTGAGAAATTTTTTGACAATAAAGGCATTTATTTATTTATTTATTTATATTTATTATCGAAAGGAAAATTGTCCTCGTACTCATCTTCGTTTAAATTTGCCACCTCCAAACTATTCGAACATGATTTGCCCTGACAAAGTGCACACATTACCGAGCAACGCAAACCTGCTTTGCGGCAACTACAAGATGTATTACAACCTTTGGCACATTTACATGAAATCAAATTTAATAATTCTTGGGGAGCTGCATCTTGGGAAGTAACAATGGACATCAACCCATTTTTTTAATTTTTCCATCCCCAATCCAGATGTGATTTTTCATTCCCATACCATAGCTGTACCTGACTGTACGTACGGAAGGAGTGCAAACGAGCTGCGTCTTTGGTTGATGGTAATGATGCTAGGTTTGGTAAGCCTTTGGTAATAGATTTTACGAAACACTGGTATCTGTACATATATAATGAGTCGCATTTTTTGGATCCATATAGATGAAGAAGAAATCGTCCAGTTTTTTTTATATCTTCTGGGGATGCGTTCGCAACAAGTTCTTCACAGCAATGTTTTTGTCTTTTCATGCAACCAATCACAGACGACTACTATTTAATTGTGTCTCCTGCAGTCGAGCAGCGATCGTACATGACCTTGAGTTAAATATTCCGCTTAACAACAGGAGTAATAAGGTTCTCGGAAAGACAAAAACTGCCTAGAATAGAGGAAATAATAACTGCTTATTATATATTTAGCGTGTTTAAACCGAGATAACTTGGAAACGGGTCGTCGCACGGAAAAAGTACATAGAACGTTTTTTATAGAGTTTTTCCTCTTCTTTAATTTTGGTCTCTACATATTTTGCACTAAAGTTGATAGAAGTCGAGTTATTGACAAATAATGGGAAATAAACCGAATTTTAGCCACTTTTTCCAAGATGGCGGTCAAATCCGGGCTTTGGGGGTGGTGCAAATTTAACAGGCAGTTAAACTTAATTTTCCACCAGTCGCGCAACAATAAAAATTTAGTCCGTTATTGCGGTCATAATGCAAATTGCGTTCTTCCATTATGACCGCGACAGCAGGCTACTACCAACCAGTAGCAAACAAGTTTTTAGGCTTTATGTCTCGGGGGTGCCGTTCAAGGTGGTGTGGAAACAAGTACAGTTAACCCCCGATATATTGAACACGTACATTATATAAAACTTTAATATTGTTTTCGTAAAAATCGATACTTTGGGTAGTCGCACGAAAAAACCCATATAACGTTTTTTATAGAGTTTTTCCTCTTCTTTAATTTTGGTCTCTACATATTTTGCACTAAAGTTGATAGAAATCGAGTTATTGACAAATAATGGGAAATAAACCGAATTTTAGCCACTTTTTCCAAGATGGCGGTCAAACCCGGGCTTTGGGGGTGGTGCAAATTTAACACGTGGTTCCTTACACTAAACTAAACAAAATAAAATTTATTCTAACTTGTCCGGATTTGCTCCGGCCATAAGCTATTTTTTAATACTTGGCGACTGGCCTATGTTTGCTTTAGAAAATTTTTAGCTTAAACAATAAAAAATAGCATAATTTGAATCATTATTGAAGATACAATATTTTTCTACGTGTATGTTTCTATCTACGTCCTTTCCTTATTGGTGGAAAAGTTATAAGTAAAATGTTCATGTTTTTGCAGTATTCTACCACTGAACTAATCGAGAAAAACAATCCAGAAACGCATTCACAACTTTCGATACCTGTAGAATCAAATAGAGACGAAGAAGCTCTTAATGTGTCTGAAGTAAATGATAATATTACTAGCGGAAATTATGTGGAAAAGCCTATGGATACTGAAGATCACGAAGCAACAAGAGAATGTCATACAGACGTTGCAATATCACCGGAGGAATATTATGTAGTCATACAGCCTGATACAGGCCAAGAAATACTGGAAACCTGCTCAGTAAAAGAAGCCATTGAAGAAACGGGGACAACAGAAGCAACATGTAACGGGTTGATAGAAGTTAACAAAGAACACGCTAGGGATAATAATAATATAATAGATAGGAAACTTCATTCTGTTATCAACCCGAATTTGTTCAGTAATCACACTGAGCCAACAGATGATAATATAAAAGTAAGTAATATCGTGAATAGTAAAAAATTGGTAACTGCTGTTATGTTACGTATGGAAACAGTCGATTATTAGATAAAATATAGGAGGTACCGCAAAAAGTTAAACATAAAAGTTATAGGGTTTATAAATAACTATTAGCGGGTAATAAATTTAAGGGCTCTGGTGCACAATAGGTCCCCACGCATTTAACACTTTTTTGGGATTTTTTTGCAAGATTATCTTAAACTGAATATTTTTAAGCATAAAAATTGTTGGATGAATGTGTTTTATCTTTAAAAAGCGGCAAAAAAACGTATTTTAGGTACAGGCGACGGACAGTAAATATGTTAAATTTTCTACACGGATTCAGTAAAAACATCACATATTAGTACTTTATTACCTTATATAGACGTGGAATGATCTAATTTAAGCACAAAAAATGTAACGAATCTTCTTTGTAAGCATAAAAATTAAGAAAATATATTTATTTACATCAGCTCAAGCTAGCAATTTTATGACTTTCGATTGACAGTTAATCGATCATCGGTATGTCATCTATGGCCTTCGCATAGAATTTGCGACGTTGTCAATAAAATTACTTTATATGATTTTCTTCTGAAATAAAGTTGTTGTGGAGGGACTTAAAACGGTAAGTTATCACTTTAGTGCAACAAAAATTGAACTGTCTAGTAGCTTATTCGTTAGTGTGGATTATTTTAAAGCAATTTCTGAAATAAAATTTGCGGATTTTTCAGGTTCTACGAAAATATAAGTTTTTTTAATATATACTGTTTTTCGACGCGTAATCAATTAAATTTTTCTCATTAGGCTCAATTAGGTTAGCCTGGTTATTTGGAAGGTGGTAATGCATTGGTTAGCCTGGTTATTTGGAGGGTGGTAATGCATTGGTTAGCCTGGTTATTTGGAGGGTGTTAATGCATTGGTTAGCCTGGTTATTTGGGGGTGTTAATGCATTGGTTAGCCTGGTTATTTGGAGGGTGGTAATGCATTGGTTAGCATGGTTATTTGGAGGGTGTTAATGCATTGGTTAGCCTGGTTATTTGGGGGTGTTAATGCATTGGTTAGGTTAGGTTAGATAGGCTGGTTATTTGGAGGGTGGTAATGCATTGGTTAGCCTGATTATTTGGAGGGTGTTAATGCATTGGTTAGCCTGGTGATTTGGAGGGTGTTAATGCATTGGTTAGCCTGGTTATTTGGGGGTGTTAATGCATTGGTTAGGTTAGGTTAGGTTAGATATTCTGGTTATTTGGAGGGTGGTAATGCATTGGTTAGTCTGGTTATTTGGAGGGTGTTAATGCATTGGTTAGCCTGGTTATTTGGGGGTGTTAATGCATTGGTTAGGTTAGGTTGGTGGGGAGTGTTTGGAAGTACGCAGATCACATCCATTTCGGAATCTTACTGAACAAATCCGGGAAAAATATATTTTTAAACAATTGTGCTAAATACTGTGTAATGATTTTATTGTCAATTTATTTTTATAGTGTTTTTGTTTTGCCTCGTTTATTATATTTTTAATTTTTCGTGTTCTTAAAGTGCGTACTAAATGTAAAAAAAACGAATATAAAGTAGAACGTTTTCGTCGATTTTACACAGGGTGAGTATGGCAACACTGTGCATAACCTTGTATTTTACGTCTTTATGAAGGTTATAATAGGGAGTTTTCGCATTGAAATGTAGTGAAAATTTGGAATTTTCAATTATTTTTTTTCGTAGAAAAAGTGGTTCATCCAACAATTTTTTTCTTTTAAACCATTCCATTAACTATGGGATCCACATTAAAAATTAAAAAAACCACGATTTCGTGGGGACCTGTTCTGCACAAGACCCAAATTTAAGTATACAGGGTCGGTCATAAAGTCGTGGCACATCAAAGTTACATTTTTTTAAATGGAACCCCCTGTATATTATTTCGTTTCTTCCTTCAATTCTAAGGAATAATCGTAATAAACAATGAACATAAATTGAAGAATTGAAATGTAATGTCAATATTGTAACGATGAATAAATTAAATATTAAAAAAACAGAGTCGGACTTGAAATTAGTTTAAATAAATTGTGTTCAAACTTCCGAAACAAAAAAAAGTTAAGTGTGGCATATCATTGTACTCACGAGACCGAGTTCTTTCATAACCTGAAATAAAAAATGCAGGTCCGTATTTAAAAAAATTAAGTCGGCCTCTGTATCTCACAAGTTATCAGCTAATTTTAAAATCTAAAAATAGGTACTCTCAGATAGCCCTAACAAAGTTGCTATGATAATGTGCAATTAGTTTTTTGATTTTCTAAAAAGCAACGACAGGAAAAAATAAAATTGATTTTCAAAAAAATCCGTTTTTCCAAAAAACTCAGCAATCCTTGAAATTTTTAAAACTTTTTTGATGGTATCTTGGTGAACGCCACAAGGCGCAACTTTGTCCCAATTTAACCATCTTCGTATCTAGGTATTACGGTTTCCGAGATACCAATGCTCGTACCTCGAATTTGTAGCACCCTGTATAGCGAAAATGGGCACTCATCTAACTTCTCTAATAATTTATTTACATTTCATACCGTTTCTTGAAAATGTGTCAGAAGAACAGTTTCATCGGCCTCTCCTGCTACAATATTTGATTGGAAACCTCCTTTTTTTCAGTCTAGTTCAGTTTTTTGACAAAGAAACCGTCAATTATATTACAAATATATACAATTATAGGAGCCCTAACAACTAAATATTCGGACAGACAAAAATTTATTGAAAACTCTATACAAACCATATATTTATAAAGTAACCATATTGACTCCAAACTGCATTCTGTGAAGCTAAGCCGGTGAATGGGTATATAAATTAATGATGGGAAAACTCGAGCGAAAATTCGCTCGAGTACTCGATTATTGAAATAACCGACATCGCTCGATTATGAACGAGCGATGCAAGTGACGAGCAAGGATACTATAGAGATAAGGATAGTTCGATTCCTATCTTCCTGCACTGTCAGTTTTTTTTACGTCATCTACTGACCGAGTTGAAGTTGGCGCGTTAGAGTTATTTTTGCATTTGACGGACGAGCGCACAGTGCGTTGGAAGATATATTTAGCGGGACAAAAGCGTTTGGTTAGAAATAAGCCAAAAAATGTGTACTGATAAGAATAAATAGTAGACATTCCAATTGATACAAAAATGCATGAATATTCTTTGTATTTCGATACATTTTTATCAACCAAATTTGGTCGTTTTCTGTTCAGCAAGGCAGAGATCATACGAAAACAAAATATTTACAAGTGCTTATACATTTTATTAGAAAGCCAAATTATGTTGAAGATTGCCAAAGGTATGTACTTTTCTACTGTACGTATATTATTTGTTAAAATCCTTCGTGCCTTTGTTCTGCAGATATCAAACTTTCACTTTTTTTCAAATATCGATATGTTGAATGATGTTACCAACACAGGGAGTTCAAGCTTAATAGGTGAATGCCCAAAAAGATTCATTTCAATCGGATAGTATAAAAACAAAACAACTCCATCAAAAGGCACTGAGTTTAAAAAATTGTCTTAGATACTTTCTATATATGAATTTACAATTAGCGAGTGTTAAAATTAAAATTAAAATATCTATCTTATTTATTATTTTCAAAATAACATATATTTTTTTTAAATAAATTATAGAGGGTGTCACAAGATTGCAAATTAATTAAAAAAAACTGCTAAAGAGTTTTTTAATATCATAATTTTATGTATTTGGCAATAGTTTGCAATACGGTTTTTGTGTGTCATGTACGAATAATATCATAGTTTTATTATCTTGTATTTATTTATTAATAAATTAAGTTGTTAATAAATAAATAAATTTAACCATATAGTTGCTATATATCAGACCATTTGCTACGTTCTTAGATTTTAAGTCCCAAACATTGCTCTTAAGATTTTGTCCCGCTTGAATAACCATCCGCCGCACTGTGGAGCGCTGGTCAGCGCGTGACGTAGCATTCCACGGCGACTACGACAGCGGCGATTTGACGCGATCGAACAGTCCTTTAGAATATATAGTCCTTGAGTGGACGAGTACCATGCGACGAACGCAAGCGATACTAGAATGAAATAAATTGAAATCCGATTTTAATGTGACATACTCGATAAAAAGCCGAGCGAATTTTCTACATACATTGCAGCTAGCAAATTTATACGACGCCGCACAGTGGTGTGAAACTGATAATATAACGAAAAAACCCTATATTTTCTAAACCGTTAATCCAATCGCATTGGGACGGATTTTACTCGATTCAGCTTAATAAAATACATCAAATAACATGGTTTAATAAATTTATTTAAAAGTAAACTGAGCACCAATTCAAACGTAAAGTGAAAATTTTTGCATCAAGTTGAATTTCTTGTATTTTCTGAACTATTGAAGGCGTTTTGAATTGCTAGCCAGATTCTGAAACGCTTTTTATCGAATTATTGGCCAATACCCATAATACAGGGTATAACAAAAATGCGTGCATTTTTTACAAAATTTTAAGTGACCTGCCATTTGTGGGGGGATGGAGTATTTCCATTATTTGTGGGTATTTTAATAGAGCAGTTTTCTACCTCGGGACGTTTTTGAGTTTTTTTGGGGTATCGCTCTCCACTGCAATGTTTTTCTTTTTTTATGATTTTCGGTAAGGTTTTAATTCTAATAAATTTATCTCATTATGAAATTAATATATTGTATTTTTGAGTATTATGCGTATTAACTAATGATTATACTAAGTGATTATACTGTATCGTTAATGAAAAATTGTTAAATGCTTCTTTTGTTATACCAATTACATAATAAAACCTGTTCATATAATTTAAATATACCAGCTAGATCAATTTTTAACGCCCTGTATAACTGTAACACTTTTTAGTTTTATAAAATTATTTGTTTGCTTTATTTAATTATACATTAAAATGCATAATGCTTAAAAATACGATATCTTCATTTCACAATGAGATAAAATTATTTGTATTAAAACTCTACCGACAATCATAAGAATATCGAAAACATCGCAATGGAGAGCGATAGCCAAAAAAACTCATAAACGTCCCGAGGTATATAAAACACCTCCTTCAAACTACCCACAAAAAATGGATCTCCATCCCTCCACAAAATGAGGCTCACTTAAAATTTTGTTAAAAATGCGCGCATTTTTGTTTTACCCTGTATTATGGGTCCTGACCAAAAATTGAAAAAAACTACAAAGAACGGTTCGATAGTCGATAAAACAATGTTTTAGAATCTGGCTGGCAAATTCAAAATTCCTTCAAAAGTTTAAAAAATACAAGAAGTTAAACTTAATGCAAAAATTTGCACTTTACGCTTCAATTGATGCTCAGTTTAGTTACTGTGGTTCAAATTATTATAATTTAAATCTTATACAATATAATGATATTTATATAATTTTAAGTGGCAAAAAAAGTAAATTATATTAAAAAATGAGATTTGGTATGTGAGTATATGACATAAATTAGGATTGATTGACGTATTCAATTGTTTTCTGTCACTTCCTGTTTCACCGGAAATGACTACAATTTTTGATTTTTAAATGGCACCCTTGGTATTTTTTTACTTTATTCGATAGAAAATAACATTCTAAATAGAATGACGTATCATATGTCAAATTTTGACATATTCGCTCAAAAACAAATTGTATTTTAAATCTCAATCTAGAGTGCCATGTCTGTGTTAAAAACACTAATTTTTAATCAAGGAGCTTTGGAAAAATAGATTTGATCGTCTAATGTTTTTAGTGTCTTGTCCTGGGGCGCTATTCTGTACAATCGTCGGTATCGGTAAGTTACCGACAGATATCGGTACGTACGGCCAATGAGCGTCGTGTTGATTGTTGTTGTCATAGTTACCGATCGGCGGCCCTATGGCAGATATCGCAAATTTGTACCGACGACTCTCGGTATCTCTACCGTGAGGTTAACAAGGGCACGGTAGAGATACCGATTTTCGTCGGTACAAATTTGCGATATCTGCCATAGGACCGATCGGTAACTATGACAACAATTAACACATTTTTACTATATTCAAATACGTATCGAGAGCTGTCGTAACTTACCGATACCGACGATTTTACAGAATAGCGCTCCTGGCCGGTTAAAAGATGCCCAAATCGTATTTTTGATCATATCTCAATTTTTTTCAAATGGGACGAGGGTGGCTCATTAGCATATTTCGAAAAATATTTTTTTTACGAATAATTTGATACCACACACTTGGTACTACGAGTCAAATTGTCGTTATGAACTGCATGTTACAATTTCAAATAAACCATATGCGAAAATTTCAAAAGTTGACATGTGATATGTCATTCTATTCAGAGTGTCATTTTCTACCGAATAAAGTAAAAAAATACCGAGGGTGCTATTTAAAAATCATAAGTTGTAGTCATTTCCGGTGAAACCGGAAGTGACCGAAAACAATTGAATATGTCAATCAATCCTAATTTATGTCATATACTAACATACCAAATCTCGTTGTTTCATCTGAAAAAAATAAAAAAGTTATAGGGGTGAGCCACTTTTGAGACGCCCCCGGTATATTTATCCGTTGCGTATCTGAGGGACAAAATTTTACGACCTACATGGACAATGCTTCGAAATAAACTAAATCAAGCGATCAAACGAATCGCTCGTTGCTTTCTACTTGCCGTTCATTACCGAAGGAATATGTGCCCTGCGCACGCAACTTACTTCTTGGCGCTTGGCGTTAACAAGTACTTACAACGTGCGACGGGTGAAAACCGTATTTTTAAATACGAGTCATATATCGCTCGAGTGATCACTCGGTTATTGCAATCGCTTGATACTCGAGTACTCGATTATTGAAATTAATCGTTTTTTCCCATCACTAATATAAATCTTCTGAAGGAATTTGCATAAGTCGCTCAGTTAGCTCTGCTCAAGCGTAGTGCGCAAGCCTGGATTTTGAATTATCGATCGGATAACTAGACCAATAAGAAACTAGACGCTAGCACCAGCTGTTCATTCATACGGCTTATTGTATGAAGCACGGCGGAATAAGAAAGCGGAGTCGCTACTACACGTATTTCTGTAGGATAAAAACATTCTCATTTCGTTGTTTGGGCGGGGCCAAAAGTGTACCCTTTGGACAGGACCTGATTAAGTAAAACTTCTAATAATAAAAACAAACAATGATGAAAATTTGCCTTGAGCTAATGTAAAATCATTGTGTAATATTAATCGTGTGTATCGCAATGAACTAATTACTTGGCATTACTATACCAAACTTAAAATAGGCATAAAATACTAATTAATGTTCATTCGTTAATTCGGTCATTACGGAGCTGCACACTGTTTATCTAACCTGTGAAATGTTACGCGGGTGAGGTTCTTCGAGTCGATACCTTTCCTGCTCCTACAACTGCGTACAGCACACAACACCATGGTTTTAAATGTTTTTGTAATAGAAAACACTCAAATTATCGATGAAAAACATTAAATTTCGAGAAAAATGCACAAATTACAAAAAGTACCACAATCTAAGATGGCGGGCGGCTAGGTGAACCTCTTTTTGCAACAGCTGTAGCATCTCCCCCTCTTATTCCTCTGTGGTATGAACCTTTGAATAAGAAGACTAAGGAAGGAGCATATCAAAAATCTTAGGTCCACCGCGATGGGCTTCAAATATGGCCGACTTAAATTCCGGTTTATCAGTGCCGTTCTAATTTTATTTAAAAAATGTAAAACTATGATGTAGGGTAGGCGTGGGGTAGACTCAATTTTTTATTTATTTTACGTTGTGAATAAATGTTGGTGGTTATTAAAATTGTTATAAAAATATAAAATTCTAATAAAAATAGATAAGTTATATTAATTATTTATAACCATAAACATCCGATACGCTACTGAAACAGGTAAGTCAAATTGACGTATCTAAATTCTTTGACAAGTAGTAAATAAAAGCAAAAATGCAAGAAAAAATATATAATTAGTTAATTTAAGTGAATTTCATAAATGATCGGTTTACAACACGTATGTATATTATAATAGTCACTTACTAGCGAAAAGTTGTTCCATTATTTTACTCGATTTTTGCCGAGATCTACCGCACGCTACACAACCAACTATTTTAGAGTCTTTTTCGATAAATCCCGATAGTGTCACTGTTAATTCTAGTTCTGCCACAATTTCCATCTAGATTTACTACCTTTATACAACTATCAGTAGTAGAATAAATAATAAATAACATAAAATAAGCTCCGTAAAGACTGACAAATCCACAAAATTTCAAATCAAATTCAAATGTGTCAAATGAATCGTCAAACAGAACTGTCAAGGATCCCGACCCTAGAGTCCTTTTCCCGCCCACCATGCATGAATACATGGATAGTATTTTGCTCCTTCCTTAGTCTTCTTATTCAAAGGTATGAACGGAAGGGGTTGAAAGGTGAAATATACGACAATTCCTACTATACTTGTTAAGGAAATTTGAAGAAAAACTTAACGAAACTTAATAAAATTAATGTTTCAGACAGATGAGGACAATAATACAGACCAAGAAAGTGTGGATCAGGATCCAGCTTCTCCCGCCTTTGACGAACTTGACGTTCCTGATGTAAAAACTTATTTTGAGTCACAGGGAATCAGTAAGGGAGAGGGAATCAGTAGAGGGAATCACAGGGAATCAGTAGAGGAATCAGGTAATGTTAATATACAAATTTTTTATTTCTATTATAGTATCTCCAACGACAAGATCCTTGACAGTGATAGATATGTCTGTCATTTTAATTTCAAAGTAGTTTATTTTATTTTACAAGGAAATAAGTTGGTACAATTGGAACTCATAGCAGGAAATTAATATATCGTCAGTGAAACGTGATAACCTGCTAACTCCATTTTTTACGTTAATAAGTTTTTTTATACCATTAGAAAAAGAAAAAAATACTCTATAAATAGGGAAAGCAAAGATATTTTTTCCCATTAAAGAAAATTTTTTATTTTAACTCAATAATATCTGCTAACTCCTAGTGATCTGAAATAGCCACCGAAATGCTGCTATCTCCGTAATTTTCGTTACGATCACGCTAAAGCAAACACACAGATTCTTAGTCGTATGTTTTTTTAGTACAGTACGTCGATCCAGGGTTGCACTAGGCATAGGGGCCTGGGTGGCAATGTAAGGAGGGCAATGGTTTTTTTGGCGGATTTTTTCGCCTTACGTTTTGGTCAATTTTTCCCTATTATATACAGGATGAGTCTTAAATAAGTGCAAATATTTTTAGGGTAGTATATTTCGACCCAAGAAACACGATTATGAGGTTTTTTGCGCGAATTTTTTTTTTGAGAATTTGTAATTTAGAAAAAAAATGGTATTTTTTTTTAATTTTTATTTTAAAAACATACTTTGTTTGTAATATGGTAACAGGTAGTAGATTAAATTTACAAGAAAGAAAATCCAATGATTCTCAAAATTATAGCAAAACGGGGCAAAAAATTGGAAATTGGAAATTTTAAAAGTGAAATAACTCGGTTGTTGGATTTATTTGAAAAAAAAACGGTAAAGAGAAAATATGTTTCTTTTATCGAGATTTACCAGCCCTGCACATATTTGCACTTATTTAAGACTCGCCCTGTATAGAAATCAGGGAACTACCCTAATGCAAGGTAAACCAATGCAATGCAAATTCAATAATGCAATGCAAAAGCAAATTTTGTTAAGAATAATAATTATTATTAATTCTCATTAATTATTAATGAACTATAAAGGCCCCCCCCCCCCTAATAGTTATCTATATAATACGTCCAGTCCGACCCTGCGTCGATCCGTTCTGTAAATACGGGGTATCCGTAAAGGGTAAGGGGAAAAACGAAATTCTCTATATACGAGCAATTCATCGGCGTGCTATAAATAGTTTAAATAACATTACTTACTTGTACAAGAATTTCCATAATACCTAATCAGTTTTATTTTTTTCAACGTATTTTCACGTAAATGATACATAATTTTTATAAAAATTAATAAAATAAGGAGAAAAGTAATAAAAATTTAATAAAATCACGCACTGTTTTCCAAGCTCGGTCTACTCTACCGTTGTATAGAAATTAGGATAAGCATGGAAGGATTCTACCATATCTTCTAAGAATTATACGTTTAATTTTTAAATTATTTTCATATTCATTAAGTCCAAAATTCTGCTACTTCATTTCTTTAAAAATGCAAAAAAAAATTAAAATTTTTATTAAAAATTATTCGTTTTTGGACTTGTATGTTTTGCTTCTAGACCGACGATATTATAAATATATGGTTATGAATATCATATTTTTTAAATTTGATTATTTATAAATCTGTTTGGGTAATATTCATTTCCACTTTCAAAATTTCAAACAATAAAGGTTGCTATCTCTTGAAGTATATTTTTATTTCTTATTTCTGCAAGACAAATATCTGCTATCTCCCTATTGTGTCGGAAAAAATGAGGTAACACTAAATATTGAGTTTTATTGTTCCCCAGCAAAAATAAAATACTTATCTCTTTATCATATTAACGCATCAAAATACTTCCCACATGTGTACATATTTTTTTGTACCGTTTTTTTGCTCTCCTGTAAAATTAGGAATAATGGACTTAGCAGTTTATCACGTCTCACCGACGATATTTAAAATTTGAGTGACAAGTGATTACTTCAAAATATTGTGAAAAAAACTGTATAAAACTGAAAAAAAAATCGAGCTATTTTATTTAAAAAAAAACAGTATGTGTTTGGTTTGGTTTGGTTGTGATACGAAACAAACAAGTACAAAACTAATGTACGTAATAATAAACTAATGTACAAATACAAATTTGTAATATTCCACAGGAATAAATAAAACAAACTATTTTATTAATAATAACACTTATACTCGGTTTTTTTTTCTCAAGTAAGATTTCGACAGACGATGACAGAAGAAAAGCAGATGACGTCCCATACCAATCTATTTATTTTACTAAAAAAAGTTTCTAATTATTTTTAAGTTATCTATGGATGGGTTTAAATATAAATCCGTCATACGTCGTGTCTTGTTGTTTTTAACCAGTTTTATTGGTTTATTTAAAAATGACAGATCGTATTTCAATTTTATTGGTTTGACGGAACGATGAACGATAAACGGACGCCGATGCGTATGAACTCGCCTTTAGATTTTTGTCATTTTTGACGCTTGTCAAAGTCTTCCCAAATTATAGGTTATAATTTTGTGTCAACTTTTGTTAAATACCCTGCGTTTTGGAAGATGATGCATTTTGATTCGTATTATTACGTGTGTTTTGTGTCTTTTGAAGTCAAGTGGAGGAAAAATCGAGTGAAAATTAACTGTAGACCCAGAGCACAGTTTATGGTTAATACTCGCTGCCCAGGCAGAAAGTCTTATACACCAATGAAGTTGCCATCGATAAAGTTTGTATACAATTTCGTCGTAGATAAGTGCATCTCGTATAAGGTAGAAGGATCAAACTAAACACATACTAAAAACTGGAGTAGCTGTAAAATATCGACATCACACGATAGGCAAATAATGGATTTTAGTACTGCAGAAAAATAATGTCAAAAGGTACTGGTTTAAAAAAATTAAGATTAAAGTTAATTAATCAACCTTTAAGGTATAAAATTTGGTAGGAGTTATTATTAATAAAATAGTTTGTTTTATTTACCTATGTTGTTTTATTTATGCCGGTGGAATATTACAAATTTGTATTTGTACATAAGTTATATTGATAAATATAATCATAAATGCGGGTAGTTTCATAAAGCTTAAAAGTAAATAATAGTTCTTTTTTATATTTTTTTGTTATGTAGTGTCTTGTTCTTGTTTGTTTTGTATTAACACATACCGTTTTTATTAAATAAAATAACTCGATTACCTTTTTTCAGTTTTATACAGTTTTTTTCACAATATTTTGAAGTAATCACTTGTCATCTTGTCAATCAAATTTTAAATATTTCCTGCTATGCGTTCCAGTTGTACCAACTTATTTCTTTGTAAAATAAAATAAACTACTTTGAAATTAAAATGACAGACACATCTATCACTGTCAAGGATCTTCTCGTTGGACAGACTATACCAAATGTTATACCTTAAAGATTGATTAATTAACTTTATCTTTTTTCATTTTTTTAAGCCGGTACCTTTTGACATTATTTTTCTGCAGTACTAAAATCCATTATTTACCTATCGTGCATGTGATGTCGATATTTTACAGCTACTCCAGTTTTTAGTGTATATGTTTGTACCTTTGTACGATATACGAGATGCACTTATCTACGACGAGATGGTATACAAACTTTACTGATGGTAACTTTATTGGTGTTAAGACTTTCTGCCTGGGCACCGAATATTAACTATAAACTGTGCTCTGGATCTACAGTTAATTTTCCCTCGATTCAAAAGACACTAAACACACGTAATTGGCACGAATCAAAATGCATCATCTTCCAAAACGCAGGGTATTTGACATAAGTTGACACAAAATTATAACCTATAATTTGGCAAGACTTTGACAAGCCTCAAAAATCTAAAGGCGAGTTCATACGCATCGGCGTCTGTTTGTCGTTCATCGTTCCGTCAAACCAATAAAATTTAAATATGATCTGTCATTTTTGAAATATACCAATGAAACTGGTTAAAAACAAGAGACGACGTATGACGGATTTATATTTAAACCCATCATCCATAGTTAACTTAAAAAATATTAGAAATGTTTTTTAGTAAAATAAATAGATTGGTATGGGACATCATCTGCTTTTTTTCTGTCATCGTCTGTCAAAATCTTACCTGAGAAAAAAACAGTATAGTATGTTCTGTGATACTAGATCCTATTATACAAGATGTAAAGTGCGATAAAAATAATGCTTTGTTTTGTAGCCAGGGGTCTACGAGTCTTAAATTTTTTTCTATTTATTATAATATTTCTTTTCTAATACCGTCCGTCTTTTCTAGGTATACGACAAAGAATGTGAAACGTATAATAAACTGCAAAATGTCCGCGACTTCAACGTATATATTTCAGGTTTCTATGCTACCTTCATAATTGCAATCTTTAAGTAACCTAAAATTAAAAATTTTGTTTTTACTGCTTCAAAAATTCTTCCTATTAATAAAAACAATAATGCCTACGTGGTTAAATGACTAAATTTTGATTACCTAATACATTTTTAATGGTTAATGGTAGGATTTTTCAATAATAAGTATAAAAAACTTAATTGGAAATCTTCTTTAATAACATCTTAAAAATTGGAGACATACCGTACATTACTGAAATAAAAATAAACAAAACATATCATAATACTTAAAATAAGAAAACTGACAATGCATAAATATAACTAAACATAAAATATAAAGAATAATATATGTATACATACGTTCACATTTTTTCTCTGTTATACGAGTACTATATTATTTTACAAATTCGTTTAAATTAATCCAGTTGTCTATCAGAATAAGAAAGTTTGACAGCTTCTAAAAAATGGAGAAAGGACAAACGATATATTATACAATTACTGATAGGGTGTAATAAATAACTTTCTAACAAGTTTTTATTTAATCCATGTACTAAAAGTAATAAAAAAGGTTTAGGTGTAAGAAAGGTCTGTTTTTTTGAAAAAGTGTTTGCGCGAATTGTTTTTTTAATTTGCAACAGCGGTATGTAAACGGTATACAGTATACGTCTACAAAACCTATGCTCAGTACTGCAATAACTTGTCATTGAACATGAACATATTCATGTACATAAAAATATACATAAATACATACATGTGAAGTTTTGAATAAGAAGACTAAGGAAGGAGCATAATGCTATCCATATATTCATGCATGGTGGGCGGAAAAAGCGCCATAAAAGCACTCTAGGGTGGGGATCCTTGACAGTTCTGTTTGACGATTCATTTGACACATTTGAATTTGATTTGAAATTTTGTGGATTTGTCAGTCTTTGGGGAGCTTATTTTATGTTATTTATTATTTATTCTACTATTGATAGTTGTATAAAGGTAGTAAATCTAGATGGAAATTGTGGCAGAACTTAAATTAACAGTGACACTATCGCGATTTATCGAAAAAGATTCTAAAATAGTTGGTTGTGTAGCGTGCGGTAGATCTCGGCAAAAATTGACTGAAATAATGGAACAACTTTTCGCTAGTAAGTGACTATATAATATACATACGTGTAGTAAACCGATCATTTATGAAATTCACTTAAATTAACTAAATTATATATTTTTTCTTGCATTTTTGCTTTTATTTACTACTTGTCAAAGAATTTAGATACGTCAATTTGACTTACCTGTTTCAGTAGCGTATCGGATGTTTATGGTTATAAATACTTATATAACTTATCTATTTTTATTAGAATTATATAATTTTATAACAATTTTAATAACTACCGACATTTATTCACAACGTAAAATAAAACAACAAATTATTGAGTCTACCCCACGTCTACCCTACATCATAGTTTTACATTTTTTAAATAAAATTAGAACGACACTGATAAACCGGAATTTAAGTCGGCCATATTTGAGGCCCATCGCGGTGTACCTAAGATTGTTGATATGCTCCTTCCTTAGTCTTCTTATTCAAAGATGTGAAGTTAAATAAAAGCTTATAATTGATAAATTTAAAACTTACCCTCAATTCCGTTTCCAAAAAAAAATTACGAAAAAAAAATCCTCAAAACGCTACAACGCGTAATACTTAAGTAACAGAGCCTAAGTGTACTTTCTCTTTCTTCTGCAATTGAACTATAAATTGTGTAAAAGGAGTAGCTGGATATACCATATTTATGTCTTTAGGAAAAGTATTATATTAAATAACGCACCTTATATTGATATCAAACAAACAATGTGTGGACACAATGGCGTCTGTACCCTTGATCACGCTTATAAATACCCTGAGCCTATAGATGTTTCATAGAAGACGCAACGTGATTGGGTAGATTTGATCATGTGGCAAGATTTTGTAGTGTCGAGTATAGGTTTCATATACGTATACCATATTCCATTTAGATTCCATCTGCTGTAAAAAGTCTAACGATATGATTGGTAGATCTAATCACGTGACTAGATTTTATAGTGTCGAATAAACGTTTCGTATATGTAGTCTATATACCATTTCTATACAATTTATTGATACTGGTTATATACGTTTTTGAAATTCAGTTCTTTTCAATATTTTTATATTGGAGTTCAAATTTCTCAAAAAATCACAAAAGACAGTTTGATGACTTACTATGCCCTTTGTGTCTGAACTTTTCAAAAATTACGATAACTGACTTGGTGCCAAAATCGAAATATTATATACTTAAAATATATGTTTCGAATATACGTTAAAAAGCAGTATAGTAACGTTCAGTATAATAAACGTATATACTAAGATTAACGGAAAATAAAGCCCTTTAATATGCGTATATTATACGTTGCATATAAAAAAGTAATATGAAATACGTATATTATTTATACCTTTAAAAAAATATACGATATTTATACGGAGAGTACGTTTATTAAACGTATATACTCTTGAACGGTGTTGCTTGGGTATTTTAATGGCAAAAAAGTATCGATATATTCACCAGGGACGCGCATATAGCTTATCATTGGAATATTTTTCTAAAAAAAAATGTGCACCACTGACTTTCTTTTCTCTTGTTAGCAAAATTGTGTAGGCCGTTTAATGTCGATTAAAAGTTGTATCTTGATATTTTGTCGATTTCGTAGACCAAACCAAGTCTAATAGCAACCTTCAACATTTTTTAATGTCATTGCTTGACCAAAGTGTTAAATAAGTACTAAGTGATCTTCATAAAAAAATATGAAAAAAAGTTCATATAAACAAGGGTGCGAAATTCTCTGGTTATACGTTGATTTTTTTTTTCAGGCACGTTTCTATGTCCAAATGAGGAAACTTCTTCGATCACCGGAACTTCACAAGTAAAACCGACAGCTGAAACTAGGACACCTTCAGACGATCCGTTACAACGTCCGTATAAAAATGCTAAAGAGTATGTTGCAGTCTTTTGTGCCTCAATAAAGGAGAATTGTGACACGGACAAAGGAAAAACCAGCAGCGAAAGTAGCGAAGAAAACATCTACGGTTTTGTCGAGCTTCCAAAAGATGTTTTACCCAGTACAGATTCGGCAAAACCTGAAAGCATCGAGGATATTAAGAAGGAAATACTAAAAACGGAACCTAGCGGTGCTCCACAAGTGCTTCCGTCGCCTACGCCTCAAAGATGCGCGGTGACGAGAGCAAGTACGAAAAACGCGAACTCTGGATCGAATGTGAGAAAGCGTTCTGATCCCTATTCTGACGAACTGTATCAGTACAACATGGAGGGCGCTGTAGGAAAACCGCGTCGCGTTGGCAACGACGAATACAGTCCGTTCGACAACTGGAGCGACGAAAGCGGAGACGTTGTCAGGTGAGACGTGTAGTACAGGTATTGAATTAAGATATTAAGGAAGGATTCTGTTTGACATTTCAATTGACACATTTAGATTTGATTCCTAAACTACGGTAAAGAGCGGTTCCTGAAAAACATCGGTTTGATACGGATCGGTTTGGGAAAATACTGGAAACGTCAAATGTTGACGTTTTCTAAATTTCAATATCTCTATTATAAAATGTATCTTTTATGCATTTTTAATGTACCTATTCTCTGCTTTTACGTTTGCTTCTTTTCAATGGAGTTTAATAGTGAAAAGTACTTTATTAATAAACTGTTAAACTCGTTAGACAGCTCAAGCGAAGATTTGCAGGTTCAATATTAAAACAGATCAATAATAAATAAACAAATCTAATCAATATTTATATTTTTATACCTTACAAAACATTCACGATTACTTGTCTTGTTTTTCATGTTTTCTTTAAATATTCCTGACTTTAAGAAACAATGGCTGCATAGCAAGTTTAAATGGTCCTAAAAAGTCATTCTATTTAGTTAATGAAATTTATTTACCTTTACTGCCTACCTCCATTGCTTTTGGATGTAAATACAAAAAAAATATTACAAATTTTAGAAATTAAATGAGAATTTCACTGGAACTTCCAATATTTGCTTGATTTCTGTCACATAAATGACATTGATTGACAAACAAAACCAGAAAAACCAGCCTCCTCGCGCTGGTTAGTTTGATGACAGTTATAATCGAATTTTTCAGGAACCGTGTTCCGTAATAAGAAAACTTTCAGGAAACCGATAGAAACGGAACATAAAACCATAACCAAGGTAAGCAACGGAGTACACCCTAAAATTTTGCGGATTTGTTGTGATTTTCTAACTTATTTTATGTTATTTATTATTTATTCTACAATTAATTGGTTCAGTTAGGTAGGAGGTAGCTGATCTAGAAGGATATTATATCAGAACCTAAATTTAACGTGGACATTGCGAATTCCAGAAAAAGACTGGATCCTGAAATTCCGAGATCCCGGTGTATGAAAATTGTATTGTAAGATTGGAAACGCCATTACCAATTATAGAATAAATAGTAAATAACCTGAATACATAGATATCGGTATTATATACATAACACACAGCGCTCGGTACGGCAGAAATTAGAACTAGAAACCATATGTATCGATATTTTTACTTACAGTATACATTCCTAATATAGGTTAGGCAAAGAACCAACTCCTGCTCTTCCCAATGGCGGTCGTATTTCCGTGGTTTCGGCAAATCAAGCGCCGCCACCTAGTATCCTCAAGGTTAAAGCGGAACCGGACGGCAGAGCATCGAAATCGAAACGGAAAGCGCCCAGCTCTAATAACTCTAACTCTCCCAGCTCTAATAACAGGAGACGCACTATCCATGTGCCGGTAAGCGCGGTAAGTATCGATTTTTTTGCTTTTATACACTTCAGAGCATAATTTTACCTAGAGTGATCCTCAATTATTTGTCGATAAACGCGTCACGTTTTTTATAGGGTGTTGCTGCGCATGGCCAAATTAATCTTAAGTCGAGTTCATACGCATCTGCGTCTGTGCGTCGTTGATCGTTCCGTCATTCCAGTCATATTGAAATTTGATCTGTGTTTTTTGAATAAACCTATAAAATAGACTAAAAACAGCGACAGACGACGCATGACGTGATTTGTATACAGGGTTGTTCACCACATACGACACGGAGTATTGTAGCTAAACGATTAGATTTTTACAAATTGTAAGTTTTGGGTTCATTGAAGGACTACTAGAGATACGATTTAAAAATATTTTTACAAAATACAGAGTGTCCCAAATAAGTAAAAAAATATTATAGTTGTATTTTTTTAAATGGAACACCCCGTATATTATTCTATTTTAGGATTCTACGATCGAAATAAAGGTAAATTTGATTAAGGTTTATCACACTTAAACCTTACCGTTTTTGAAATATTTTCAATTTTATGAAATTGCACTAAAAATTTTAAGGCTTCATTTCTCCAAGGGTATCAAAGTTTTTAATGCTAAGATTAGATATTGTGTTGCAATAATAAAAATTTTACTGCTTTATACAGAGTGTCCAAAAATTTATATTAAATAATTACTAGCTTTAAACGGCAATAACTTGGTTAATTTAAATAGAACACCCTATATATTTTACCTGAATCAGATGCACAATTTAATTGTCTATCAAATTGTATTATACCATTTTTTACCTATCTCTTCAAGTTTTCGTAGAAAATGCATTTTCTTAAAATTTAGACCTCATTTATCACTATACCCATGGAATATTGACATTTCAGATTTTTTTATAGCACCATATATGTACAAAATGTACAGGTGGTAAATATTGCAAGCTCATTGGCATACAAAAAAAACTATTTAAATCTTTGTAAAAGTGTATACCAATTAATTATACCACCAATATTTCCGACCAAAAACATCAAAAATTAGTTAATTACATACTTTTAAATTGTTTTAATTAATAAAGTATTCTAAATAAATGTGGATTTGGCCCAGAAATCAATATAAAAATAAGTTATGAAAATGAACGTCTCTGTTTTTATAAATAAGCATTCGTCAAAAAATGTAATAAAATTTATAAGGTGTTACTTTTTACCACACTATCTAATACACACACAAAATTCAGTTTTTTAGTATTTGGAGCAATTATTATTAATCAACGTAAACAGTCAATTAATGTAGTTTGAATACTGCGATCATATTAATTGGTCCTCTTTAACAAAAAAATATTTAAACAGTTTTTTTATTTTTTTAATTAAATAAGCCACTATATCGACAATTTTAGTATCTGTACCCTTTGAAAATTTGTTACATCTTTAAAAATAAGCTAAAATGTCAATATTCCATGGGTATAGTGATAAATGAGGTCTAAATTATAAGAAAATGCATTTTCTATGAAAACTTGAAGAGATGGGTAAAAAATGGTATAATACAATTTGATAGACAATTTCATTGTTCATCTGATTCACTTAAAATATATAGGGTGTTCCATTTAAATTAAACAAGTTATTGCCGTTTAAAGCTAGTAATTATTTAATATGAATTTTTGGACACTCTGTATAAGGTAGTAAAAGTTTTATTATTGCAACACAATATCTGATCAATAAATAATCTTCAGTAAATATTTAGTATTAAAAACTTTGATACCCTTGGAGAAATGAAGCCTTAAAAATTTTACTGCAACTTCATAAAATTGAAAATATTTCATAAACGGTAAGGTTTAAGTGTGATAAACCTTAATCAAATATACCTTTATTTCAATCATAGAATCCAAAAATAGAATAATATGCAGTGTGTTCCATTTAAAAAATACAACTGTAATATTTTTTACTTATTTGGGACACTCTGTATCTTTTTATCTATTTGGGACACTCTGTAATATTTTTAAATTGTAGCTCTAATAGTCGTTCAATGAACCCAAAACTTACAATTTGTAAAAATCTAATCGTTTAGTTACAATACTCCGTGTCGTATGTAGTGAACAACCCTGTATAAACCCATCCGTAATTAACTTATAAAAATTAGATTTTTTTTAGTGAAAAAGGTGGATTGGTATCATTTGCCATGGTTTGCCTTTTTTCTGTCACCGTCTGTCGAAATCTTCTCTGAGCCGCTGTACAGACTATAAGTTGAAGGCTTTCACGGCCATGCACGACGGATTTTTTTATGTGTTTGTTAACTTGCTTTTTACTGTAGGTAGCTAAGACATCTTTAGCCATTCAGATGGAAGAAAAAATTCGAAATTCAAGTCGATCAATCGAAATACTGTCGTTCATGTTCAAGAATTCACCATCCGATAACGATAAAAGCAAATCTAATAAAGGTACGTCATTTCACTTCACATCACTAAGGTCGTTCCTTTCTAATTTTTCAGGGCGAAATTATTAACGAACCGACGACCCTTCAAGAAAAAAAACCGACTAACTTAAATAATTATTTTAGTAATTTGTATTTGCCTAATAGTAGTAGTAGTAGTAGTAGTAGTAGTTCAAATGTACGGTTACAAAACTTAAACTTGCCAGTTTACAATCACTTACCGTATCCTAATCCATCTAACTTGTATTGCGACAATTTACAAAGTTCAAGCAATCTATTTTCTTCTCACATAAAATCAGAAATCGAACAGTCGAATAGTCAGGAGAAAATCATAAAAAGTGAAGAGTTTGGCGCAATCACGAAGACAATAAGCGACTCGAACGCCGTTCTATACCCAGACAGCGTGTTTTGTACGGACACGGAAAATCTGAACTACCTCAATGCAGTGTTGCCGGCGCCAGTTCCCCAACTCGCGACGGACAGTCTGTTCCAAGACCACCTGATGCCAAGTATCGGGAATTTTGTTAGTTCAGAAGAACCCGCTTATCTCGGCCAGAACCTCGATAACAATCCAGTTTATCCACACGGAATGGGCCAGTTGCACGGAGATTCTAAGGTAGCTTATCATCCTCAAACGACGATGTACTCTTACCATCCGACTCCCGTGCCGGAAGTCACTCAAAATGTTATGTCACAGAATCCCCAACCTGTAAACGAATGTACGAAAAAGATGCCCTTTAAGAAACGCAAACCGTACGAAGAACACAAGATGAACGAAGTCGTCAAACCCGAATCATATCGCGTTTATGAAGATATATCGTACCCGGCCAAACGCCAGATGTCTATCGCCGATCTACAGCGATCCATATCGTCGGATTTTCACCGGGTCGATCGGTTTCCTACTCAGATCAAAACGCCCGCGGCCAGAAAACTGTATCCCGAAGGCACTTGTCATTGTACGAACGATCGCCACCGCGAAGGGTACCAGCAACACGACTGCAACAAATCGTCGAATTTTTTCGCGCGTATTTTCATCGACAGGCCTAGAGAGCGCTCGCCGAACTGTGCTTGTAACAAGATGAGCTTGACGATCGAAACGGGGCACAGGTGCAGCCATACGCCCGAGAACGATGGACAATCGCCTCAGAATTACAAGCGACACGCGCCCGTGTTGCAGTCGGTCCCCAACAACGTTCAGAGACCCCCAGATAGGAGGGAGGAACCGGTGTACGAGCCTAAACCTAAACGTAGCAGGAAAGCGCCCGAGGTTTCTGAACCCAAAAGGAAGAGGGGTAGGCCTAGGAAGAATCCCAATTAGAAGATCGTAAAAACGAAGAATATCGAAGAAATCATCGGAAGACGATTGAATATTTTGAATTATTTTGTTTTTAAAATATACAATTCCTTCCTTTAAAAAAAACTTTTAAGAGATATTCGTGCATCAGTATTAATAATATTAATCTTATTTCAGTATTTTTATTCGTTCTAAATAATAATACCGATAACTATATGGCTGTGCATTTAGTCTTTTTTTTTTGAAAACCTCACAGAAGATTGCTATTACTCGAAGATGGTTATTGCTGCGAAGATACTGAAGATCTGCGTTTATTTTTGGTCTACTTGAACGATTGAAAACTATAAATGCTAATTAAAGAAGAAGAAAATCGTTACAAAGAATATTTTAACTAGTTAAAAATGGCTACTATATATGAAGTGATCGTATTTTCGATATATGTTTGACTTATATTTTTCACACTGTCTTTTAAATTATGTGTTATATTATTGAAAAAAGAACGATTAACGAAGAGATCGAAGCTTCTTCATACCGAATAGAAATTAAAATGTAATAGCTGTTTAAATGTAAAAGGGAATAACCGAATTTTCTTTTTTAAGGCGCAAAAGTTATTGAAGTTAGCAAAGGTGTGAATCACAGCATTCAACAGGCGAATCAGAGGAAACGGCAACGAAGTAAGTTTATTTATTTTACTATTTTTTTGCAGCTTCATTTAACAAAAAGATTAAGAGGAAAAAGTATGCCTTCCTGTCGTATACAGGGTGGTCCGAATTGTATTCCGGAAACTTCGGCAGCATATTCTGCGGATAAAAATAAGTAAAAAAGTTCGTATAAATGTATGTATGAACTTTTTATTTTTTTAAATTAATCATAAATTTTTCTTCGAAAAAATGGGGATAAAACAGTGTAGCGTTTTTTAAACAACTACCACTGCGAACGGCAGCTTTTCATCGGAGAGCAGTCGTGGATAAGGTATTTCACTGGAAAGAAAATTAATCAGTAATAATTAACAAAAGATATATAGATATTGGGCGCCAGGCATGTACAGAGAAAGAAAACACAGTTGTATAATACTTAAAACTAATGACTATATTTATTCATGACGTTCTTTGCTGATACATGACATTGTAGAGTTCTAGTAAATATACAGTGGTTATATGTCAAAGAAAGTGGTGGTAAGAGTCGTACTAAATATCAATGAAAACAACTACGATAAAATACAGGACATGTAAAGTTTAAGAGAAAATATGAAATGTAGCATTACTTTAATTAATTTGATATATTCCATATGATGCTAAATCGAAGATGTTACACCTGTAGATTCTAGAATCTATGTTTGATTATCCATCTATTAAAATAGTGCAATAATATCTATAAAAGTAATACCATTACAAGATGTAATGCAATGAAACCTAAGATCTAAATTATATTTTAAAGATTATATCGACATGAATGTTCTTAACAATCTAACCACTGAACATAGTCTGTACGATATTACTTAAGATGTACGTTATTGTTTAAGACTGAAAATGTTTTAGATGTTAAATGTAAAACTAGAACTTAAATATACACGTAGCTGTTTTTTTTATTTAACCTTGCTTCAAACAGTAGCAGCGTGAGGTGGTCTAGCATCTCTGTACTGTCTGTCGGCGATCCTGTTGGCCAAAACAACAAAAGGGGCCAGATTGAGGACACCATAAATCACTACAGCCGTAGCTACTGACTAGGCTTAGAAATGGGAGTGAAGCAGCATGGGACTCAAGCTACATCCACGCTGTGGCACTTAGATGTAAGAAAAAATCGTTCTTACTGGGGACACTCGTCCACAGGACATCTGTACATAAGATAATGTCTGTACACAAGGCACTACCCGTACCTTGGAAATAGTCCGTACCTTGGACCCTAAAAATATGAAACTCTTGTTTAAAACCAAACAAGATCTTATAAACAAAATGAACCTACCTCGAATTACTTCCGAGGGCTCACTAAATAATAAAGAACCTGTCCTTCCTTCCATGTGACATTCTGGAGGACAAAAGAAAAGGGACGCCAACGTGCCAGCAAAATACAATTACAAGTTAGGTTGGGGCATCCGCAACTCTACCCTAAAAATACGCAGTAATAGTAACGAATCTAAAAGGATAATATCTCATCTTTACCTGTAGCTTCGAAATAGCAGCTGATTCAGATTATACAGCAAGATTTAAATAATCACCATTTCTCAAAAACTGGGACTAATGGCGTCTGACAGGCCAAACGTTCAAACCAAAAGTGAAGTAAATCACAGAGAGTTGACAGAAGCGACGTTGACAGCGCGCGCCTCCACAGAGCGATAACAGGGTTGTGTCAAACGAAAACAGGGTTGTGGACTAGAGAACGTAAAAATTCGTCAAATAAATCATCAGGCCCGAACGATACGGAACCGGGTGACGATATGCCAGACATCATATATTATATATAAAAAAGACATGTAACGAACTAAAAACGTTACAACAGTTTCTGTTGAACTTTTGACACAAAAAAATTTCAAATTTATGATTTCAGACTAATAACTATTTAGTCAACATGTTTAATTTATGTCAATTACGACCGGTATTGATAATTTCGATTCCAAATATCTTGAGACCCATTACTCGTAGCGATTTTTACCAAGAGACCTTTTCTATGTAAAAAAAGTCGTAAATGTATATTTTTTTACTCGGTCGTTTTATACAGGTACGGACGCATAAGCATTTTAGGACATACATTTATACGATTTTTTTTACTGACTTATCTACAGAATATGCTGTCGAAGTTTCCTGAATACAGTTCGGACCACCCTGTATACGTAGTTGTACCGGGTGAGTCAACGATAAAGTCCATTATCTCATTTGCTTCGAGATTTACAAGAAAATATTAAATATAAAAGTTATAGGGACAGTTAAGATACACATTGTAAAATTATTATAGAGTATACAGGGCGCTTCAAAAAAGTGTGGCGAATATAACATATGTTTTTTAAATGCAACACCCTGTTTTTATTTTATTTTATTTTTAGATTTTGCGTAAAATTCCATAATTCTTTTATATATAATGTTATACAGGGTGTCTCAGAAATAAGTGCAAGTATTTTAACTGGTAGTATATTTCGATCCTAGAAACACGCCTACGAGTTTTTTTTGCGAAAAAAAAATTGTTGGAAATTTAAACTTTCTTGACATTTTCCGGGAAATTTTAAAAAACTTTTTAGTGCCACTTGTTTATTCATCTGATATTTCTCTACAGTGTATCTAAACGTTGCAATGTTTAATCACGATCCTGCACAAACCACTCAACGTAAGAAGCTCAGTTTTGGCATACAAGTTGATTCTAGGGTGTAGAGGTTTGATAAGAAGGGATTTTTCGAAATTCCAAGAGGGTGAAACCACCACTCAAATATTACAATATTTTTTATTTAAAAAACGGTCAAGTTTCCGAAAAAACGCTTAAACACGTATATTTTATTTTGTTTTTTTACATATTTTAAGATTTTTTAAAAATGTATACAGGGTGTTTCGAAAAATCTGGTCATTGATTAATCACAATAAAAACGCTGGTTTTTGGAAAACAGATTGACTTTAGGGTGTAGAGGTTCGATAAGAAGGGATTTTTCGAAACTCGAATTCTATGGGGTGAAACCGCCCCTCAAATATTAGAATATTTTTTATTTAAAAACCGGTGAGTTTTTCGCAAAAACTATTAAACACGTATATTTTATTTTGTTGTTTTACATATTTTAAGATTTTTTTAAAATTTATACAGGATGTTTCATAAAATATGACCATTGAGTAATCACGATTCTGCTTAAACTGCTTGACATTTAAAGCTGGTTTTTGGCAAACGGAGTAACTGTGGGGTGTAGAAGTTCGATAAGAAGGGGTTTCTCGAATCTCAAATTCCAAGAGGATGAAAACGCCCCTCAAATATTACAATATTTGTTATTTAAAAAACGGTTAGTCTTTCGGGAAAACGCTTGGACACGCATAATTTATTTTGTTTTTTTACATATTTTGAAATTTTTTAAAAAATCATACAGGGTGTTTCAAAATGTTGGGTAATTTCTTAACCACGATTCTGCTTAAACTGCTTGACGTAAAAAGCTTATTTTTGGCAAACGGATTTTTCGAAAGTCAAATTCCAACGAGATGAAACTACCTCTCAAATATTACCAAGTTATATAATAATATCGCCATATTGTTTTTTCTCATGCTGACATAAATGTGAGAAAATTTTATCCAGTTTGTATGTTAATGGAAATTCTTGCTTTGCTTTATCATCACCATTACAAATGATTAATTCGACGCGAACGAAGTCGCGGGTACACGCTAGTTAGTTACTAATAATTCTAGAAAAAAAACACATTAATTATTTTTAGTACTTGCCCTTTCAATGAAAACTTATCAAAACCACCGAATATTAACTTAAACATTATCTTTATGACATTTACGAAAATCTTTGTTATGCTGCAAAATAACTTTATTTTGGAATAAATTTAATAAAATGATTCATCATAATACATGTTTCACTCAACAATTTTAAATACGTATTTTGTTTTTTCGGTATTTTTTCGATGTATTTCGACAATGCCATGGACAGCCCAACCGTCGGTCAAGAGTTCACGAGTGCCGCTTGTCAACTGGTTCTTTGAACCGCCGCGCCACCGGCGCCGTGGCGAGCTTGCGTCATGCGACGATATTAAACGACGTTGCCGTACTTACAACAATTTCAAATTCAAGACATTCAAAGCCACCAAATTCGTATTAAATTTTAAAAATAAAACAGAGAAACATGAAAGGAAACAAACAAAACACAAATGGACTGATTATTGATAAGGTCACAAAAAAGAAATTTCTAAAATGTTTATCGTAATTCAGAATTCAATATATCGAAAACAGCCCGACGAATAAGTAGTTGAAATTCATAAATATATTTTGAACACCCTGTAGCATATAACTAAAATATTTTTACATATATCTTTTTCTTCATCTTTATAAATTTCTCCTACCAAATTTTAGTTGTCCAACTTTGGAAACAATGGCATCACTGACAATTTTTTACCACACTGCAATCTAACGTTTGTTTAAACAAAATGTGTATCTTGACCTTCCCTATAACTTTTATATTTATTTTTTTTTGTAAACCTCGAAACAAATGAGATAATGGACTTTACTCTATCGTTGACTCACCCTGTACATACACTATAGGCCAGTAAGCGAGAATAAAAATAGGGTATTACCTCCGAATTCTGGACACCCGCACTGATTGACGTGCAATTTTAACAGTGAATAGAGATATATGTAAGAAACAAAAGTTACATAGTAGCGATGTGTGCTTTCACCCTGGGGGGTAAGTGCCACCCCTTCTCGGGGGTGAAAAATAAATCACCCATTTTAATTGCAGAAATCAATAAAGGGATGAATTCTAAGCAAAAAATGTTAGATCTTTTTAGAAAATTAAAAAAAGACCTAAGTTTTCTGTAAGTCAAAAAAAGACCTAAGTTTTCTGTGAGCTTACAACTCTGACTGTATATTAATTGCATTTATTGTAAGTGTTTGCATGGATTAACTATACATCTGCATCTAGAGTAATCGCAAAACAAGTTCCGATGCACGTGATCAACTTTGAGTGACAAGCGATGGCGACAGCGCTGCCAGATTGTGATGGATTTATGAGATGAATCTTAATTTAAAATTGACAAACAATATATTTATTATATCATTTTTAAAGAGTTTTACATTTTATTTTTAATTCAATAACTAATATTTTAGTAATTAATTGATTTATTTGTTTTATAGCTTGTTTTACTTATTACATATTGGCAAAAACTAGTTCATTATGAAGATTATTCTAAGCGTTATTATGGGTTATTTATTTATTTATTGATGTACATCTTACAACACCATAAGTGGTAATAAGTAAGAGGGTGTTATTAATGCACAAACTAACAATCACAGAATTTAATAAAAACAAACGTAGAAATAACTTTGAAAGTGGTGTAATGTGCTTATCAATCAAACTTACTTCTCTGACTGCAGTCAAGGGTAATAAAGGACGTTTATCGTCACGTTTTCGTTCAAAATAGTTTATCAGGAAAGCTACCAGCTTTTTGCTTCGACAGTTTAAATGCTCAGGCAAATTTTCAACAAACAATTTCAAGAAATGCAATACAAAAACTCGAAAATTTAGTTCTTAAATGAACGGTTTGTGCTTAAAAGTACAATTTTTAAAAAAATACTATGAAAATAGGCAAAAAAAACGAGAATTACTCCCAAAGATTCAACAACACGACATTATACAAAATAATGACTGACATTAGGATAATTGTCAAATAATAAACGAAAACCTTGCTGAAAACGGCGCAATGTGACCAACATAGCGATAATAAAATTCGGTTCAAACTAATTTTTGCAGCTTAAATCTAAATAAAATATCTGTTACAATCATTTGCTCTATAAAGTAAAATGAAGAGCTGCTCGGTATCTTAATTTAAACATTTTTGCCAAAATTTCATTTAGTAAGATTTATAGACTTTAATGTCAATGTCAATATGATTGATGACATGCCTGGGAAAATGTTTTGCGATTGAACAACATTTTGAACAGCTTAGATGATGGTGTGAGGTGTCTTTAGCCTCGGTTTCCTACAAAGCGGCCCTTTTCACCAACGAGTACCACGGCCGGGCTTTACAAGTAACATTAAATACGGTGCGTTAAGATACTGCGGCCAAAAAACGCGCTTAAAAACGCATTTTAGCGGCGTAGCTCGCTTTGTAGGAAACAGAGGCTTTTACCATTTTTACGGTAGTAGCAGTCCTCATAGCTTTATTTTTTATTTAATTTTTGTTTATTTTTAAGCAGAGTCTGATAAGAAGTCGCCCACAAAAAGAACACATGGTACGTAGAAGTTATTAAGAAATTTCATTTATGGTAGGTTTGTTCCAACACAGATATTTGGTCCGTTCTAGAACGGCAATTGGGATTGCCTACTTCGTACGCACCGAATTTGTACGCATGTGTCGACTAGGACAGTTCTCTTACTATACCAAAGTTAAATGCCGGTTGGAACGGTGTTTGAACTGATTTTAGAATCAAATTCGTAACCTAATTTTTAATTATTAATATATAGAATGTTCAGCCATCGTTCAGCGTCACATCTGTCGAACTCTCTCAATCGCTTGCCAACCAGATGAAAAAGATTGGTGACGTCATTACGGCATGTCGTAAATTACTTCGGTGTATTCCGTTGTTTACCTTGGTTATGGTTTTATGTTCCGTTTCTATCGGTTTCCTGAAAGTTTTCTTATTACGGAACACGGTTCCTGAAAATTTCGGTTATAACTGTCACCAAACTAACCAGCGCAAGAAGGCTGGTTTTTCTGGTTTCAATCAAGCAAATATTGGTTCAAGCCTTTGAATAAGAAGACTAAGGAAGGAGCATAATGCTATCCATGTATACATGCATGGTGGGCGGAAAAAGGACTCTAGGGTGGGGATCTTTGACAGTTCTGTTTGACGATTCATTTGACACATTTGAATATGATTTGAATTTGATTTGAAATTTTGTGGATTTGTTAGTCTTTGCGGAGCTTATTTTATGTTATTTATTATTTATTCTACTACTGATAGTTGTATAAAGGTAGTAAATCTAGATGGAAATTGTGGCAGAAGTTATAGTTCAGTCATTGGGGATCAAAAAAAGAGCCTGCTTGGAAAAAAGTCCGGAAGTTTTGAAACTTTGCAGGTTTGTAGGTTTTGGGGTCCCTAACTAAAATCCATAAAATGGACATTTCCAGACTTGCCGCCGGCGCCGCCATCTTGCCAAGATGGCGCCCAAAATCGGTATTTTGTAAATATCTCGAAAACTATGCGTTTTTTGCAAAAATTTGAAGAGAGCAAAATTAAAGAGAATAAAATTTCCATTAAAAATTCATATGAAAAAATCATCATTAAAGTCAACCGTTCAGGCACAAAATCCCTGGAAATTTTACAATTTTGCGTAAAGTACGATATACATACTATAGTTGATTTTCCGAAATCAAATATCGATTAGTGTTCACTAAAACTAGTTTTAGTTTAATTTCTTCAATTTTGTCATGAAACAGTGGCGTATCATTAATTCGCTCATTAATTTATGAATAATTAATTGTCGTGCTGGACAGCATTCATTGCGAACTTACCACCAGGTTCAGCATTGGTCTGGTTGTACCAAACTGTGTCGAAAAAAATGCCGAAGAATCGGGTTGGAAGAAAACAAAAACAGGCATTACTACAGTCACAACGTTGAGAGATCCAGCTCCAAAATCCCTAGTGGCATTTTTATCCTGTAAATACAAAACCAACAACCAGTGGCGGATACTAAAATCCATAAATTGAGTTAAATATTATGCTTTTGGGTTAAAAATGGCGACCTAAAAAGCATATTCTACATTATTTTTTGTTTGGGCCCCCCCCTAAAATAAATTCCTGTATCCGCCCCTGCCAACAACTGTGGTAAAGCCACAAATGCCTGCGGATGCAGAAAAGCAGGATTAAAATGTTCAATGATTTGTACATACTGCAATGGGAAATCCTGTGACAACGTCACTGAAGTGTCACTCGACGAATCGGATGAAGAAGGGTTGGACTTGCCTATAGATATCCCTCTGGCGGCTGAAGATGAAGAGTTGGACGTATTGAGAGACCACCCTGATGAGCCCAGCACAGCAGACACGATCGACTTTGACATCAATGAGCCAGATCCGTCGGGCTTGTGCAGATAAGTTAAGGTTTTTAATTTACCTAGGGGAGTAGGCCTCCGAGGAGACCACGTTAAAATAAACGCGCCATATACTTCACCTCTTGGGTTGTGTGGAAACAAGTACACATTTTTAATTATTAAGTTAATTATTCATAAATTAATGAGCTAATTAATGATACGCCACTGTTTCATGACAAAATTGAAAAAGAAACTAAACTAAAACTAGTTTTAGTGAACCCTAATCGACATTAGATTTCGGAAAATCGACTATACATAATATATCAGATTTTACGCAAAATTGTAAAATTTCCAGCGATTATGTGCCTAAACGGTTGACTTTAGCGAAAATTTTCATAAAAAAATTTTCATTTTTTATAGGAAATTTTATTCTCTTTAATTTTGCTTCAAGTTTTCGCGAAAAACACATAGTTTTCGATATATTCACAAAATACCGATTTTGGGCGCCATCTTGGCAAGATGGCGGCGCCGGCGGCAAGTCTGGAAATGTGCATTTTATGGATTTTAGTTAGGGACCCCAAAACCTATAAACCTGCAAAGTTGCAAAACTTCCGGACTCTTTTCCAAGCAAAAATCCCCAATGACTGAACTATTAAATTAACAGTGACATTATCGCGATTTATCGAAAAAGACTCTAAAATAGTTGGTTGTGTAGCGTGCGGTAGATCTCGGCAAAAATCGAGTGAAATAATGGAACAACTTTTCGCTAGTAAGCGACTATACAGGGTGTCCCAGAAATAAGTGCAGATATTTTAACTGGTAGTATAGTTCAACCCCAGAAACACGCCTATGAGGTTTTTTTTGCGAAAAAAAAATGTTGAAAATTTAAAATTTTTCTTGACATTTTCCGGGAAATTTGAAAAAACTTTTTAGTGCCTCAATTTGACTTACCTGCTTCAGTAGCGTATCGGATGTGTATGGTTATAAATAATTATTATAACTTATCTATTTTTATTAGAATTTTATATTTTTATAACAATTTTAATAACTACCAACATTTATTCACAACGTATATATATATAAACGGGATTTGGTTTAAGTATTTAATACTCATTTCCAACTACAGCCTATTGCTGCCTTCCCGTTACCCTACGCCACACATCTCGATTTAGAGCGTCATCAGCTTCTAGGTTACGAGCTTCCATTGCTTCCGTAACCGTTCCGTTCCAGGATTTTCTAGGTCTACCTCTCTTTCTTCTGCCCTGGGGAGTCCATTGAAAAACTCTTTTTGGCCACCTGTTCTCCGGCATACGCAGAACATGTCCAAACCATTTTAAGCTGGATTTTTTCGATTCGATCCAGTACTGTCTCCTCCGATGCATTCATGATACGCCTGACCTCGATGTTTGTCTTTTTTTCCATCCTAGATATACCTGCACTTCTTCTAAGATAGTCCATTTCAACAACTTGGATTTTGCGCTTCGCGTCACTCAGAGTCCATAGCTCTGAACCATAGCAAAGAACTGACTCCGCCAATGTTCGTCCAAGTCTCTTTTTAGTTGTTGCAGATAAGTTTCGGTCCCACCAGAGGCTGTTAAGACATCCAATAACTTGTTTGCTCTTCTGAATTCGGGTTTGTATTTCTTCTTTGCCCAAACCCTCGTTGTTGATAGTAGCACCCAGGTATTTAAATTTGTCTACTTGTTGAATCTGGACGTTATCATTAATGAAGACTTCAAAACAAGTGTTGGAATTGACAGCTAAGTATTCGGTCTTCTTTAGACTAACCTGAAGTCCCCATTTGTTGTATACTTGATAAAGCCTCTTAGTCATGAACTCTAGATCGTATGAGTCCTGCGCAATCACGACCTGATCGTCTGCAAAGCTCAGGGTAAATAGTGTGTTGTCCCCAATGGGTATTCCCATACCTTGATATTTCGTCTTCCATTCCCTAAGGGCTAATTCGACGTAAGCGTTGAAGATCAGAGGAGATAAGCTGCATCCTTGTCGCAACCCTTTTGTGGTGTTAATTGGATTAGATAGCCTGTGTCCTATCTTAACGTACGATTCATTTTCTTTATATAGCTATTTTATTATCTTAAGCAAAGGTCTATCTACTTCTAAGATATTCAATACTTCCCATATCTTGCTGCGGGGAATAGAGTCGTACGCTTTCTCCAAATCAATAAATGCTAGATGGACTTCTTGATCTACTGCTATCTTTTTTTCCATCACCTGCTGCAGGACAAAAAGGTTATCTGTGAAAGATTTCCCCGGTGTGAATCCGCTTTGGTCTTCCGAGATTTGTCACCAATACTGTCCCTGAGCCTACCCTGTAGCACCTTTCCAAAAAGTCTGCTGACCGAACTGTTAATGCTCTATAACAAGTGGGGTCGTTACGATTTCCCTTTTTAAAGATGGACACTATGTGAGCCACTCGCCATTCTCGGGGTAGTTTACTTTGCAGGCAGCACTGGTTAAATAGCTCTGCCAGACGCCAGCGCAGTCTTTGGGTTCCACACTTTAACAATTCGGCTACAATATTACCAGGACCTGGTGACCGTCCATTTTTCATTCTTTTGAGACTTTGATGTACTTCTCTTTCGCTTATCATTAAAGTGCCTGCAAGGTTGTTCTCATCTTCTACTGCTTGGAATTCTGGTCGGTTTTCTGTCAGTAATTTTGCATAGTAGTTGCGCCATTTTTCTATATCCATTCTATTCAGTTATTCACAACGTAAAATAAAAAAAGAATTGTTGAGTCTACCCCACGTCTACCCTACATCATAGTTTTACATTTTTTAAATAAAATTAGAACGGCACTGATAAACCGGAATTTAAGTCGGCCATATTTGAGGCCTATCGCGGTGGACCTAAGATTTTTGATATGCTCCTTCCTTAGTCTTCTTATTCAAAGGTTCAAGCAAAAATAAGTTCGAGTGAAATTCTCATTTAATTTCTAAAATTTGTAATAATATTTTGTATTTCTATCCAAAAGCAATGGAGGTAGGCAGTAAAGGTAAATAAATTTCATTAACTAAATAGAATTACTTTTTAGGACCATTTAAACTTATCATGCAGCCATTGTCTCTTAAAGTCAGGAACATTTAAAGAAAACATGAAAAACAAGACAACAAGTAATCGTAAATGTTTTCTAAGCTATAAAAATCTAAATATTGAATAGATTTGTTTATTTATTATTGATCTGTTTTTATATTGGACCTGCAAATCTTCACTTGAGTTGTCTAACGAGTTTAACAGTTTATTAATAAAGTACTTTTCAATATTAAACTCCATTGAAAAGAAGAAGCAAACGTAAAAGCAGAGAATAGGTACATTAAAAATGCATAAAAGATAAATGTTATAATAGAGGTATTGAAATTTAGAAAACGTCAACATTTGACGTTTCCAGTATTTTACCAAACCGTTCCGTATCAAACCGATGTTTTTCAGGAACCACACTTTACCGTAGTTTACCGGTTTGGTTCGCCTGGTTTTGCAACGGAATACCGCCCTAGTAATTGACATTGTCATTTGGTTTGGGGTTATAATTATATTGACGGACATCATGATACAAAGAAAACAAGGTATGATATTACGCAGGTTGGTCATCCTAACCTAACCTAACCTAACCGTGCCAAGAACGGTTCTCTACTATGTTGGAACAAACCTTATATCTCAGCGTTCTATGTATCTATAGTTGACACCTTTTAAGATTTCCCACTGTGACCAAAATTATTGTAACATTTGACACTTGACGCGATGTTCCATGCATGTGGAGTTTTTACCGTACGATCGGATAAAAACTGGCGTCGAAGACGGCTGGATAATGACAATCGATGTTAATTTGGACGAGGCCATGGATTCGGCAACCAACTCGCAATACGCGTCATTAAATAAAGAGTACGGGCCAAGTAATAGCATCTAGGGCTTGACCTCGCCAAAATTTTCATCGATTGTGATTCCCCAGCCGTCTTTGACGCCGTTTTTTTTCGATCATATTTTATTACTTTGTTTTTTGCGTTTTATTTGCAGAATTATTTTTATTGTAATTAAAATGGGCAAATCTAAAAAAGATGGTAGCTATATTTTTTGTTTCAAAATAAATTCGAAAATTCTGAAGTGGGTGATTCATTGTTCAAAACAAAAGACAGATTGTTATACCGGGTGCGTCTCAAAAGTGGCTCACTTTTATAACTTTTTTTATTTTTTTCAGATAAATGAAACGGGATTTAAATGTTAGTATATGACATAAATTAGGATTGATTGACGTATTCAATTATTTTCGGTCACTTCCGGTTTCACCGGAAATGACTACAACTTTTGATTTTTAAATTGCACCCTCGGTATTTTTTTACTTTATTTGATAGAAAATGACGCTCTGAATAGAATGACATATCACATATCAACTTTTGACATTCTGGCTAAAACAATTGTATTTTAAATTTCAATCTAGAATGCCATGGCTGTGTTAAAAACACTAACTTTTAATCAAGGAGCCTTGGAAAAATAGATTTGATCGTCTAATGTCTTGTCCTGGCCGGTGAAAAGATGTCCAAATCGTATTTTTAATCATATCTCGATATTTTCAAATGGAACGGGGGTAGTTCATTTCCACATTTGGAAAAAGCATTTTTTTACGAATAATTTGGTAGCACACACTTGGTATTTCGTGTCAAATTGTCATTACATTTATGGCCTCTCTATGAACGCTAAATTAAAATTTAAAATGTTATTTTTTAATTGAAAATGTCAAAAGTCTGATCAAAAGCTAACCGTTAAGAAGATATTGCGGTACAAAGATGACGTAAAAATATGATTTTTCTTTTTTTTTATCTTAGAATAATTAAATTTTACAGAAGTATAAGTGTTATAATAACACTCCATAAGTTTTTTTTCGCATTTGTTTTGAAACTCTGTGTATTTTTTACCTCTGTATCTAGAAATTTATTTTTATTTTATTTTTGATTTTTCTAGTTCGATTTGACGTCAAAGACAGGGCGGAAGATTTTGGTACACCGCACGAAAAAGTATCTGGTACGTGTTATTTATTATACAGGATGGTCCGAACTGTATTTCGGAAACTTCGGCAGCATATTCTGCAGATAAAAATAAGTAAACAAGTTCGTATAAATATGTCTTAAAATGCTTAGTTTCGGAGATAAGAATGTAGAAGTTTCATTTTTATTTCGATTTTTTCCAAATAATTTCCGAAGTAACGTCAATATTTAGATGGAAATTGGTGTCTGGGAGTTTTTTGACATGATAAATTTGATTTTGATGTCAATATGACTCCTATTTGTAGGGGGCACCACCTACATGTTTTAACTATTTTTAAGAGTTAAGAATAACTTTTCGTCCGCACCTGTATAAAACTACAGGGTGCAAAAATATGCATTTCCGTGATTTTTTACGTAAAAAATATCTCTTCGTAAAAATGGCTACGGGCAACCGTTTTCGAGATATTTCGAATGGGAATAGTCAATACATGTCATTATTGACAAAAAACATGTTGAGTAGATAGTTATTTGACTGAAATTGTAAATTTGGGAACTTTTTAAAAACGATGATAAAAAGTTTCTGTTGAACTTTTTTCACAAAAACATTTCAAATTTATGATTTTAGTTTAATAACTATTTAGTCGGCATGTTTAATTTATGTCAATAACGACAGATACAAATATCTCGTGAACCATTACTTGTAGCGATTTTTACCAAGAGATCTTTTTTACGAGACGACACTAAAACTCACGAAAACCTCGGAAGCATTCGGATCCTACACGGAAAGTTCGGTTTTGTTCGGCGAGAAGCGCTTTGCTGGAATTTTGAACATTATCGAGAATTGAACAATAATTTTATTATGCGAAATTGCTAACAGTAGTTGACTGTTTTGGTTGTTTATTTTGTTTTTTGTAGTTTTTAGACTATTTTTAGAAATATGGCTATATTTAAAAACTGATCTGCATTCATATAATAGTAAGGGAGATTATGGGAGCAGAACACACAATTGTGGACGACATAAGAACAAAACAACTCATATGGTTTGGTCATGTGCAACGAATGCCCGATCACAGAATACCAAAACAAATTTTACTGTGGACACCTCGAGGCAGAAATAAAAGAGGAAGGTTGCGACGAAGCTGGAGGGAGGGTGTGGATAAAGAACTGGAAAATAGAGAAATACCTGATGATCTCTGGCTAAATAGACAAGAGTGGAGGTTATGTGTCGGAAAACGTCGTAGAACGTTCTGAACCGACTTGGAAGGAAGGTGGTTAATGTATTTGGCTGATATTTGGTAATATCAGAGGTAATATACCTATATTGGCCTACATTAAGTGATTTTAGTCAAAGTTGCATTTATTATTGGTGTAAATTAAAAATTGTTTCATTTGCAGATTGCATGATCACTATCTAATTTGATGCATAAGCGAGAACCATAGCTTTACTTGGAGGGAGCTCATTATTCTCGAATTCTACTCTAGTTATTATCATTATGTCCTACATATGAATGAAGATTGGTTAGAAAAATTTGTAATACAGTACAGGGCAGAGAAATATGTTCCGAATCAAGTTGAAATCTTTTATTAAAGTATCAGTTCTTAAATAATTGAATCACATTTTCATGGGGAAATAAACGTTTTGGGAAAATTTGTTAGCTTAATTACTGTAACATATTAGAAATAAAAAAACAAATTTATAGTTCTAATTTTATTAGAATGTTACAGTTTCGATTACGGCCTATAAGTAAGCCTTGCAAGAAGCTTATGGGTGTTCTGTGTCAAGAAAATACAATAATTACAATACAATACAATAAACAATACCACATTGTACAGATAGTAAGTAGTACAATATAAATATAAAACTCTTAACCAATAGTCAATACATATTTACTTAAATAAGACCAAAAACAAAATAAATAAAGCCTTAAACCAATAATCTCTTTCACTTTGTTGGGAATAATTCTTGCTTATCCATTTTCCTTTTATTAAAATATGGTTTTTTTATTATATGGTATATTTATTATGATTTCTCTGTTTATTTAGAACAATTGCTGATGTGTCCTAAAAATAAAAAGAGACTATTTGGCATAGTGTTTTTTTTTTCATTTCTATTTTACATACCTGGCTGATTTACTATGATTACAATAATAATTGTAAGTTTTTTCCACATAGTCATTATATTTTCTTGACCTGGCGAATGCATAATTTATGTTGATCTTCTGTTTTTCGTACCACAGTTTATAACTTTCCTTTGTAGCAAAGTCATAGGCAAAGTTATGCGTTTCCATTTCCAATTTTACTTCATGGTGTTTATCTTCAAATAATGTTGTTGCAATATACTGCAAACAAATTATACAGAGTACCATATTTAGAGTACACAGTGGGCAAATAATACGTTTCTTCTTATTATAGCGTTTTTCATAAAATTAAGTGAAACAACACAAATTAAAAATAATCCAGTCTGTAATATTAATTATTATCAAAGTCCTATGAATCGCTGGATCCCCAAAACTCATACACAAATTGTAAATCTTCTTTAAAGTGCTTTTAAAAATATTTACTCTGATATTTATAAAAGTGCCGTTGTTTACAAAGTCCATCAGCGGTAAATTTCAGCTGAGTTTGACGTAGACCGCGGTTGCGCAGTTCAGCTTCCGTGTATTTTGTCCTTAGAGAAGGAAAGAGACTCTCTTTCCTTGTCTAGGGTATCGTGAGTTTTAGTGTCGTCTTTTTTTACGTAAAAAACGTCGTAAATGTATATTTTTTCACCCAGTAATTTTATACAGGTAGGGACGGAAAGTTATTAGTCTTTAAACCAGTAAAAAATATGTAGGTGGCGCCCTCTACAAGTAGGAGTCATATTGACGTCAAAATCAAATTTATCATGTCAAAAAACTCCCAGACACCATTTTTCATCCAAATATTGACGTTACTTTAGAAATTATTTGGAAAAAATGAAAATAAAAATGAAACTTCTACATTCTGCACCCTGTATCTCCGAAACGCATTTTAGTACATACATTTATACGAACTTCTCTACTTATTTTTCCTAGATCATATATACTTACGTGGATAAGTAAATCACTATGGAAGTATTTACCCAAAATTTACTTAAAATTAACTTTCCATTGAACACACTTGCATCATTGGCTATATAAAAGCGGTCGATAAAAGAGTAATTAATACAATGTTTAAAATAAAAAACGCAAAAAACAAGCGTCGTTACATAATGGAAATAACATTATGACATATGATTATGACAATATGATGACAATGAAAAGTTGGTTTCCATAACAATGTATAATTTATACTTTCTAAACCGGATAAAATTGTAATTATTTTGGAAATGTGGCACGTGCCACTTTTAATGCGCATGCGTAAAGTCAGGTCAACGAGACAGACAAACCTATTGAACGTTTCATATGTGCAATAAAGAAGGTTTGAAAATGGCATGACGTGATGTTGGAGACATATTTTTTAATGCTAAACTTATGGGGTTGATTTATCCACGTAAGTATATATGATCTAGGTTATTTTTATGTGCAGAATATGCTGCCGAAGTTTCCGAAATACAGTTCGGACCACCCTGTATAATGTAACATAGCACTGTCTTTAAGGTAATAATCGTTGTTTTTCTTTCTTTTTAAGCTGTCGTTAAGCATGCCGAAACCCGCACGACCAACCGCAAAAAAGAGAGTAAGTATTCTACTCATCTGTGCCAATCATACGACCTGCAACAAAATGCTTTCATTGAAAATATTAGGAAAGTAGTCTAAAGCGGCGTCCACATTGCTCGCGAGCAGGCCGAACGAACACGTGAAACACGAAAAACATGGTAAACAGTCGGAGCGAGATGTTCGAGGCGTTCGCGGTGCTCCACGTGCTTGCGATCTCATAAAATGACTGTTTCGACTGTTCGTTGGCTCTGGCGCGGTACATCAAAGAGGCGTTACGGAGCCATGCGAGCATACTTTACGGCCTGCGGTTCGAAGCGCTCGAGCTATTTGCGTTGTTTGTTTGGTTTCATTCATAAGATTTAGTATTTATTGCAGTCTGATGATGCTATAGTCTGTGAAACGAATAACTTTGAATTTGGCAGGTCCCGCGGGCTTTTCTAGTGTTAATTTTATTAGGTTTTAGCGACTTACGGCCATGCCTGTGAATAAGAAGACTAAGGAAGGAGCATAATGCTATCCATGTATTCATGCATGGTGGGCGGAAAAAGCACCATACATTTGAATTTGATTTGAATTTGATTCAAACATTCATTTGACACATTTGAATTTGATTTGAAATTTTGTGGATTTGTCAGTCTTTACGGAGCTTATTTTATGTTATTTATTATTTATTCTACTACTGGTAGTTGTATAAAGGTAGTAAATCTAGATGGAAATTGTGGCAGCACTTAAATTAACAGTGACACTATCGCGATTTATCGAAAAAGACTCTAAAATAATTGGTTGTGTAGCGTGCGGTAGATCTCGGCAAAAATTGAGTGAAATAATGGAACAACTTTTCGCTAGTAAGTGACTATATAATATACATACTTGTAGTAAACCGATCATTTATGAAATTCACTTAAATTAACTAAATTATATATTTTTCTTGCATTTTAGCTTTTATTTATTACTTGTCAAAGATTAGATGTCAAAGAATTTAGATACGTTAATTTGACTTACCTGCTTCAGTAGCGTATCGGATGTTTGTGGTAATAAATACTTATTATAACTTATCTATTTTTATTAGAATTATATATTTTTATAACAATTTTAATAACTACCAACATTTATTCACAACGTAAAATAAAACAACAAATTATTGAGTCTACCCCACGTCTACCCTACATCATAGTTTTACATTTTTTAAATAAAATTAGAACGACACTGATAAACCGGAATTTAAGTCGGCCATATTTGAGGCCCATCGCGGTGTACCTAAGATTTTTGATATGCTCCTTCCTTAGTCTTCTTATTCAAAGGGCCATGCTAACGCAA